CGAATTCGGAAAGTGAGAGCGAATGCAACTGCTGCATCGCAAAACAGTCAAAAACGTGAGCTGGAATTACTTCGTCGAATCGCTATACTTCTTGGTATCTATTTAACAAGTGGAATTCCATCGATATTGTTCATGGTAACATCTATTCGACTGATTTACATGATAAATCTAGTTAGTCCATCGGTGGTTGTATGTGTGGAGAAAATATGTACGATTCTGCTGGATCGGGAGATGTGTCAAATGATTAGAGCAAAGGTCTTTCGATTAACACCTGTAACACCGTTTGCAACTGGGCTTGTACTTCTAACCAATGTACCGACACAGAGAACCGTGAGACATAATGTTTAAAGACCATATTTTGATGATTATTGTATCAACTTATTTATAAATCTTCAAAATGTGATTTCTTGCTTACTTGGATATATGAACGTTTGTCACTCTAACTCGATTTTTCACATCATCGAACAGTTTACTTTCAAGGAATCTTCGATGATAGACGCGTATTTCAACATCTGCGTAGCATAATCACGAAGGCATTATGAGAATACAGCTTTCTTTAGACTTGTTTAGAGACGTATGTGCTTCCGTTCAGCGATATACTAAAAAAATCTAGAGAGCCTTCGTAGGTGACACTATCTTTACAGCTTCAAGCTCATATTTCATTTAATGTTGCTTCCAAAAAGACCAATGCGTCGACAAAATGACAGTCTCGAGGTCTTACCGCTAATGCTGCTAGACCTCGATAGATCGTGACATAATCCAGCTGTGGATCGTTTCTCTGTACTATACGCTGCTGCATCAAATAGTTATAAACTTCTTCAAACTTGCTTTCACCTAACAGATCAATAGCTTTTCTAAAAAATAAATACACCACTGTTCGTATATCATCGAGAGAATTTGTGCATACTTTCGTAATCCATCTATTTTCATCCTTATGTCTGTTGATTCAGATGATTTATCTTCTTTGTACTGTTCACTATCGTGTACTGTATCGATTTGTTTGATTGCTCGTGGTATTGCCGGTAGAATGCGTTTGCTATTTGACCAAGTTTTCTGTCTAGTGCTGCTATTATCTTCACAAGATGATTGATTTGTTACTATGCTGTTCATTGCATTCGTCAGCTTGTTTTGCTGATCCGATCGGTTGGTATTGTTCTATTTCAATATTAAAAGTTGAACGTGAGGTATCCTCCTGCAATATCTACTTGATGAGTACTGAGCAGGCGTGAATATAACAATTTCTCGGCACTCGGTCGCTTTAGCGGATCGTCAGCCAACATTCTGCTCATGACAAAAGTAACATCCATGTATTCGAATAGATAAAAAAAACTTACTTTGTGAATAAATCATTTAGCTCTTTACTATATACTTTTGGAAGATAAAATCTCTTTCCTCCGTTGCACAACACGTTTGTCATAATATTCATCACAAATTTACCAAGAATATTATGTTGAAAAGTACACATTTCATATAACAAACAACCGATTGCCCTTTGAGAGAAAATCTCCTGAAGTTTTCTTTGCATTTTATGAACCCTACCAGATATCAGATGTTGCCAAGAACACATTGTTGTTCAATACTTCCGGTGCTAGAAAGTATCTTTTTCAAAGAAGAAAAATAAACAGAACTATTTTGAAATTTATTCGAAAAGAAACTTACGGAAACTCAGTAAATGTTGATGCGACATCAATACTGGGATACGATATGCTCGTAATGTCAAAATTTCCCACTTTGATTATATTTGACTTCAAAAATAGATTTTTTAATTTCAAATTTCGATGAAACATGTTTGACTTATGCATATAGTTCACAGCAGTTAAGATTTGTATCAACCATTCGATAACTTCATCTTCTATCATTGCCTCAGTTTGCGTATTCAAATACTGTTCCATGTTACCATCTTCACAATATTCTGCCACGATATACAAATGATTCTGTTCTGTGAAGGTTTCATGATACTGAATATAAGACATCGAGAAGTCTCGCTTTGACGACTATAGAAAGACCTTACTTTGACAATGTGTTTGTTGTTTAAGTCTACTAGGCGTTTAGCTCTATCGATAATTTCAGGTGTATGTTCATGAAGTGTACCATTCAACGGAATGATTTGTAACACTTTTCTATGAAGATAAATGGTAGATTTATACAAATCGAAAAACTTATTAGATAAAATACAATTCATTATCCGCTTCGACATCAGTCACCAGATACGTTGTGTGGAAATTTTCTTCGCCAAGTTTTCTTTGTAATCGGTATCGATTGTTGTAAATTACCGGCTCACTGTTCTCAACCATTTTTTATCACAGTATGAAATAAAAACACGAGCCGAAAACTTTGGATTTATATTTCAGCGACGCAGAAATTCGTTTCTTATCAGTGACGACAAAACTTTGTCTCTCTCGGCGAAAGATAAGAGAAAGCGATAAAATTGCATTTATGAATACAACAGCGATTGAGAGTCAAGTTGATTTCGTTTTTATTTCGTCACCAGCATCAGAAATATGATAGGAAAGCATTTGACTATACACAATTTGATGAATTGTCGAATTATTACTGTCTCCGTGATAACGACAGGAATTATGATCATGGAAGAAACTTCTTTCTAAGAAGTTGACTGGTAAAAGATAATTAGATAGACATTCTCTGAAGCATGTAAACGCTGCTTTTTTCGTTTCCGCCAAGTCGAGTACTCTTATTACCGCCATATATCAATTCACCGACTTATTTTTAATATCCTCTTAGTTTTTAATTATAAAAGCAGCATTCATTTTGCTTCTACTCTTCGAAATAACATGAATGTAACGTCGCTTGTTAGCAGCAACCTTGAAGACTACCGTCTCGTTGCTCTTATATCGCTCATATTCGTCCTTATAGCTGTAACAATCAGTGCTTTTATCTTCATCTTAGTATGGCAAACCAAACCTCGCCTACACACAATCAATCATTTACTCATGTGCAATACAGCTCTTGCAACTGTTTTCTATTGTGTCACGATGAAAGTCAACTTTGCCTATGTTCTGTTTGGTCAGTGGGATACGAGTGATCTCAGTTGTCGATTTCGTGCGTATTTTGCTTATAGTGGAATTGCCGGAGTCATCTATTCATATCTTATCCAAGCAATTTCGAGATTTTTCTTCTCTGTGCTATCGAACAAATACCGTCGACTGACTTCGTTCAAGACACACTATATTCTGATTATTTGTCAATGGTTTGTGGTATTCTTAGTCACGTCACCTTCAGTCGTGACGAAGGATATTTATTTTGTTCCGCATGTTTTCTGCTGGGTGCCATTGGAGCATGTGATGCATCTAGCCTATACAGCTTTTGCCTATTACATTCTACCAGTTGTAGTTATTGTGACCATCTATACATATATCTATGTACGAATTCGGAAAGTGAGAGCGAATGCAACTGCTGCATCGCAAAACAGTCAAAAACGTGAGCTGGAATTACTTCGTCGAATCGCTATACTTCTTGGTATCTATTTAACAAGTGGAATTCCATGGATATTGTTCATGGTAACATCTATTCGACTGATTTACATGATAAATCTAGTTAGTCCATCGGTTGGTGTGTCCGTTGAGAAACTGTGCACGGTTCTGCTCGATCGAGAAATGTACCGGATAATTAGAGCTAAGATGCGCACAGTAACGCGTGTGACACCGTTCGAAAGTCGGATGGTATTAACAATTGATGACCGAAAACAAAATGCTTGATACCAGCAAAATGACAACGGATAACTTTCTATAAATATCATGTTATTTTTAAAAACGACTCGGGACTGACTACAACATTTATCTCCACCTTTTATACACATGCGATCCGGGCAGTTAGGAACACCTACTTTCTTTGCTGTGGCTAATGTTTATGCAGACAAATGGTAGAAAGAACGATTGTCTGAAGTGTGTTAACACACCAAATATAGGTACAATATAATCGAATCTTTTTCATGAAATCGATTTCAATGTCTATAAAGTGCGAGAAAGAACGCACTTATGTGGATCGAACGTATTTTTTCAAAGTTTACAACAATATTCGCAAGTTTAAAAAAAGTAAAATAAATATTCACTTAATTGTTCATTGTTTGCGTTCGTGTGAGCATTGATAACTACTACTGCTTAGATTTCGAAAATTCTGTGTTCTTCCCGTGTTGACCGGAAGCGTTTGATAATGAAGTATCGTAAGGAAATTAGTGTATCTTCGCACACGAAACAACTGAACAGATTTCCTCGAAAAACGTCTCTTGAAGTCGAAATATGAGTACTCATCGGGTGTTCCAGTTCAATTGAATTTATTAGGGATCGGTATCCAATGCTATTAACTTTTGCTACCGATTCTAATTGCGTTCTGAGATCATTTAGGGATTGCTTCCATTTGTCCACGTCCCACTTGGAAAAATCATCTCGATCATGGGCACAAATAAGAGTTTTATATAATTCGATGCACCTATTTCTCATTCGTTCGTTAACTTCCTCATACCATTGATTAAAATCTGCATCTGTTTTCTTTGCTATGTGTTTATTTTTGCCAATCGATTCTTTTCCCCGTGTATAAATTCTCTCCAACGCGGACTGATCGACTGCAAACCGATTAAACTGTTCTTGAATGTAATTATATTTTTACATCACGCTCTCTGAATCACTGCTGAGTTCTTGTCAATGTTCGCTGACGTGCCGTACAGAAAATACTCGTCGACAGTCTTCACAAGTGAATACGTCTCTATCACTTTTCACATCGTCACGTTCCGCACACTGTTTCTTAGTTGATTCAACACCTATGTTACCAGCCATCGACTTACAAACCATTTAAAAAGAATCACATGTCAATAAGTACGTCGTTTTGCGCGTTTATCTAAAACGAAGAAAGACACGGTTGTACGAAATAAACATTCCATTGCGTGGTGTTGACAAAGAGAAAATCGAATGAATAGGTTCAATATGAATTATATAAAGGTGTCTTTCGTTTGATCAATGAGTAACTGCTGGAGAAAAGCTGTATTTTTCTCCATGATAAATCCTCAGAACAAAAAGAGAATATTTGACGATGCATTTCGTACATTTTTGTTCGAAATGATAAGATGTATATGATTATTTAAAAATGATTGCAAAGGAACGGTAACTCCAACAATCATCTTCACAAGTACATAACATACTGTTTTCGATATCGTTTTTTTTCTCACTTCAGCTTCAATTCGCAGCTAGATACTTTACATTATGAATTGCAAGGTCAGTTCTTTCTAAAGACAAACAAACCTTCGTGAAAATATCTTCAAGCGCCACACGCTGTTTGCATCATTTCTTTCTCTTTCCTCTTCAAACAGTCATATACATGAGGATTTTTGCAATTGTACAAACATACTGAAGACAGAATGTGTCGTAATTTCTTGTTACTATAAATTTCATACTTGCGAAATATTTTCCTTTTCAAATACTGATTGAACTATGTCTGTATATCTCGACGAACGTCAAATCAATCAAATGTCGCACAATGAACTGCGTGAAGACTTGATCAAACGGAATTTAACACCAAAGTTTGTTCGAACTCCGAGAGTATCATGTTATTCTACCTTTGTTATGTTCGTTAGTGGTGATGCCAGGATTTTACGGCGTCGTTTGATACATAATTGTAAACCACGCGAAAAACAATTGTATCAGTTCCTTGCGGTAATCGATTTTGAAGCAACGTGCGTAGCTCGACCACTTGATCCTTACATTCAAGAAATCATCGAATTTCCAATCGTACTGATCGATGTTAGTCAACAAAGCATTGTATGTAAAGACACATTTTTTCGATCCATTTCTAAGACGAATAGTTTAAGATTGATACATTTCATTCGTACTGTCGACCGGTGCTTCAGCCAATCTTGTCGGATTACTGTAAACAATTGACTGGAATAACACAAGAGCAAGTTAATCACGCACCAACGTTTACAGAGGTGTTTGCTAATGTGGAAAAATGGTTGAACGAAAGAAATCTAATACTGGATTCAAAAGAAATATGTTTGTTTATTACTGACGGGTAAAGTGTGTCGTGAACGAACATCATCAATTCGCCTTTTTTTTTGAAATAGGCCTGCAGATTTCAACAAATATTTGCGCAAACAGTGTGAAATTTCTCAAATAAAGTACCCGACTTGGGCATCTCAATGGTTGAATGTTAAGCAAACATTTCGAAACTTTTATTTCGTTACACCCGGTCGTAAGTAGAAAAAAAAACAATCTCTCATCGAAAAAAACGTACGTTTGCTCAGGTATAAAGAATATGTTAGACAGTTTGCAGCTTCAATTTGATGGAAATCTTCACTCGGGTTTGGATGATGCGAAAAATATTGCAAAAATAGTCATTCAACTGATTCAGGTAAACTATCCTTGAGTAAATACTGGACAATATTGAATATTTTTCTAAAAAGGATGGTTGTGTCTTGATACCTAATGAATCCTATACTTCGTCGATGATTCCATCGGGACGATTCGCATCTATTCGAAATGATCCTACAAGAATAAGATGTCTCAATTGTTCGAGATCTCATTTTAATGGTAGATCTTGCATTAAAGACACAAGTAGACGAAGACAACGATCAAAATACCATCGATCGTTATCACGAGAAACGATTCCATCTTTACTGGAATTTTCGTTTCCATCTGCAAGTCGGCGTCTGACGAAACATTAGTTTTCGTACATTTCAAATCAGACAACGCGTGTATTAATAAATGAACAATTTTAGGATCTTCTATCGAAATATTTTTTTTATTGTTCTTGTTCTCATATAATTTGAAAACTACTTTTGCACACATGAAAATACAAAAAACAGTCCATATTCAATCGGATTCATATGAATCTAGGAATACACCGATGTCTCCGGAAAGACTATCAATAATTGCCAAATCTAACTTTTGATCGCTATTGAAATCATCGGAAATGATTGAAGATGGATTGATACCAACTGTGACATGTTATCACGTAACTGGAATTCTCACACTCACCCTCGCCCAAGAGAGAAGAAGAGAAACGAAGTAGGAAAAACACACACACACACATAAAACAACGGAAACATATATATATGTACGACAGGATCAGAAGGAGATTCACATGACGTCATTATATATATGTGTATATGAGAGATCTAAAAGGACGTAATGATGACAATGACGTCAGTAAGCAGCACTACCTCACAAATACAATACTCTTTTTATATCAGGAGTTTTGTTTCCTAATGTTATAAATGTCTAGACTTTTTTCCTCGATTAACTAGGTTATTTCGAGTTTTCACATCTCACATTATAAAAAAATGAATAATTATTTAAAACTGTGTTACACCAGTAGATGTTCTCGACTTCAATGAAAAAGTTGCTAGAAGAATATCCTTTCGTTCCATAAACTCCACTGCGCATTGTTGTAAACTACTAATAAAACTTAAGTCATGATTTGGATTAATATTATGCACAAGTTCATGGCAGGTAACCATGAAATAGAAGTTGATAATTGTGGTGACAATGCTGTTCGATGCTGTCGGTCTGTCAATGTATGCTTGCAGTTCAGCAGCATAGATTTGCTCGAAATAGCGAAGATTGAAGAAAAGTGCACCGTTGGCATTGAATGCTATGCGAGCTAAAACGATCAAAACTGCGAAGAAAGCTCTTTTCGATGCATGCACTTACATCCGTTGAAATCCCGATAGAGATGCAACGATTCAGTGGGCAGTTCGAAAACATGTTCAGCCAGATTGATCAGTATGTGAGTGAGCAGCTCGGCATGATCGATCATATCAAGTGTCATTTTAATGCCTTTCTCAACAAATAATGGTATTAGAAGGTCAGAATTACGATACATTTCCATATTAGCATTCGGTACGACTTCACATGATTCATAATGCTCATTTCTGACATATCCATCATGAATAATCACAGAATCAGGATATGATCGACTTTTTTTGGGTAGTCGACGTAATTGTTTGCTCATCTTCTGACTTCTGGATTTGAAATCTTCAGTAGGAGGAATGACTGTGTCTGATTGATGATCATGCGGACGATGTGCCCTTTCTGGCAAAGGCCTGATCGAATCCGCTGTCGTCACTCGATCCAGGAGTTGATCTTCGTTAGGTACAACAGCTGTAGCGTGATGAGGAGGTGGCTGATCACTAGATATTATAGGATATTTAGATTTCTTGTTGGACGGACGGAGAAACTTGAATACGCCGAAAATACTGAAAACAAAAATCAGAATGATCTGTTCATTACTACTTATCAAATCCGTTGATAATGCTGCTTACGCGGCTAATGGTAATGGAATATTTCTCGATTTCGTTTGTGCGTCTACATCTTCCGGTGGTGCTTGGAAATCGTGTACTACGTAAACAAGAGAGGTCTGGCCTATTAAGACTTCTCAAATCAACATACGTCTCGTTTCTAGCAAAGATCTCACAGGAAGACCTTGTCGTTCTAGTGATTCCAACGACGATGTCAGTCGATTGGATATGATATGAATCAATGCTTCGGATGCATTATCGAAAACAAATCGTGCCAGTTCACTGGCAATGTCAAAATAATCGTAGTCCGAAATGGATGTATCATGTCGAAGATACAATACTTGTTCATTTTCTTTCTTTTGCAATGTACATGAACTGCTGTTTTTTGACTAAAATTACCAAAAACAATTTAAATGAGTAATCACCGGCAATAAATACTGACGTCGAGTAATTCCGTTCTATTTTGAAATGTCAAACTGCATTTGATATTTTTAACTTCCACAACTAATAGACTCTTTTCCAGCATATACAAACGTTCTTTGTTCAAACTAGCTAATGGTTCACCCTAGAAAGCAAATTGAATCAATGTATAATCCCGACATTACTGACTTGCTTATCGACGAATAGGATATTCAAACGTTGCTGGATTTTTTCTTTTAATTTCTTCGTTCGCTCGGTTGGTGAAGATCGTCCTAGAATTATTCACAAGTTTGTAATCATGTTATTCGTTGCTCGTTTACCTGTCGGTACGAGATCTCGAGTGACACATTCGGATAGCCATTTTGCTCCGAACTGGCGATATAATTTATTTAATTCCACGTCATTCGAACAGATCGGTTCATGGGTCAGTACACATTGCGGATCATCGTTGAGATAAATTTGTGTCGGTGTGACGATCCGATAGAAGTGCGTTTCATAACCAAGGCACCACGGTTCGGTTTTTAATCGTTTTTCCAACGGCCCATGGAGAAACTCGGGTGTTTTAACTGACACAACTGCGATTCGTTTCAAACAATCCGAATAAACATCGATCTTTTGCTTCACACTCGTGTGATCATTTGTAGTATTGGAAAAATAAGTTTTCTGTCGATCAAGAAGCAGCTCGGCAAGCAAGGGAATCGTTGGATAATGAAGTACACCGATCGTCAAGAGAAATGCATTTCCTTCGAGTCCAAAATCCACATAATCGATCAGACCAGCGGTATTCAAATCGAGAGAAATTGAACTATTCGCTTGCCGAATGAAAACTTGCGTTGGTTTCAATAATACTGGTGAACCATCCAAAGGAATGAAAGCCACGCCCGACAAACGTTTAACAAACGTTTGATTGAGTCCTTCAAGTCCATTTAAATACGCGAATATTGAACCGGCAGATGTTGTGGTTAATAGTTCTGTTTTTCGTTCCATAACTTTATCGAATGCTTGTGTGATAGTTGATTGTTCTTTGATCCCGAGCAATGAAATGATATAGAACTTCTCGAATAGTTTCACTACTTCAGGGAGAAGAGTAGCATAGAGTGGATTTGATTTGAGAAAGACTTGATCTATTCTGGATAAGATAACTTCACGATGATTTGCCAGATTTGATGGAAGAAATAATTGTTGAATGTCATTTGTTTTCCAGACTATTGAATAGTGTTTTTGAAAGTTCTCTGCTAAAAATCGAAGTGCTAATGGTAGGTCGTATCCGCGTTTCGATTTTTGAACGTCGTGTCGTTTATCATTGTGTTCAACAATGATTCGATCGATCAAGCTAGTCAAGTCGGGTACTTCTCGTACACCTAACTCTTTCAACAACGCGAACTCTGCTGAATTTCGATCGATATCAAGCCAGTCGAGAATGAGTAATTCATTCCATTTGAGTTGTTCCGCAACAGATGGAAAATGAAGATTATGAGGACAATAGAGTTGTTTAATTCCAGTTGCAGAGTGTAGTGTTGATCCTCGTAAGAATCGACTTGCTTTCAACGCTTGGAAATCAGCATCGCTCATATTTTTCCGTTCCTTCACCAAGTTTTCAATCAAAGTTCGCATGGCCTCTTCAGTCAATCCCGATCGATTGCTTGATGTAACAATCGCTTGGATATTTACTACCCGGCAGCCGATTTGTTTGAGGAAATACCGGGAGACAAGATTCTCATCGGAATCATTGGCATTACTTTGACTGTGTGCCGTTTTGTCTGGTAAAAGATTCAGTGTGATCATGGGTGAGTCCGATGTTGACATCTGAGATGGAATATACGATTCATTGGGCACTCGCATGCCTTGTGTTGTTGGTATACATTTAATATTGGAGAGAATTGTTTTGATTTTCGACCATTTGGATTCGGAAAAATGACTAGAGTGATTCGATAGATTACTCAGAAGACATGTTGCTGTTTTCGTTTCTCGAAATAAATCGTGTTGATTCTTGTGTAAGTAAAAGTCTATAAGTTCTTTAAATGTACACGGTTGCAAAAATAGATTGTACTGTAATTGTTCTCGAGAGAAGTGTTCGGCTATACTGACCGGTAAGACGGATCTTGGCAGTGGAAGAACGGATGAAATATTTGACGCATCGTAATGAATCATTTGTTGAAATGAAATTTTGAATGAAGTTGTCGTTTTTTGGAAACGTGTGATTGATAGGATGTCTTTTACGTAGGAACGATCATTACTACTACAAGTACAAAGCCATTTCAACAGCTCGGTTAGTTCGTTGAATGAAAGGATTGATGTGGCCAAGTGTTTTTTGATGAAAGATTTATGAACAACATGAATCATTTGATATTCTTTCAGCGCCGTAAAGAAATCATTTTTTGTCAGGTCAAATGGTACAAGTGGAACAGAAAGAAATCCGTGAATATGTTCAGCATCGGCAATATATGCTGCAGTAGATGGTATCAACGACAATTGTTCTGCCGATGGCAGTGCTTTCACCGGAACGAGAATATTTTCCACAGAAGCAAAAAATCCACTGCGAACGATGTTACCTATATTGGACAACATGTATTGAAATTCATATGAAATCCAACATTGACTTACCAACTTTTACATTGGGCGTTGTTGGTTGAAAAGAGTATGTTTTGATCAACGTACTGTAATCGGAATAGTGGTTGCGAGAGATCATCTGATCATAGAGAATCCGAGCAATTTGTCCCACAGCTGAAAGAAGTTCTGTATTCCATCGAGCTATGTNTTTTCGAACGTCCTGTTGTTTATCATTGTGTTCAACAATGATTCGATCGATCAAACTAATCAAGTCGGGTACTTCTCGTACACCTAACTCTTTCAACAACGCGAACTCTGCTGAATTTCGATCGATATCAGGCCAGTCGAGAACGAGTAATTCATTCCATTTGAGTTGTTCCGCAACAGATGGGAAATGAAGATTATGAGGACAATAGAGTTGTTTAATTCCAGTTGCAGATTGTAGTGTTGATCCTTGTAAGAATCGACTTGCTTTCAACGCTTGGAAGTCAGCATCGCTCATATTTTTCCGTTCCTTCACCAAGTTTTCAATCAAAGCTCGCATATTCTCCTGAGTTAGTCCCGGTCGATTGCTCGATGTAACAATCGCTTGGATATTTACTACCCGGCAGCCGATTTGTTTGAGGAAATACCGGGAGACAAGATTCTCATCGGAGTCATTGGCATTACTTTGACTGTGTGCCGTTTTGTCTGGCAAAAGATTCAGTGTGATCACGGGCGAGTCCGATGTTGACATTTGAGATGGAATATACGATTCATTAGGCACTCGCATGCCTTGTGTTGTTGGTATACATTGAATATTGGAGAGAATTGTTTTGATTTTCGACCATTTGGATTCGGAAAAATGACTAGAGTGATTTGATAGATTACTCAGAAGATATGTTGCTGTTTTTGTTTCTCGAAATAAATCGTGTTGATTCTCGTGCAAGTAAAAATCTATAAGATCTTTGAATGTACACGGTTGCAAAAATAGATTGTACTGTAATTGTTCTTGAGAGAAGTGTCCGGCTATACTGACCGGTAAGACGGATGTTGGCAGTGGAAGAACGGATGAAATATTTGACGCATCGTAATGAATCACTTTTTGAAATGAAATTTTGAATGAATTTGTCGTTTTTCGGAAACGTGTGATTGATAGAATGTCTTTTACGTAGGAACGATCATTACTACTACAAGTGCAAAGCCATTTCAACAGCTCGGTTAGTTCGTCGAATGAAAGGATCGACGTGGTCAAGTGTTTTTTGATGAAAGATTTCTGAACAACATGAATCATTTGATATTCTTTCAGCGCCGTAAAGAAATCATTTTTTGTCAGGTCAAATGGCACAAGTGGAACAGAAAGAAATCCGTGAATATGTTCAGCATCGGCAATATATGCTGTAGTAGATGGTATCAACGACAATTGTTCTGCTGATGGCAAGGCTTTCACCGGAACGAGAATTTTTTCCACGAAAGCGAAAAATCCGCTGCGAACGATGTTACCTATATTGGACAACATGTATTGAAATTCATATGAAATCCAACATTGACTTACCAACTTTTACATTGGGCGTTGTTGGTTGAAAAGAGTATGTTTTGATCAACGTACTGTAATCGGAATAGTGGTTGCGAGAGATCATCTGATCATAGAGAATCCGAGCAATTTGTCCCACAGCTGATAGAAGTTCTGTATTCCATCGAGCTATGTACGGATCTTGTAAATTGAGTTCTTCACGTTCGACAGTCGGGATAAAATGGCTGTAGACATGCATGCCTATGCCAATCGATTGGTGTGTTCCAAGTCCGATAAACACAAATCCCGATGGATCAATTTCGTTGTTATCAAGCAATTTCAATGGCAAAATCGAATTCAGAATTCTCTTTGACAAAGATGGTTCACATTGCTTTTGATCGCGAATCGTCTACAGAACAAAAGAAAGGAAGATTATACAATAGAATTAAGTTCGATATTCACCTCAGTTGGGACGAATAAAAGCTGAATTTGAACCGTTGATGGTAAACTTTTCAGATTTCGTTGAACATAAGCATAAAACTGTTGATCGACATAAACGTTCGCTTCGACAGTAATATGCCCTAGAGTCATCGATGTAGTATTATCAATGGTGAGTGTTTGTTCTGTTAGATGAAAGGAGTTCATATATAGCATTTGATTGACTGAATGTTGCGGTTTAAATGCAAACGTGTTTAGGAGTGGAGATTTCGTCTTCGATATTTGAAAGACATTCGTTGAATTGATTGTTATGGTAAGATTTACAAGATTTCTTGTGAATGAAAGAACTACAGTAATTACAAAGAAAAGAAAGTGATTGAGAAATACTTTCGATTTGTCTGTTACCTTTTGCAAAATAAGTTTTCAATTGAGTTAAATCGATTGTTGGTACGACTGCTTTTGTTTCTTCAGATGATTCGGTACTCAGAATATAAGCATCTCGCATGTGAAGAGTAACCGAAGTTTTACTCGACTGTTGTTGAGCAGGTAATTGACCATGTTCATATAACAATCTATCGCCTTCCCACCCGAATTTTATGTACTCCTTTCCTGAAGTAATCATAGGCTCTTCTGCATATGAGAATACCGAGAAAAATCCTACACCGAATTGACCAACAGATTGTGGATCTGTATTTCCCTCGGCAATAGTAGCCACACGTTTCCAATCAGTTTCTGAGAAGACGTTCCCATTGTTTATCAAACGTACTTCAATAATCGTTTGACCATGAAAGTTTTTCTCATCTGATGATGACTGCGGTGCATCGCATATAATCTGCAATTGAAATGATGTTGCTTTCGCATCATCAGCATTTTGAATAAGTTCTCGGATAACTACAAAATCAGATGAATATTGAGTGAGAATTTTGTCAACCATCTTTCGCACATTGACACCAACTGCGTGCCATCTTTCATTTCGCTGCATATTCGATTGATGAGACAATATTTTAACCTTTGTAACACTGGCTTTCACTGCTTGATAAAGATGAGAGTAGTGTCGGCAGATCTCCTCTGGTAAATGTCAGATAGCAAAGAATATCAGCACCCCTCTGTTATGAATCACTTTGTTTATATCACATGACGATAAGAAAGACTAATACATTAAAAGAAAAACCAACAAGACTTTGCTTATTGTTGACAAACTCTGATATTCATTTTCTTAAATGTGTTTCAAACGAAGAATGTGTCGCTAAATTCATCTTTTACTAAAAGCGTTAGTTTGAAGTATAGTTCTTTTAAAGATCTGCTGTCAAATCATAGAAATCCTTTATGCTGCATGTATGGCTTTGGAGCAACACCAATACCAAATCCAAAATCAAGAGGCTTCGACAATGTCCAATAGCTTCGACCATTCAATGTACGAAGTCCGGTCAAAATAATAGATCTTTTTCTTAGCTCATAGATCAAACGATGTGGTTCATATTTACAACTGAAACCGCCTTTGTAAGCCAATAACGGTATCTTCTTCTCGCGTAGAAAAGCAATCTACAATAACAACTGTATTAGTTCTATTATGATAAAACCAGCTAGGATATCCCCACTCACCGCTTGCCGCGTAATTTCGGAATCGTCGACATCAGCCAAGTGAATGAATAAGGGACCACACCGATAATTAGCCGGATTCCATGACAACATTTCTCAAGCACACTGCCGTACAACACTCAATTGCAATTTTCACTTTCTTACCACCTATTTTGTAAAAAAATCGAGTTTTTTTTCTCGTTCTCCTTCCTTTTCTCAATGCGATGTCAATGGTTACGTGTTCCGTTCTTCAAAACAACATTTTTATTCATTCAAATAATTCCATTCTACACAATAAAACGCGAGTGAACATCATTTCTACTCTCTACTAAAGCGCTACGAATATGTATTTTAAAACGTTCTTGGACTTTATTCAAAATATCCGCTTCATCTTGACTTGAAATAATCGTTAAGATCACACCTTTCGTACCAAAACGACTGGCACGAGCAGCCTAGGTTGAAAAATATCTTCAACATAAATATAACGGTATCAAATAGGACGACCTTACTCGATGAAGATAGGAATCGATGTCTTCCGGTACATCGTAGTTAATTATAAGATTGACACGTTCGAGATCGATACCACGTTCAAACACATTTGTTGCGACAACAAGACGCGTTCGAAATGCTTTCAAGTCTTCATAAACTATCAAACTAAATCAAACTTCTCATTGAAAATCTGAAAGATTTTTTTACACCTACCGATCGCTTCGAGGTAGATCATTGTGAATCTGTTTAGTTGGAAAACATTGATCTACTAAAAACTTGCATAAATAGGAACAGCGTGCTGTTGAGTCAACAAATATGATTGCTTCATCAAATTCTAATTTATCTAGCAACTTAGCTAGCTTTGTTGATTTCTTACGTTCACGAGAATTAACGTAAAAATGTTGAAGAAGCTTTATACAAATCATTTACAGATTCACATATGAAATACAAGAAACTTACTCGAGGCATTAATTTACTTTCGTCATGGATATAGAGTTCTATTGGCTAAGAAAGCTTTGATATTGATAGTATAAATCAGACTATGATGTTGACCTACTTTTCGCATGAATTCCTTACAGATCGGTTGAATGAATTCATTAATTGTCGCACTCAGCATCAAGACTTGGTTATTCATTGACGTCATGTTGAATATTTTACGAACATCTCGACGAGTATCTGAAGAACAAGGAAAAAATCTCTACACATAAAGAAGAAGCCTGTTTTCACCATGCATCTTGAAGATCTGATCGCATTCGTCGATGATAAAATATTGAATAAAATCTAATCTGAGTGCTCGCATCTTAGCTAATGCTAAAAGTCGACCAGGAGTTCCAATGACGACATGTGGACACTTATTTCTCAGAATATATCTATTTTCGGCTGTGGATGTGCCGCCGACAAAAGTCGAAACTTTGATGTTTGGCAAATGTTTAGAAAATCGTTCGTATGCACTAGTTATTTGGAATGCTAATTCGTTCGTAGGGCAGACGACGAGAACTGATACCTGAAAAATAGGGAACATTTCAGGATGAATACTCTCCTAAAATGTCTAATCATACTTGTCCGTCGATTGGTTGAAGCTGTTGAAGTGTTGCAAGTACATAAACCGCTGTTTTACCTGTACCTGATGCACCTTGGCACAGAATATCTCTGCCAAGGATTGCTGACGGTATCGCTTGCTTTTGTACTGTAAAAGAACTCGATGTAAACCTTTCTTATTCACGATTATCTCAAACCTTCAGATGGATATTCGTAACCAGCGTCAGTAATTGCTTGGAGCAATTCAGTTTTCAGTTGAAAATCTCGAAAACTATCGGACTTCAATAGATCTTTCAGCGGTTCAGTTACATCTTCGTCATCATAATCAAGAAGTCCATGATCGTCAAACATATTTGATGCTTAAGAATATGGGTTTTGAAAAACAAACTCAATAAATACTCATTATCAATGTAAATAATTACACTCAATTGTGAAACACATGAGTCATATCGACGAGAACGGAGAGAAAGTACGAATGTATTCTTTTCCATTTATTACATGACAAGCAAAACATGTGATTTGCACTACAGTCATTCATTCCACATTTTCTTCAGTCTTATCGATATTCCTTTGATTTCGACGCCGTTCAACATTGTTTCGAAAAGCTTTAACACCAATTCGATGTAGATAAACTTCCCGTTGCCGTTGTAAGGTCGTTGTTATCGGATGATAGTCTTTCGGGCGATCTTTTTTCACATTATCGGCAGCATCAGCTTCAATACCTGCTAACGACGTGTGCAAAGTACCGAGAACGTTTTTCGTTAAACCATCAAGTATGTCAACGCAATGCATACGATCGTTTTCACATATGGGCATATTCATCGCCGCAAAAAACAAATGGTTCGGCTTCGGAATACGTAATGGTGGTTCGAGACCATCGACGAAATCTGATAATTGATCGTAACGTATAAATTGCGAACCAGAGGGATCTAAGTGTTGCCATTTCTCATAATACATATCATAGTCATCATCGGTTAAACCCTACAATTAGCAAAGTCGAAAATCAATTCTATTCGTCGTCTATTTGCTTACTTGCTGCACGTCATCTTGAGCCTGAGAGAAATTCTCCAGTATCACAGCGATGTACATATTAACCTAGAGCGATAATAGACAATTGAAAATTGCGCTATCAACATTCTTTTGTACTTACTACAACAAACGAAGTCATGATCACAAAACTCACGAGAAACCCGGTTGCAATTCCCATATTACCACAATCGCCACTATTTGACGGCGAAGGTATCGTTGGGTCACAATCCGGTGGTCGATCATTCGCTAATGCTTGGAAAACACTCGACCAACCGGCTGTCGTACACATTTGAAAGAGCACAATCATCGCATTCGGGAACGTTTCGAAATTGAATAGATCTGTGATACCAGCTGACTTTCTCACATACGCAAAGAAGGACATACCGAATATTGAATAAATGAACATAATAAGAAAAAGAAGTAGACCAATATTGAATAATGCAGGTATTGAGACAGTTAATGAGAAAAGTAATGTTCGAATACCTTTGGCTCCTGTGGAGAGAAAAAGAAAAGTTTCAATTACGATTCATTCGATTGAATCAAACCTTTGACGAGTCGCAATATTCTTCCTACACGTACGACACGAAAAACACGTAGTAAAGTTGGATTGACAAAAAACTGAGCCATAATCTCCTTCAATGTTTGTTCTATGGAAACATAAAAAAAACCTCATATTTTAAAAATAACATGCATAACCTACCAAGAATTGATGCGGCGACAATGATGAAGTCGAAGACGTTCCATGGGATTGTAAAATATTTAAAATTCAATGCAATCAACTTCATAAAACATTCAATCGTAAATCTAAATCATCAGTACAGTTGTAGCACATCTCTCACGACAACTCATCCTTACGTTGCAACGAAAAACTGATTGACATATTCCAAAACGTAACTATAAGTTCGGCTTTGATTGTAATGCTCAAGACACATGCAAAGCATATTAAGAAAGATGCATAACATGATAAATATGTCGAATTTTTGATTGGTCGTTACATCGAAAAGAAACCGTGCCACAGCAAACTAGAAAAATATCGATTGTCTATCCGACATATATTTATAGGAAAGATTTACTCTCGGTCTTGGTAATGCTTTTGTCGGCTTTTTATTTCCTAGTTTTTTCATTGCGTTATAATACTTCTTTTGATCTTCTGTCATAAACATTTCAATCGCACCGGTTTGTAACTAAAAGAGAAACGCACAATTTTTGTTATCATAGAGATAACAGAAAGTAAATTAGCTACTAATCGCTTCTGCTGATTGAAATTATCGATTACAACGCCGATAAATAAATTCAGAATGAAAAATGAACCAAGTATAATAAATAGGACAAAGAAGATAAGAATATACACATTCGCTTCATATTCCGGTTGAACGTCGATCTACGAATGCAGGTGAACAGAGAAATTTCCAATAAGCAATTTCTTACTTCTTTCGCATCGGTTGCATCAGCCATGATTTCAACCCAACCTTTGAATGTCGCCTAATCAAAGCAGAAATTCGTTACTTTTCTTCCATTTTCTAACTTACAACTTGAAATAACGACAAATAACCCATGAGAACATTATCGAAATTCAGTCTTGAATTCTCCCATGTGAAGTTTTTTTGTAAACAATCGACTTTGTTCGTGACATTCTCGGATACATGTACTCGGATATGTGTGTTCACATAAACACATTTATAAAACTTTCCCGCGAACAGCTGCACACCCATAATGGAGAATATTAACCAGAATACCAAACAAACCAGTAAAACATTGAAAATCGCCGGTATAGCACCAATCAAAGCATTGACAACAGTCTATTCAAACAAGTAAAGAAGGTTATTTACGAAAAAGATGCATTTCTCTTACTCGAATGGCTTCGAATCTTGACAAAGCTCGCAGTGGACGCAATGCTCGTAGTGTCCTCATAGATTTAAATGCTGGTATATCAGCAATATGAAACAGATCAAGTATAGTTCCAAGAAGACTAACAAGGACAATGAGAAAATCTAATCGATTCCAACCGCTTTTGAAATAAGTACAAATCCCATACGCAAACCATTTAATAATCAATTCACTAGTAAAGATAACCGTAAAGATCTTGTCAAAAATCAATAAAACTTTCGAAAATAAGACTTGTTGCCGTGTATGAATATCCTCCAATGCCTTCAATGCAGAAAAACAAAACAGATCATCGAACGCTTTTTCACTTGCAAATCAACTTACTAAAGTTAAACTACTAACTAAGATACTTATTAAGATAACCCATTCGAAATAGCGATGATCGACAAGACGAAGAGTCAAATGTCGAAGATATGTCCAATAGTTTTGAACGATCTCCGGAATATATGTTGAACAGCAGGAGAAATGTTTCGATATACCACTCGGACAACAATCGGGTGGGAAATAAAGAATTTCATGGTTAGTCGGCGACGTTTCGATATCGGCGAGTGTCATTCGAGGAAGATCAGGAGTTAATTCAATTTCAATTGCAAGAGCATCATCCTCTCGAGAACACAGACGTTTAATCGATCGAATGAGGAAATGAACGAAACGTCGAATACGATTGATAGCTTCAGTGATTTTATCCTGTTCAGTTTCCTTTTCGTTGAACACATCGGAACCAAACGATGCAAGTAGAAGTGCGAGAAATGAATTCAATATCTAAAGTAAACTCTACACGTACTTTTTGATCATTCGGAGTTTCAAATCATATACCACAAGATTGCCAATGATGAAAGTAAAGAGAAAGAATGGAATACACGGCCAGCCAGCACATTCGAGACATACCCACATAGATTCAATCCATTCACCGCATAGGACACGAAAGACAATCCTTTTCGAGAAAAAAAAGCACATTGAATTTCACTTGTTCGTAGGCACAAACTTACATGAATGCGTGGAAAAAATCGAAGAAATTCCATCGTGGCATGTCCTTGCCGAATTTATCAGCATATTTTTGACCGAACAGCTAAAAATGAATCGTTTCAATTAGATTTCTATCTGAATCTCGCATTATTTACCTGCATTCCCATCACGGCAAAGATAAATATAATAATGATAAGAACTAATGTTAAGTTTCCCAAATCTCCCAATGATTTTCCAATAATTGACACAAGTCGATTCAGCGTTTTCCATGATTTCGCTAATTTAAACACTCGTAACTATACAACATAGGAAAACATTCGAAATACATCACCGAAACTTGACTTACTAATCGAAATGAACGTAACACACTCAAACCCTTGACATTGGCAAGACCTAACTCAATAAGACTCACAGTAACAATGATTAAATCAAAAACATTCCATTCATTCTTGAGAAACTTCGCTGGAGTCAATGCAATGATTTTCAATATCGATTCAGCCGTGAATATACATGTAAACGCATAATTTCCTGTTGTTAAAATTCGTGTCATATATTCACTTTGACCGTGATGATCAAGTGCCATGAATATCGTGTTTATAATGATGCATATGGTGATAAATAAATCAACAAATGCGTCCAGAACAAAAAACGCAAGAACCGCCTATAAACAATAATTGAATATCGATAGTTTCGATGAAAACAATTTACTTGAATTCGTTGAAATACGGTCGATTGACAACTCCATGTGCAACAATAAGTCTGCAGAAATTTAAATAACGGTCGATCACACAGATTGGATTTCTTCGCATCTGAAACTGAAAATATGAGAAAACATTGTTCTTAGGTAATAGATTTCTCACTTTGTGATGGAATAGTCATGGTATCCAGTTCTTGAACAGGTACGACTTCAGACAGTAGAGCACATTGTATATCAGATTCGATTTGATCAAACTTTGATGAAAGAAAAACTTGTAAAAAGTCTGGAAATGTACGTAGTTCTTACTGTATCGTCATTTCGATTTCGTTCCGATGAATCATTGTTGAATTGTTGACTCTTTCTTGACAACTGCGATGGATTTATCTTTGTATTTTGTTCAGAATCGACCGACGTTTTTGAAGATAATATCTGTTTACGTTGATTTTCAATTTTTTGCCTTTCGAATTCTTCATTTTCGGCTGCCGCTTTGGTTTGCTGTTCAAGATACGATCGAGCAACGATAGCTAAGATTAAATTGACCAGATAGAACGAGCCAAAAAAGATAACCGCAACGAAATAGAAGAAATGATAACGACCAGCTGCTGATAAAACCTAAAAATCAAGCATTTCGTTAAGATTTTGTTTAGAAAATCCTTACCAGTTGGTAAAGATTCTCCCAATAATCTTGTGTCATCAATCGAAAACATGAAAGCATTGCCCAACCGTAATTATCAAAACTAAATCAACAAAAAAGTGAGCATTAAAACGAGGTATAAGTGAAATCTATGTACCTTGTGTATCCAAAATCCGGACTAAACGGCATAAACAAAGAATCTTTGTAAGAATCAACAGAGAAAACTCTTACTTTTCACCTCGATCTCTCAAACAGACATAACCTTCGGGACATTTATTCGTTCCACTTGAATTACCACAAAGAAAGTAAAGATCATCTTTCCGATACCAATAGGCTAAAAACGATCAAATCATCATCCATACATCACAATGGATTTCTTCACATACTTGCATTATTCATCTGTGTTAGATACACACCATACGACATGTTGGAAAGATTCGAAATATTTGAGAATGAGTCATATGTTGGTACACATTTTTGTCGAAGAGTACCTGTATACAGTTGCATACCTATCTAAAATGGCAAATTTTGTTTTCAATATAATCAATCGTCTTCCTGTTCGATCTCAAACCAAAGCGAATATTGAAAGAACAAACGTTGATAGGACGACAACATCTCGCAGAGAGATAAATGATTGAATCAATGCATTCACAATCGTTTTTAAACCTACGAAAACGAATTCGGTCAATTTTCACTCGATAAATAGAAAATATTTTACCAGGTACAACCGCAACAGTTTTCAGTGCTCGTAACACTCGAAATGTTCGTAAAACTGCAACGTTACCCAAATCAACAAAAAATCCCACATATCTAAAAATTCATTCAGTTTGATATGTCACATCGAGAATCGCTCTTTCCAGACATACGCAAGTGAAATCACAACAAAATCCAACCAATTCCACGGATCTCGCAAAAATGTATATTTCCCAAGAAGAAATCCGCGTGCCAAACACTTAATCAATGCTTCCATTGTATAAATGCCCGTAAAAACATACCTACACATGTGAATGATTTATTCTGACAAAGAACTTCACTGAACATCACTTACTCGACAGCATCGGGCACGTCCTTCATCGTCATAAACACACAATTTGTCAGAATCGTCAGAATAACTACTGTACTAAAAAGTGAATGAGTTAATAGTCGTATAGCTACACGTCGAATCCAATTGAAAGGAGATAGAAGAAATAAAGCCGGTGTTGAACTGAACCGAAATATAGTTTTACTTGAATTAATAACTAGAAATACCTAGGATTCTGAAAATTAACATCGAACTTTGTCAAATCCTCAACATACATCATCCGCTTCATAGTAATCATCGATTTCTTCGATTGGCTTGCCGATCAGTTTCTTTGGAAATCTAGTTCTTACAACGTCAGGTAATTTTTCTCCAGTCGCTAGTTTTTTATTCGGTAATCGTTTGTCACTGGTTTGTTGTTGTTGTTGTTGTTGTTGAGAATGTTTAATACGTTCAAATGATTCATGTGTAAACTCGCGAAATACAATCGAATCGTAATCCATTAGACGTTGTTCTTGATGCCCCGACGATAAAGAGAGAAGACAATCTCGGCAAAGATATTTTGACGAAGAAAACGTGTATTGATAACATCAAAATAACTTCGACAAACAATATCAATGTACGGAAGCGGAAAAGGTCGAATAGACTTTTTTTTTTATTACTTGTAATACATATCGACTAATATTTTATTACAACAGACCAGCGAAGAACGAAGGAGGATGCTCGTTTGTTTTTGATGACAAATGTTATTCAATCAAGTAGCAAATTCATCAACGAGACAAAAGAAGAAAAGTAATTATTGTTAACATAGCCAAAAAAGATTATTTATTTCTCTTTCACCGGAAGGTATCGAACTAATTACTTGATCGAATGGTAAATCCATTAACAAGAACGAACAGAAATCTAATTACCGCTTGTATAACAAAAACAGATCAACGATCGAGAGAAAGTAATCGTTACAACGACAAACACGTGTGTCGAATCCTCCAATTCGGTAATCTACATTCACATGTAGTGTAGTTTCAATATCGTTCAATTTCGTTTGTAATGCCTGATCGATCGCGTCATATATGGATTGTGAGACCTTGATTGGCATCGATTCGGTTAAATCACGACTGAGATCGAATATCAGTGGTGGTTTATGATCGATGATTAAACCTTCTTTACCACCACATGCTCCATCAATGGCAGAATATGTGGTATAATAAGCTTTATATTGATTATAAAGAATCGTAGAAAGCACACCAAATTCATCAGTATGAAAAAGAAAGTCGTAACCTTGATTCGAACTATCGAAAGTACGATTAGATGGTAGAGAGAAACCGGCGAGATGTGCAACCGTTGGTATCATCTCCAAATTCGATCCGATGGCTTCGAAAACACTTTCTGGTTTGATCACACCTTGCCAATGTGCAATAAATGAAAACACGATGTCCCGATTCCCAAGTTATAAACTTTGCCGTACCTCCTGCACCATCTCCCGCCGATAACGCTTGACTACCCGTCAAATCACATTTCGATGACCACGGTCCATTATCGCTAGCGAATATCAATAAAGTTTGATTCAAAACATTCAAATCTTTCAGTAGTTCGTATGTTTGATTGACACTGATATAAAGGAATACCGACTGTGAAAATACCTTCGATAATCTTTCGTAAATCATCAGGATGTTCATGCTTTTGTTCGAAACGGTACGGTGGATCTTTAGAACAGACTTTTACAGGCGGATAATTAGCACCAGGATTATCTGTGCAGTCCATGTCAATACTGTAAGAAATACCAATGTATTCATCAAATCTTCTGTAGGAAGGATGAAAAGGAGGTCGATGTCCAAGATCCCATCTACCATGCATAGCAGTTTGATAGTCGACACTTTTTAAAAGTTCAGAAATGATTGTTTCGTTTGCGGGCAAACCACCCAGAGTAGTTGATGCAAAATTTAGCCAAAAACACCTGTATGGGCCGGTAATCGTCCAGTCAATAGAGTTGCTCGACTAACACTACAAACGGATGCTGCACTGTGATATTCTGATAAGCGCATACTGATGGAAGCTGAATAGTCGAGAAATGATGTATCATGCGTATTTGGTCAGTCGGTACACAGATTGCCTCAACCCACATCATCTGCCATGATCAAAACAATGTTCGGTTGAGAACCAGCTAAGCGATCTGATAGACGCACAGCGCGAGAAGTCGAACATACTAATATATTTACAATTAAACACTGGAAAACGAATCGTAGAAGTGTTGACACGATTATGAGCATTTAGTTGATGAATGTAGTATGACAATGCATTTTTGTTGTATTCTTATCGTTTGTTTAGTCAACTTAGATACATAAAGATAATAATCAGTTTCATTCTTTTTATCTAGATTGCATACACTAATATATGTTTATTTATTCTTTTGATTGAAAATCAAATTAAAAGAATGATACCTATTCGTGTCTCTACCAACATATGAATTCATTCAACTTTTTCGTTCGATTCGATCTTGTTGACAGGAATCTTTGGCTTTTGTTGTCGGAATTTTGCACAGATTTTCTTCACAATCAACACAGCCCAATACAGATTAAGCAATCGTGTGTGAAGAAGTAGAATAATCTGCACTATAATTAACGCTATACTTGTTGTATCGTGTGAAGCTTCCGCCAGTAGAATAAATTTTGGTAATGCTCGAAATACGTAAAAACAAACGATAGTTCCATAGATGAGACGAGTCCACAGAAAAGTAACAGCAAACAACAAAGCACAAAAGCTATGTATATCACTATGTTGATGAAAGATTGCTTTTACATTCAATGGAATAGTTGATAGTTCTTCGAGCAACATCAAGAAATGGCTCGTGTGGCCGACACGTGTGTACAAACCTATTCACAAATGATGAGCATCATTTATGATGAACTTTTTCTGACTAACCTGAAAGTCCAATCATTAGAACAATAATATGATGAAACATTGCCGCTGCACTTCTCACTGATTTGAAATAGGCCATTAGAAGTAGATCGTAAATAAAATAACCTCCTGAATAGCATACACTATACGCCATTTTGTTATCGTATGTGCCATCAATACCCCCACCCAGTATGCGATTGACTTCTGTTAACTTAATCGGTGAATATAAATAGTATAAACACACAGCTAGGACGCAAGCACATGCATGAACTGTAGATACAACATAACTTTTGTTCAAGGGCGTTATTGACGATGGAAGAATATAGAATATTAAACAGTTGATAACGAACGAAACAAAAATGATCAATGTTACGGGAAAATCTTCTGAAGGATTTGTTCCGAGATCTAATCATAGATGAAAAACAAGAATAAGGTAAATGATTATGAATGTGAATACTTACAGTGGACACGAGCATTTATTTCAGTCATTGTCATTCAAATATTGAAAAAGTTTCCTTTATTGGTGTGCAACAGTACTGGTAACGTGTTGCTAATCAACAAAAAGCAGGCGACGTAGAACAAAAAAAACAAGCGAAGAAACGAGAAAGAAATTCACATGGTATAAAACATACAGAGTAATAATGCATTCTAACGTTTCTTTCGTTGTATATTAAAATCAATAGTTTCTTTTTAAACATTTAGTATATGAATGTTCAATCTCTGGTAATGACCAATAGCGCTTAATATGTATTTGAATGCAAGCATTTTTCTTAGAATTTCAGGAGACACTTAATTTATGTATGTTTTTGCATTCGCCTCTTCATCGATAAAAAAAAAGATGAATAGATCCTCGGTCTTTAATCTTTAAGGTAAATCTGCATATTCATGGCGCGGAAGAAAAGAAATATCCGGATTCATGTAGGTCACGAGAAAAAAACGACTTGTAGAAAGAAAAAATTGAATAGACTACACTTTTGCTTTCGACATGTGACAATTTCTGCAATCGTTGTATGGTTTCAACCAGCATCACTTGTTTCATATATGCATTCAAAAAGATGGAGTTATATTCCACGTGTTTTGAACAGGGTATTGTTGAACAAGGGTTTGCGTGCGAGCGATCTATTCACGGAATTTGAACCCTCGCATGTGTTTATATCCCATAACGATGATCATTTCGCTAAAGTTGTTTATAAAGCTTTGTTCATCATACTTCATCGAGGATGGTTGAAACATATTGCAAAATAGGAATTCAACGCGTTTGAGTGTACAGGAAACTTGTTTATTGTCATTGCAAAAGAAAATAGCGTCTGAGGAAAACAGTTATGTTCGTAATGAAGCGGTATATTTTGTTTTGAATTGATCATGGGACATTTCAGAACACAATTAATTGAAATATTTTCCCAATACAAAACAAAAGACTCACAAAGTACGAGAAACGAACACACACTGACGCAAAAAATGAAAAATGTTACACTTCATTATATCACGAGGTGTATCTTCGTATGTTTCCGTTCGTATTTAAACAGCACACTTATTTGTGCTGCAACTAACTTCCTGTCTGCTGAATATTTACAACCGCAATACCATGACGTGTACACGAACGTGTTGCCATTATTTTTTCGATGATTTTGATTTCTGTGATTCGTGGGATTGTTTCGATCTATGTTCATCAACTTACTGCGCGCACCCAAAGATGCGTCAGAGTATTTGTAAACCGCAAGCATCGAAAAACGCACGAAATACTAAAAATTCTCCTCAATCCACACCGCAAGCCAAAAATTCCTCATCGTATTCGAATAGTAATAGAAACGATGATAAATCAGACAAGTTTTCTGTTCAACTGGATGTGACTGGATACAATCGAGATTCAATCAAGCCCAAAGTGGAAGGTGGGAAAATAGTCGTTGAAGCTAAACAAGAAGATCAACTACCAGACGGTGATTATAACATCCGACAATTAAGAAGATCCTATGAATTGCCACAACAAGCCGGTTAGTACCCAAACAGTCTGTTGACCGAAAAGTTCTTTTGCTTTGATTGTGATAGATCCTTCACGCATGACTTCAAATGTTTCACCCAATAATATGCTGACGATTGAGGTGCCTTATCGTAATTCAGGAAGCGGAGGTCAGCCTACAAAAGGAAACGGAGGCCAATCAACAAAAGGAAACTCGTCACAATCGTATGGCCCAGCGTCTTCACCGACTGAGTATTTAAATTTCCTTAAAAGTGGAGAATTCAGTCCAACTGTCATCGATAAGGACAATAATCAAAAGGTTTTAGAACTGACTTTTGATGTGAAGAACTGTCCACCTGAAGAACTCAAGGTGTCAGTTAAAGATAATCTTTTGACAGTTGAAGGCGAACATATGGATGCCGAAAATAATCATTCAAAACGGACACGTTTCGCCAGAACAACAACATTACCCATTGGTGCACAGCTTGAGCAAATGAAATCGAATCTCAACAATGAAGGGCAGTTGAAAGTTGAGATACCATTTGTATTGAATTGAAGCAGAGGGGAGAAAGATTTTTCTGGAAAAAAAATTCAATAAATGCGTTGAGCACGTGAGATTTTCAAATGAAGTGTTCCTATATTCGTCGAAATAGTTATTTTTATTTTGTAAAACACTCATGGGTCATCCCCATCACCAACATATGTGTTCGACAAATAGTAAATATCATACACGATGTTCTTTTTATTTGTTTGCTTAATCGTTACACATACTAAAATACTTTTAATGAGAGAGACTGCTAATATATTGTTCCCAAATACTAAAAACTTTCATTTCGTATCAACGCAGTCGAATGGCTTTAATCTCTCAGTTGTATAACTACAATTTTCAACATTTGACTCACAGAGTATTGTGTAGATGATCACTCTTTCTGTATCTTATCAGCTTAATATAGTGTTGATACTGGTAGTAATATAGATTTTAAAATACTTCATGTTGCTTGATTTGACGTAAGGGAAGTTGGCATCCGATTCGAGTTTTTTCATTCCCGATTCGTCTAGAAACCTGTTCCAAGCGATCCAAAGTGTGTTCCAAGTACAACTCGACGAGCTCTATCCAGTGGTGTGCTCAGATTTACCTTACCCCGAACTATGATTTTTGGGCTGATAGATAGCGCTAGAGAGGCTTTGAAAACTACACTTAGGGCTATTGCAAATTTGAGCACACCACTGGATAGAGCTCGTCGAGTTGTACTTGGAACACACTTTGGAGTGCTTGGAACAGGTTCCTAGACGAATCGGGTGCCAACTTCCCTTACGTATTATTTGTACCTTATTGATCAAAACTTTCTTCTTAATGTACCAGCGTCCTGGCGTCCTCCTACTAATTGTAATTCATCATGAGCGTTTGGGACGCCAGGACGCTGCTTCTATAGGAAGAAAGAAAATGATTAACAGCAATAAATATTCTTCCGAAAGAGTGTTCTTCCAATGGTTGGCACTTGCAAACGACTCACTGAGACACTAGGACGCCTTATAAAACAACGATTTTTCACCCCTTGTCAACTGTAATTCTTTCCTACTTAGAATAGACGCCATGGCGTCTTGTTCATCCTGTGTAATATATGATCAGTAGCCAAACGACAAGACGCAGCTTGTGCATGCAATAATATCGTACTGAATTTATAGTGAAGAATCTACGACAGGATAGTGTCCTAGCATTGAACAAATGCCTAGGACACACGGAAACCATAACTATTATCATCCTCCGTTTCTGATTGGTTGATTTTGCGATACTCAACACCCGGATAATTATGTGACACGATGTGATGATGAAACAATACGTATTTATATCGGGTGATCTTTAATCTGAACCCTTTGACGTTGATAAAAATACACATACATACAGGCTACTTTGTTCATATGATCTTTCTTCCCGTTGAGGGGAAATGACAACACTAGCTCTATCAGTGTGTTGTACCCAATTCGACCGCACCTCTTCCGCACACAGCTCTAAACCATCATCGACCATCTTAATCCCCGCAAATGATGTTTTATGAAGTTTTGAGCATTTTCGAAAAAAAATGTGTTTTTGACCTTTGATCCTTGACCCTGACACAGACAGATAAACTATTTATTTTCGTATGACCCTCCATTCAGTCGAGGGAACAAAAGAATCTCTTAACGGTAATGTGTTTTTCTTTGTCAGGATTGTTCAAATCAATTTTTTTTCAATTTCAATCATTAAAAAAGACATCAAGAAAGACATCAATTCAATTCTTGATGATTGTGAGAGAAGAATAAGAGACATCTTTCATCGATGCACTGAATTGATGAAAGGTTCGAATTGAATCGAAGAGAATTTGAAAGGAATTCAAGTCAAACTTGAGAATATCTTTTGAAGAAGGGAATCCACTGTGACGATTTTTGATGGAATCACGCCTTTGATTCTTCCTATCGTGAATCGCATCTTTTATATAAGATAACATGCACTCATACGTATATGTGCAACAGAAGAAAGAAAACGAAGATGACAAATGTATGAGAGAGAGATGACAGAAAGAGAAAATCCAAGAGCAATGTCACCATATATATCGTTACAAATGTCTCGTCATTTTTCATACGATTGAAATTTAATGGTATCTATAGGTATTTCTAATGTAACATCGAATTCTTCATTTAATTATACTAATGTGGCATGTTAGATGGATACATCTGTCGATGTTTTATTGATAATGCTGGTGAACATTGCGAAAAAAAAGCGCGACAGATAATAATTTACAAAATCATCTCCAAATTCGTTGCATATATTGCGTTGTTTGTAATTGTAATGGATATTCTTAAGTATAATTTTCGTTTGGATCCAGCATGTCGAGAAGTTCAACGAATTCGACGAGGAGAAGAACGTAAACGAGTGATTCAACGGTTTGTATATGTTACTGTCGCATCTGCACCGAGACAAAAACTTTCGACAACCGTGGAATAAACACCAATTTCGATTTTTATTTCAAACTAAAAGACAACACGTTCAATGTGTCATTTGTCATTTTCTGTATATTGTCCAATAAGCAGTGTTGTATATTGACGAACGAATCTTACCGATAGAATCGTCTTTTCATTCAGTTCAAGGCAGAGGACATATTCAGAGTATGGATATTCTCTTCAGTAGCGAGAGTCTGATACCCTCGCTGTTCGATTATTTAGTAGACATTCTCATTCGTTTTTTTCTTAATCATGCCTCTCGCGTGTTTGCTCTTCTTTTTCTGACAGGCATGTATGTGCGCAGTATATCTTCTATTGACTCAGAACAAAACAAAATACCGTATATTTACTTAAAAGCTGCTGCTACTTTAATTCAAATATTTTTTTCGAAGGGCTCGTTGAATAAGTGAGTCGAAAGAACGCATTCTGATTTATTTCTAGTAATTCATTATATTATCGTATAGTTGCATAAAGAAAAGAAAACAACCACTGTCCGAGACGAGATCGTATGGATGTCTTTCGTTTGTATCTGGATCTTCATCGACATTTACAATCGCAACGTAATTACGATTATGAGACGTGTAGTTATTTTTTATCTTAATTCGTTTGTTCCCTTTCTAACGCCTTCTATTTATCATCATACAGATGAAATGTGAATAATTTTTAGTATTCTCTTAGATAATCAATTAAAGAAATCATACAACCAATTGCACAAATAACATGACTTCTGTTTTACCGGATCGGAGTGAAACACGAAATACTCCCCGCTTCTTTGATCGCGAACGCATCAATCTTGAATCTCATCAATTGATGTTTCTGAACACCGAACCAGATCAACTTCTTTTCACATTAAATCAACTTCGGCAAATTGTTGATCATACGAGAATTACTGACACTATCGATGAAACTCTTCAAGCCATCCAACAAACAACAGATACAACAACATTTCTTATTTGTTTTGTCCATCTTGGTGAAATTCTTATTCCACAAATTCATACTTTCGAAAATGTTCGATCAATTTATATTTATTGTCATAGCCAACCATACGATGAACAGTGGTTAAATGAATATCCGAAAGTACGTGTCTTTTCAGGTAATATATTTCGTTTTCACATGTTTCTCTAGATCAAAAATGTATATACGGATCCAGAACTACTCGTGAATGCTCTGCAAGTAGATGTTGAACAATATTTACAAAATGAAAAGAACGGAATATTTAGCGAATTCGGTCGAGATAATTATACCAGTGATATCCATACATTTTCTTGGTGGAACTATGTGATTCATCTGATTTGCCATTTGACATATCCTGACAACTCTCGCACCAGTTTTGTTGAAATATTAAGGAATTACTATGAGGGCAAAGCAGTCGAATTAAAAATTTTAGATGAGTTCAGTCGAGATTATTCCCCGAATACTGCTATTCTTTGGTACACGCGAAATACGTTTCTTTATCTCCTTATTAATAAAGCGTTACGTCAAAAAAACATCGAAGTCATTTTTCTATGTGGCTTTTTTATCAGAGACATTTATTCACAATTACAAAATCAATACGAAATCTTGAAAATGAAACATAGAAATGATCCGATAATCAAAGTGTATCGTGGACAGATTATTTCATTAAGTGAAATTCATTGGATCAAATCGTCCCAGTTCATCAACACTAGTTTCTTTTCGACATCTCTTGATCATTCTTACGCATCATTCTTACTTGGATCATCAAGTGGACCTGATGATGAAAACCAGCATATTTTCTTTGAAATTGAAATTGATGTTCGATTAGTTTCTCAACCGTTCGGATCGATCTCGAGTTTATCTTATTTTCCCAATGAAAATGAAGTTCTTTTAATGATAGGAAATCATTTCAAAACAACTAACTGGTTCTATGATGATCATCGAAATGTGTATGTGGCAAATGTTAAACTTGAAGCCGATCCTTCTGTCAGACCGAAACGTGATTTTTTCGGCATGTCTCCGCGAACGATACTAAAAGTCGGTGTCAATGATATTTCTCAGCATTTATATCGAGTCGGTGTAGAAAGCATTCAATCACTTTTTTCTCAATTATATCAACTGTTTCCAAACGAAAAAGAATGGTTAAATGCCATGGAATGTTATACTTTAGCTACTCTTTATTCACAGTTTCACATCAAACATTATCCTGAATATGTTGATATCACTTTGTCACAGTATCGACAGGCGTTGATGATCTATGAATTATACTTAGATGATGGAGAATTATACTGTGCAATTGATATAGCTCGAGTTTATCTTGGCATGGGTTCTATTTATCGAGCGTACGTCGAAGATAATGCACTCGCTAATGAATACTATGATCTGGGTATTATTTTAAGTATTTCATTACTTCCATCCATAGTTAATCGAGATAAACGAATCGAACTCTATAATGTCATAGGTTGGCTGTACGAGGTTAGAACAGCACTTGAAACTGATCAAAGCAGACGAAGAGAATTGATTTTCAACGCAATTGCGCATCGAAAAACGCAATTTGAAGAAATGTTAACTTATTCTTCATATAAACATTCAGATTTTATTGAATGTATTTATAGTTTAGCTAAACTACAAGCTTCGATTGATCTCATAAGCGAAGCACAAATGAATTATGAAAAAGTGATTGATCTTTACCTGAAAGAACCTGTACCAAATTTTGGTTCAAGTGAAGGTATTTACAAACAATTATCGAAGATATTTATTGAAAGAAACGACTACACCACTGGTCTTTCTTATAAACAAAAAGAACTTGAATGTAAAACGAAAAACATAGCACAGTATTCAGGATCATATAAATTAGATATGGGTTATTTCAATAGAGATGTGGCTGAGACGTATGAAGAGTTAAGTGATATTTGTATTCAGTTGCAACAATATAAATCAGCACATGAACACTTGAAGATGGCAATGCAACTCTACGAGAGTGCGGATACTTGGAAATCAGAAGAAAACCTTGCAATTATTACACAAAAATTAAAAAGTATCGAAGAAATGTATGATGAATGAGTGAATCATTTCGATACAAGAACATGAACTTTTCGATGATTTTGTATTGATATAGAGGAGATCATGGTACAGAAGCTTATTTGTGACTTTCATAGAACATGAATGTTCATCGTGAAAATTCAAATGAACTCGTTTAAGTTTTAATCCGTTTGTGGAACTGAATATTCGACTGTGAGTTGAAGTCAATATCGACAAATATTCCAGAAGGAGAATACAGTCGATCTATAATTATGGTCCTGGAGAACCCGTTCTAGCTATTATCACTATTGTTTGATTGCTACTATCTAGTAATGTCTTCTCTACTTGATGTTTGTTAAAAACCGAACAATAGATATAATTCTGAATGTCAACAAAAAGTTCCAAAGAATTATCTGAAAATTTTGTTATTAAATTGACTTTGTGTTGAATGTAATGTAAACTTATCGATTCGACCTGTTTCATTTCGATGTACAAAATAAATATCACGACTTAAAACAAACCGCTCTGACATTAACTTCCTGACCATAGCCGTATTTGCATTGAAAAACGCCTGACAAAACGCAAACTCACGACTTCAAAGCTTTAATTCGAGCACTAATCGATACTGTAAGCTGATGAATAGTTAGAAAATAGTGAACACGTTTGATTAAGCAAACAATTGACACTTAAGATGTTGGCGGCTAAGAGCACAGCAAACAAATATATTCCTTACACGAAGCATTCATTTGAATTGCAACGGCACTTGACGAAGGTAGTACCGCAGACTTAATTGATTCACCTTCAACACTGCTGATCACATTTGGCAAAAGGAAAATGCATGTGAAAAAGTATTGTTAGTTTCTTTATCATTTGAATCTGATCAATGAACAAAGGAGAACACAAAATTGAATACAGTTGAGTTTCCTTTCATTATTTACTCTCGATAAAAGAGAACGTTATGTTTGTCTATGGAATTAGAAACAGAATCAAAGATTACAACCTATCACCTTTTTGTGTCTCAATTAAACTTTGATAGAAAAAGAAGAATATAATGATGTCAATGATTAACCTATTTCAATCATTAACATTTACATTCTGTTAACGAATGAATACGTGAATGTAGTTGCTCAGCAGTATATACGAAGTATAGAGATTTTATTATTCTTTCACAGAGACTTTTATCTTGTTCCCAGTATATGCAACAGTAGTAAATAGATAAGAAAATGTTGTCAGGTGACGCATATATGATACGCGAGTTCGAAAGCTTACTATCAATAAAACATCTTCTTATTTGAGTCTATTATTTGTTCCTACAAAAAACTCATGCATTTTCGCTCTTCTTTGCATTACTAAATTCGACAAAATTCCTGCTACCATCATTTTTCATCATGATAGACGCATAGCGGGATTACACTCTTCGAAATACTTGTCTAAGCAAATGACTGATTGGCCTATTATGCTTTAAGCGTCATTGATGGTTTTATGTAACGTGCCTATGAAAGTAGCAGTATTCAATGAGGAAATTGATTGGACCTATTCATTAGACTATAATGAGTTTTTTTGTTTCATACAGAACGCATATAGGAGAATTGTATCGCAGGGCCCAGGATGTTTACCTCTTTTCAAACGGCAACACTATAACACACACGCAAGTCATGAAGGAAGATTCATAGTCAAGTTTCAACGATAGCTAATTAATATTGTTTCTTCTTTTTCTTGTGATCTATTTTATATAAACATGAACTATTTCTCATTGCAAGTTTTGAATATTTATGATATTTTAACACACTTTTCTAGTATTTATTCATATCAAAACGATATTTCTGGCAGAACAACATTATGTCTAATACTATAAATGCAATCAATCGAACCAGCAAACTATCGGGTTTTTCGAAATGCCACTGCGTTTACTCAATACTTTCATTCGGAAAAATTAATTTAGTTGAGACCGAATCAAAATCGAACAGTGAGACTCGATCACGAGTGGGAAGATCGTAAACAAAAACTACCAGGAAATCCGACAACATGACCATCATTGATATCAGTTTCATACGTGGATATAACTGTTCTATGGTCTTGTCCACCGATAAAGGGTTGTTACAAGCCAGAGTAAGAGGTAACTTACTGAACGATGCTCCACGGCGATCGCATTGTATCGTACTTCTAGTTTACATGGAACAAAAAGTACTTATGTTAACCTTAAAATATATTAAAATACTTTTGTGCTCTTTAAGAGTATTGTAGGATACAGAAAATATTTATTTCTAGTTGTTGTACTTTGTCCTTGAATTGCTATCTTGGTTCGTGTCATGCTGCACATTTTCTCATCTTTTTTCACTTATCAATTTTCATCGGGTTTTGTTTTCCGTTGTCATTCTTTTCTTTTATTATTCTTTTATAGTAATAGAAACAAAAGAGTCTTACAAACTATGGCTCGTGGTACTCATGTAGCTCTATCGAGCATTTTCCTTATCCTTATTCTGTACTTTTTGCAAGGTTTAAACATTGGACTCGCAACTAGTATACCCATATTCTTGGCTGTACGAGGAGCGAATTGGGCACATCAAAGCATATTTAGTTTCGTTTATTATCCATTTTCGTTGAAGCTTTTCTGGGCACCTTTGATCGATACTATTCATATTCCTCGTTTTGGCCGACGTAAAACATGGTTAATACCGATTCAGTTATGCATCGTGGCAATTCTCTTACTCCTATCGTTTTACGTCGATTCGTTTGTCACGGCTGGTCATGTTGTATGGCTTGCCGTAATGTTCTTTGGCATTATTCTTCTCACTGCATCTCAGGACATTTGTGTAGATGGTTTAGCTATTACATTGTTTTCTGCGACTAACCCTCAATGGACATCAACTTCGCAGAATGTCGGGCAAACACTAGGTCACTTCTCGGGCTTTTCGTTCTTACTAACATTGGAATCAGCTAATTTTACGAATAAATACATTCGTCAACCGCTATCATTGCCCTTCCAAGCGTATGGTCTATTCTCGCTCGAACATTTCATACGTTTTGCAGCTCTGGCCTTTCTAGTAGTAACCGTAAGTGTTGCGATATTTTTCCATGAGAAAAAGGAAGTAGCACTAACCAACAAAGAAGACGCACATCCATTAACAATATCCGAAACATATATTTCAGTCATAAAACTGTTCAAAAAGAAATGTATGCGACAATTAGCTATTATATCAATTCTCGCACCGGCTGGCTTAGTAGCTACTACGTATATGACACGTGTGTCACTTACCAAGTAAATAGAAAAGTTGATTTCTTCATAATTCTCAATCGACGATCTCGTTTTAGGCAAGGTGTACCGCAAGCTAATTTAGCACTTGTTGAAATTCCAGTCACATTGGTTTCAGTCTTTTCACCTCTTATCATTCGTCGTACCAAACGGCCTCTGATTTGGTTCGTTCGATTCTACGCTTTGTATCTTCTTAGCGCAATTCCAACCGCTGCGTATGTGTATTTCACTCCTCAGATAATCTCATCGAGTTACTACTATCCCCTACTCATTGTCTTTCTTACATGTAATGAGTTTTTCCGAGTTCTTCGAGCTGCGGCTCAAATCGGTTTCTTTGCTTTGATCAGTGAAGAACGTATCGGTGGAACTTATATGACGTTGCTTGCCACCCTAAGCAATTTCGGATTCGCTATGAACTCTTCGGCCATACTTTATCTATCAAATTGGTTACCCAAGAAATACGATTATGTGATTGCAGTTGGTCTATGTATCACCCTTGGTGTACTATGGATGGTGCTTTCATTTCGAACTATAAAACGACTGCAAAAATTACCTACACACAAGTGGTATTTATTTCCCGAGACGATCACCGATAACACAATCACATTGGAGAAAAAATATGATAGAAAGTTATTGGATGATGAAACAAACTAAGGAACTTTTTCAGAAGAATTGTAAATGAAAGACTACGAAGTTTTTTCAAAATCATAAACATCTACATCGGATTTTCTCTGCTTTTGACATGTTTATCAGTATGATTCATAAAAAAAAGATTTGGTCATGAATATCTAAATATATAACCTCATCTGTATGCTTCATAATCATACAACTCTAATTAAACTTGTCATGATCAAAACTAGAAATAAGAAGTTCTTGCAGCACAGTTTGACTATAAAGGCAACGTCGACAAGTAATCCTTCTCAACATAGAAAAAATGAATTCAACAGATGAATACTATGATGCCTTATTCGACGATCTATTCAAATATCTTTACCGATATGTAATTCCCGTTTGCTACATCGTGGGAAATTTTGGAAGTGTCATCAGTGGCTACATTTTTTCCACAAAGGCATGGAGAAAAAACGTTTGCGTCTATTACTTTAACACATGCCTAGTGATTAACTTGGCTGCTCTCAATAGTTATCTGCTGACAACTATTCTTATCGCCGGCTACGACGTTGACCTTTACAATTCCAATATAATCTTTTGTAAGCTCTACTACTATACAACATTCCTATTCTGTGCACTTTCACCTACCATGCTCATTCTGGCATCCATCGACCGTTTGCTCATATCGTCCCAAAATGTTAACCTTCGACTGTATAGTTCAAAACGTTTAGCTTACTTTTCCGTTAGTTTGGCTACAGTTTTCTGCATTATTTATTTTCTCCATGTCTTAATCAAACCGGAAATTGTATCAGTCGCACCGTCGATTACGGCATGTACACTTAGCACTGATTACGGTTACCTGATGTTCTTTGCTTACTCCTCGTTGCTTGTTACATCGTTTTTCTGCATAAACATGATTGTGCTGTCAATTTTATCGATTAAAAACGTTCGGATTATTCGCGCTGCGCCTCGTCAACAACAACGGCAACAATTGCGCACAATGAACAAGAAAGACTTTCAATTACTTCGTTGTCTATTCGTCCACGATATCGTCTTTATTGCTTGCAATATTTTCCTCAATTTATATTATGTTTATATTGTGGTCAGATTTTATGGTAGCATGTCAACTCTGGAACGAATCTTCAGCAATTTCCTAAACAGTTTTCTCACCATGCTCCAACAGCTTTCGTTCTGCACCAGCTTTTTCATCTTTGTCACCGTCTCGAAAGCATTTCGACATGAATTCCGGCGTATTGCGTACAAAATGATTCGGAAAAATTCGGTCATCATGCGGGAAGAAGAACAGATCGAACGAATCAATGTCGAAATCAATATTTTCAACGAGAATGGACAACGTGCTCAATAAACAAGGTGCGACAATAGCACACTTGTACAAAATCATGAACGAACAGTTTCCCTTTCTTTCTGAACCTTTTTTTCCGAATTACACGAAAAATATGACCATACGTTTAGGAATATATTAGCTGCTTATATGTACGCCATTCACCAAGGTTCACATTCTTTCAGTTTGATTTCTACGGCAGGCACCTTGTTTCTATCTATTGTAACGTCAATGATTTTGAAGGCTGAATATGGTAGAACTAGAACTTCTTCTTCATCGGGATACAATGATGTGTTGGCGATATATAATGCCGTTCTCGGATTTCGTATCTCATATATGCATAGCGTACTCATTCGGGAACTTGTGTCACGTTTATTACCATGGAATCCCGTGGCGACACTCAAACGTTTGGACGTTGACGCAAAGGTTTTAGTTAAAATTCGTGTGCCTCGCTTGTACAGCGTAACATCATTCTCGGTAAGCATCATGCCGCGATACGTCGTTCCAAGATACGAGAGACTATTGAAATGTGGATGTCGAGCGATAATTCCAATGAAATACGCTAAACTAAGGTTCTGTGGAGCAGCTAAATTCTCAAGCTCTAATTGTGCCAAATCGGTATTGAGTGCCGAAGAGAAGCCTGTATCAGTTGTATAGGCTTTTAACAAATAGTTCGGATCTTTTTCCTCGATTGTTACATCAAAAAATTGTCGGATTAAATCAATACTCTGAACATTGCGCAGACTCTTTTCCAGATAATTTTGTTTGACGAAGAGAACTAGCCGATCGAATTGTGGATCGTTGCCGTAAGTTTCTAATGATTTCAAATACTCATGTGCTTGAAAATCGGCATCATACGAAGAACGAATCCATTCCATGAAATCACTGACAAAACGCGTCTTAGTCAGACGTCGTCGATGAGGCATTTGCTTTGTCTCGTCGCTTTTAGCTCTCTCAAGTACGGTTACACGAGATTTGTTTTTCGTTGAACCAGAAGCTACAGGGAGCGCAGTCGAACCATTCGGTTCCATTCGATCCAGACTTTTCAGTGACATTGATTGTAGATACTTTTGAACAACATCGATATCATTAGCACGTTGCATACGAGAGGAAGCATTTGTACTGACAGCTGAAACAGAATGATCGATTCGTTTGAGTAAAACATTCGATACAATGAACTATCGAAATTTTGTCTTGCACAAATAGAGAAAGAGCTGAACATGTTTTGAATCATCTCATACCACGCGAAGCGCTTACCTTTATTTTCTACTGTGGAATGTCTTTGTGATACACTCGCTTCGAACGGTTTCCTATTTCTCGTCGCTCCTTCTTTATCTTCTACAATACGTGCAGACAACATAGGATCAATACCTGAAGTTTATGAAAAAAGAATCTGATTTTTTTATTCATACATATACATGTATACGCACCGAAATCTAATTTTCGTCGAAAATCATCCGAGGAACTATCACTGTCATTGTCACTGTCGTCATCGGGTATATTTTCCACGATTTCATCATCAATGAGATCACGGACCAGATCTAAAATAAATACTCCAATTAATTCAGAAATATTCGTTTTTTATCGGTATTACTTTTTGCTGATGACAATTTTTTCCTGAAAAAAAAAGACAAGGAATATACTAACGTCATACACAAAATCCTACCGTTCCTGAATAACGCGCGCCTTATATATTTCATCACATGGATGATCCCAGGATGACGTACCCGTATCAAAATTAAAATAATATAATTCTCCATTTTCGTCTTGACACGGTTTCCAACCTGATGGTAGTGGTTTAAGGATCCCTTCTCTAGCCAGCCAAAGTAAATGAGAGTCCTAATTTGGATACAAAATACTGATCACTGAGTGTTTCAGCACGTAAGTTTACCTTATCTGGATCAATACCAATAAAAATGGCGTATTCACGGATTTCTTCTGAAGTTGGTTCGTAGTTTTCGTCCATATGTTCGCAGAGAACTGTTTGATTATTTATTTTGTATCCACTAGATGGTAACATGATTGGCGATATGAGGCGTAGTTAAATTCCTTTTTGCGAAAAAAGTAAGGGTGAAAGTTGATTTTTTTCTTTCAAGAATGATTCAACATTTTTCGTTGGATTTGATGGATTTTATTTGCTGACTGTTGACAAGTTAAAGCAGCCCTTTGAAAGATGTTGCTGCGATAAAAATGAGTATAATTACATGTAACTAATACTATATAACCAAATCAAGTTTATACCTTTTTAGATAAGAATAAGTATAGTTTTGTCGGAAGACAGAAATCGACCTGTCTGATGGTGGCGCCACTGTATGGAATAAAAGAAAAGAAAAGTAAATATATACTATCTATTCGATTTTCGTTAACAAAGGCGAAATCGAATCTTCCTTTGTTCATCATTTCGTTGAATGTACAAGTGAAAAATGGTGTGTTTGCTTGAAAATCTATCCAACGAAATTTTCTATGAAATATTCGATTATCTCGATGGTTGTGAATTATATCACGGATTTTCAAATCTCAATTCTCGTTTCCATCAGCTACTAAACTCTCCCTTACTTTTTTATGAACTCAAATCTCATTGTACATCGAATCAGTTCGATGAATGCATGAGATATATTAATCCAAATCAAATTCGTTCATTCAATGTCTCATCGGAATTGCGAATCGACAAGTTCTTCTCGTCGTTCAATATCGACTCATCACTTCATCATCTTCGATCGATTTTCGTTGAGAACATCAAGCCTGAAACGCTTTCCGATCTCTTGACGAATTGTACTCATTTACCATGTCTTACTTCGCTGAATATCATGTCCTATCATCAGTTATTAGATCTATGTCAGATTTATCCATTGATTTTCAACTTATCAACACTAAAATCTCTGACAGTAACGTCACATGAATTCAAGAACTCCATGGCATTACCATACGCCACTGAAAGTCAACAAACAAGCAAAATCGAACATATGAACATCAACCACCGTGTTACCTTTCAGGAACTTGCGACGATTATTTCCTACACGCCAAAACTCTTTCGTTTAGAATTTCTACACGAAGATGAAGATGATTCAACAGTTGAATTAATCACACCAACGCAACTGTCAAACATAACTCACATCTCAATGACGATTATGTACTTGAATTACGATGATATGGACATCTTCTTGCATAAATTACCATCCACTCTCGAAAGTTTCAATTTTTTCGTATGTGAAATCGATATCAGTTATCTCGATTTCAGCATGTGGGAAGAATTAATCAAAGAAAACTTTCCCCAACTGAAAAACTTTTATTTCAATTACACTGCCACGATTCCTGATGAAGAAGAATTCATATTTACTGGTTGTGTGCTCGATCAATTTGTGTCGCCATTTTGGATCGCTCGACAATGGTTTAATCAAATAATCATTCGCCAAGAATCGATTGCAATCACGATTAAACCGCACAAGTATTTCTCTAACTTCATTCTCATGCCCACAATTTGATTTTTCATTTTCAGAAAAAGATGGTACGAATGCCTTACAACCCATAGCAAACTGAATATAAATGAGTCAAGTTTACTTAGCATTCAATACACACCCGAAGATCAATGGTTGGATGTACTCTATGATGAAATCGAATGGGTGACCGATGTGGCAACGATCTATCATTTAGAAATGACAGGAACGTTTTTTATCGGGGTTATGGGTCAAATTTTCAATCTTCTGCCTGATCTTCATACATTCCGTATCTCCTCGATCACATTACCAACGGTTACATTGTTAACTGATGATGAATTAGAACAGTTTATCGACGCAACGACTTCTAATCGGATTACGAAAGTTTATCTGGAGAAAATGAACACATTTGATGAGTTTCTTTTCCTTATTGATTTATTTCCGAGATTAGAATCGCTTCAGATCGGTTGTAAAAGCGATATTGACATTGAATTATTCTTGCACGTGATTCTCATCAAGATAAATAGTAAAAAGTCGAATCTTCGTTTACTGGCCATGCGCATTCCGACAGCTGACGACCATATAGTGAAGAAAATACAAAATCTTATTGATCTTACGATTACACGTGCGAATGACACAATTTTCTTGCGACTATAATGACACATGTTTCTTTTTTTTATTATGAATAAAGCATTTCAATTGAGAGTACACTTAATTAGGTGCGAATCTCATGAATCTGTTACAGTAACAGTTCCATTATCGAACAAATTGATTTTCATATTTGGTCGAAAACCGCAGTTTTCATGAACGTAACCACGTTGATTGCTGACAACTTTTGTTGAATTGATCATTAGATTAGTCGACAGATGCGTATGACCATACACCCACAAACGAACAGGATCTTGACAATCTTCGTCATGATCGTTAACGAAAGCATCTGCAACACCTGATTCTGCGTCTTCATCCGTGCACGTCTCTCGACGTGAAGGTGCGTGATGAGTGATAATAATCACATGTTCTTGATTTTCACGTGCTTTTCGAATCTCTTCTAGCAACCAAGTATGTTGCTCGGCATGCCAAGCATTTGTATCATCAACAGTTAGACGACGCACCACAGTTCTGCACTTATTACGTGATTCAGTTTCATCGACAAGTTTAATTTGATAGTAATCATTCACAAAACGACCAACTTTCGAAGCTGTTAGTTCAGAAACATAAGACCAGAGTGTCGTGCCTAGGATACGAACTTTATTCGGAAGAAGATAAGTTTGATTGTGTAGGAAATGAATGCGAGGGTTCATTTTATTAAGAGCATGAAGTTGTTCAAGTCGATCTTGATATTCACCGCCATAAAAGCAATGATTTCCCGCAACATAGAAAATGTGTTCAAATTTGTCACATTGTGCCAATAAAAATGCGCTTAAACTGGGGATGTCAGGTCTTCCAATGTCTCCAGCAAGGATCAAGTTCGGTGCGACAACGTTGAACTCAGGTACAATTGCATTTGGAAATTCTAAATGCAGATCGCTCATCAGCATTGTCTGAAAAATCGGTTTCGACTCTTCACTCATTTTTTCGATACTTTTAGTGATGTCAGTTGTGTTGCTTCCTTATAAACATGTACGAATGAGTCACCAGCGAGGAAGAAGAAAAATACACACTCATATTACCACGTGGCTTCTCTGGATTTTCGCCAATCTTATGACAATTTATATCGGCAAATAACCCTTCAAATGTTATGAAATAACAGACAACCATGTATTTGCACATTCGACTTTGTCAGCTCGAATTTCACTGCGAAGTATATTAATATATAGTTATTTACATATCGAAGGTCAATAACGCGTATTCAATAAAATGGAACACAAAGCCATTTAAAATAAATTTCATCATGCAAACAAATTACTGAACGGAAGAGAAGAGAAGGAAAAATAATGAGAGAAACAAGTTTCATCTAGCAACATAACAATTCTGCAGAAACCGACATTGGAAATCACCGGTTTATATGTTGAAACATATCTATTTACAAATTGGTTTGAAAATGAAGATAATGATTCAAATAGATAGGTTTTGGCTCGAAACTTGATAAAAGATAATTTTTAAAAATTCCTCTGTAAGAGATGTAGTTTCTCTAAGCTGCATTTTTTTTTGTTTTGACGGTTGCGAAGTAAGAATTAGTAGTATCCGAGAGAGAGAAGAAAAAAAAGTTGGGAAAAAAAGCAACTCTAACGAGTATACATAGTTACGTATTAAACGCTTTATTGTATATTTCTATGGATACATTCACTAGCTGTTTTCATTATGAGCGAATTTGAACAGTAGAACTAACGAAATGATTCAAACATCAGGTCTCCTGACTGGAAATCGAATTTAAATGGGAACTACCAAATAGTTTGACACTTTTGTTAATAAAGAATTAGGTATTTTTTTCTTTTCGTTGGGTTTCCAGATCACTGTGGTTTGTTACACATACAACAATATCTTTTTCACATTGTAGAAATAGAGTACATACGTCCTTGAATTGTTTCTATGACTTCTCGTTTGCTTCCGTCGATCGACTAGGAGAAAAGAATACTTGTTAGAATTCAATGGTGAAAAATATTGCATTTTATATGATTTTTGTTTACACCACGGAAATAGTGACCTGTTTGTTAACAGAACGACAAGCATTTCACTTGTAACGAGTATTGATGACGAACAAGAGTATTTTAAACGAGAACAGCAATATCTATTTTCGAGGTATCTTCGATAGCTCACCTTGCGAGATGATGTATTCTAAGAAATTATTCGCTGTCAGTGAACGGCGGAAAAAAGATGTTGCCAACTTGTTTATTAGTCTACATCATTTTTTTAAAAACGTCCATGGAAACAAAAAAATTAAGTTCCCACTCTCCTCTGAGCCACAGGCCGTCTACGATCTATCTGTTTTTCCTGTTCTCCTATATATACTTAAGTCGACAGATTTCTAGACGACTGCTTTTTAAAATAGAAATTCTCTTTTTTCATTTCTCCGTACTACAGTGTACTCAATACTTTCAGAGAGTCAACAAATATGTCTCGATCAATGTATTTACATTTTGATTCTAATGCAAAGTGAAATGGAAGAGAATATCGTAATTTTCAATTTCATTCATTTTCCAGATGAAGTAAACTGCATTAATGTTGTTCTTGTTTTACATTTCGCTTTTTTCCATTGGTATTTCTCAAGCCATAGCAAAAGAGAATGGTTTGCTATCTTTTTGCACAAACTTGAGCACTTTGGNAACCGAAGTTTTACTCGACTGTTGTTGAGCAGGTAATTGGCCATGTTCATATAACAATCTATCGCCTTCCCACCCGAATTTTATGTACTCCTTTCCTGAAGTAATCATAGGCTCTTCTGCATATGAGAATACCGAGAAAAATCCTACACCGAATTGACCAACAGATTGTGGATCTGTATTTCCATCGGCAATAGTAGCCACACGTTTCCAATCAGTTTCTGAAAAAACGTTCCCATTGTTTATCAAACTTAGTTCAATAATCGTTTGACCATGAAAGTCTTTCTCATCTGATGATGACTGCGGTGCATCGCATATAATCTGCAATTGAAATGATGTTGCTTTCGCATCATCAGCATTTTGAATAAGTTCTCGGATAACTACAAAATCAGATGAATACTGAGTGAGAATTTTGTCAACCATCTTTCGCACATTGACACCAACTGCGTGCCATCTTTCATTTCGCTGCATATTCGATTGATGAGACACTATTAACCTTTGTAACACTTGCTTTCACTGCTTGATAAAGATGAGAGTAGTGTCACCAGATCTCCTCCGGTAAATGTCAGATAGCAAAGAATATCAGCACCCCTCTATTATGAATCACTTTGTTTATATCACGCGACGATAAGAAAGACTAATACATTAAAAGAAAAAACCAACAAGACTTTGCTTATTGTTGACAGACGCTGATATTCATTTTGTTAATTGTGTTTCAAACGAACTATATGTCGCAAAATGTATCTTTTACTAAAAGCGTTAGTTTGAAGTATAGTTCTTTTAAAGATCTGCTGTAAAATCATAGAAATCCTCGATGCTGCATGTATGGCTTTGGAGCAACACCAATACCGAATCCAAAATCAAGAGGTTTCGACAATGTCCAATAACTTCGACCATTCAACGTACGAAGTCCGGTCAAAATAATCGATCTTTTTCGTAGCTCATAGATCAAACGATGTGGTTCATATTTACAACTGAAACCGCCTTTGTAAGCCAGTAACGGTATCTTCTTCTCGCGTAGAAAAGCAATCTACAATAACAACTGTATTAGTTCTATTATGATAAAACCAGCAAGGATATCCCACTCACCGCTTGCCGCGTAATTTCCGAATCGTCGACATCAGCCAAATGAATGAATAAGGGACCACACCGATAATTAGCCGGATTCCATGACAACATTTCTCAAGCACACTGTCGCACAACACCCAATTGCAATTTTCACTTTCTTACCACCTATTTTGTAAAAAAAATTGAGTTTTTTTTGTCGTTCTCCTTCTTTTTCTCAATGCGATGTCAATGGTTACGTGTTCCGTTCTTCAAAACAACGTTTTTATTCATTCAAATAATTCCATTCTTCACAATAAAACGCGATCAGTGAACATCACTTCTACTCTCTACTAAAACGCGACGAATATGTATTTTAAAACGTTCTTGGACTTTATTCAAAATATCCGCTTCATCTTGACTTGAAATAATCGTTAAGATCATACCTTTCGTACCAAAACGACCAGCACGAGCAGCCTAGGTTGAAAAATATCTTCAACATAAATATAACGATATCAAATAGGACGCGACCTTACCCGATGAAGATAGGAATCGATGTCTTCCGGTACATCGTAGTTAATTATAAGATTGACACGTTCGAGATCGATACCACGTTCAAACACATTTGTTGCGACAACAAGACGCGTTCGAAATGCTTTCAAGTCTTCATAGACTATCAAGCTAAATCAAACTTCTCATTGAAAATCTGAAAGATTTTTACACCTACCGGTCGTTTCGAGTTAGATCATTGTGAATCTCTTTAGTTGGAAAACATTGGTCTACTAAAAACTGGCATAGATAGGAACAGCATGCTGCTGAGTCAACAAATATGATTGCTTCGTCAAATTCTAATTTATCTAGCAACTTAACTAGCTTTGTTGGTTTCTTACGTCCACGAGAGTTAACGTAAAAATGTTGAAGAAGCTTTATAGAAATCATTTACAGATTCACATATGAAATACAAGAAACTTACTCGAGGCATTAATTTACTTTCGTCATGGATATAGAGTTCTATTGGCTATGAAAGTTTTGATATTGATAGTATAGATCAGACTATGATGTTGACCTACTTTTCGCATGAATTCCTTACAGATCGGTCGAATGAATTCATTAATTGTCGCACTCAGCATCAAGACTTGATTATTCATTGGCGTCATGTTGAATATTTTACGAACATCTCGACGAGTATCTGAAGAACAAGGAAAACATCTCTACACAAAAAGAAGATGCCTGTTTTCACCATGCATCTTGAAGATCCGGTCGCATTCGTCGACGATAAAATATTGAATAAAATCTAATCTGAGTGCTCGCATCTTAGCTAATGCTAAAAGTCGACCAGGAGTACCAATGGCGACATGTGGACACTTATTTCTCAGAATATATCTATTTCCTGTTGTGGATGTGCCGCCGACAAAAGTCGAAACTTTGATGTTTGGCAAATGTTTAGAAAATCGTTCGTATGCACTACTGATTTGGAATGCTAATTCATTCGTAGGGCAGATGACGAGAACTGATACCTGAAGAATAGGGAACATTTCAGGATGAATACTCTCCTAAAATGTTTGATCATACTTGTCCGTCGATTGGTTGAAGCTGTTGAAGTGTTGCAAGTACATAAACCGCTGTTTTACCTGTACCTGATGCACCTTGGCACAGAATATCTCTACCAAGGATTGCTGGCGGTATCGCTTGCTTTTGTACTGTAAAAGAACTCGATGTAAATCTTTCTTCTTCACGATGAACTCAAACCTTCAGATGGATATTCGTAACCAGCGTCAGCAATTGCTTGGAGCAATTCAGTTTTCAGTTGAAAATCTCGAAAACTGTCGGACTTCAATAGATCTTTCAGCGGTTCAGTTACATCTTCGTCATCGTAATCAAGAAGTCCGTGATCGTCAAACATATATGATGCTTAAGAATACAGGTTTTGAAAAACAAACTCAATAAATACTCATTATCACTGTAAACAATTACACTCAGTTGTGCAACACATGAGTCATATCGATGAGAGCGGAGAGAAAATACGAAAGTATTCCTTTTCATTTATTACATGACAAGAAAAACATGTGATTTGCATTACAGTCATTCATTCCACATTTTCTTCAGTCTTATCGATATTCCTTTGATTTCGACGCCGTTCAACATTGCTTCGAAAAGCTTTAACACCAATTCGATGTAGATAAAGTTCCCGTTGCCGTTGTAAGGTCGTTGTTATCGGATGGTAGTCTTTCGGGCGATCTTTTTTCACATTATCGGCAGCATCAGCTTCAATACCTGCTAATGACGTGTGCAAAGTACCGAGAACGTTTTTCGTTAAACCATCAAGTATGTCAACGCAATGCATACGATCGTTTTCACATATGGGCATATTCATCGCCGCAAAAAATAAATGGTTCGGCTTCGGAATCCGTAATGGTGGTTCGAGACCGTCGACGAAATCTGATAATTGATCGTAACGTATAAATTGTGAACCAGATGGATCTAAGTGTTGCCATTTCTCATAATACATATCATAATCATCATCGGTTAAACCCTACAATTAGCAAAGTCGAAAACCAATTCTATCCGCCGTCTATTTACTTACTTGCTGCACGTCATCTTGAGCCTGAGAGAAATTCTCCAGTATCACAGCGATGTACATATTGACCTAGAACGATAATAGGCGATTGAAAATTGCTCAATCAACATTCTCTTGTGCTTACTACAACAAACGAAGTCATGATCACAAAACTCACGAGAAACCCAGTTGCAATACCCATATTACCACAATCGCCACTATTTGACGGCGACGGTATCGTTGGGTCACAATCAGGTGGTCGGTCATTCGCTAGCGCTTGAAAAACACCCGACCATCCGGCTGTCGTACACATTTGAAAGAGCACAATCATGGCATTCGGGAACGTTTCGAAATTGAATAGATCTGTGATACCAGCTGACTTTCTCACATACGCAAAGAAGGACATACCGAATATTGAATAAATGAACATAATAAGAAAAAGAAGTAGACCAATATTGAACAATGCAGGTATTGAGACAGTTAATGAGAAAAGTAATGTTCGAATACCTTTGGCTCCTGTGTAGAGAAAAAGAAAAGTATCGATTACGATTCGTTCGATTGAATCAAACCTTTGACGAGTCGCAATATTCTTCCTACACGTACGACACGAAAAACACGTAGTAAAGTTGGATTGACAAAAAACTGAGCCATAATCTCTTTCAATGTTTGTTCTATGGAAACAAACAAAAAAAAAGTCAGATTTTTAAAATAACATGCATATAATCTACCGAGAATTGATGCGACAACAATGATGAAGTCGAAGACGTTCCATGGGATTGTAAAGTATTTAAAATTCAATGCAATCAACTTCATAAAACATTCAATCGTAAATCTAAATCATCAGTACAATTGTAACACATCTCTCACGACAATTCATCCATACGTTGCAACGAAAAACTGATTGACATATTCCAAAACGTGACTATAAGTTCGGCTTTGATTGTAATGCTCAAGACACATGCAAAGCATATTGAGAAAGATGCATAACATGATAAATATGTCGAATTTTTGATTGGTCGTTACATCGAAAAGAAACCGTGCAACAGCAAACTAGAAAAATATCGATTGTCCGTCCGATATATATTTATAGGAACGATTTACTCTCGGTCTTGGTAATGCTTTTGTCGGCTTTTTATTTCCTAGTTTTTTCATTGCGTTATAATACTTCTTTTGATCTTCTGTCATAAACATTTCAATCGCACCGGTTTGCAACTGAAAGAGAAACACACAATTTTTGTTATCATAGATATAACAGAAAGTAAATTAGCTACTAATCGTTTCTGCTGATTGAAATTATCGATCACAACGCCGATAAATAAATTCAGAATGAAAAATGAACCAAGTATAATAAATAGAACAAAGAAGATAAGAATATACACATTCGTTTCATATTCCGGTTGAACGTCGATCTACGAATGCAGGTGAACAGAGAAATTTCCAATAAGCAATTCCTTACTTCTTTCGCATCGGTTGCATCAGCCATGATTTCAACCCAACCTTTGAACGTTGCCTAATCAAAGCAGAAACTCGTTACTTTCCTTCCATTTTCTAACTTACAACTTGAAATAACGACAAATAGCCCATGAGAACATTATCGAAATTCAGTCGTGAATTCTCCCATGTGAAGTTTTTCTGTAAACAATCGGCTTTGTTCGTGACATTCTCGGATACATGTACTCGGATGTGTGTGTTCACATAAACACATTTATAAAACTTTCCCGCGAACAGCTGCACACCCATAATGGAGAATATTAACCAGAATACTAAACAAACCAGTAAAACATTGAAAATCGCCGGTATAGCACCAATCAAAGCATTGACAACAGTCTATTCAAACAAGTAAACAAGGTTATTTACGAAAAAGATGCATTTCTCTTACTCGAATGGCTTCGAATCTTGACAAAGCTCGCAGCGGACGCAGTGCTCGTAGTGTCCTCATAGATTTAAATGCTGGTATATCAGCGATATGAAACAGATCAAGTATAGTTCCAAGAAGACTAACAAGGACAATGAGAAAATCTAATCGATTCCAACCGCTTTTGAAATAAGTACAGATTCCATACGCAAACCATTTAATAATCAATTCACTGGTGAAGATAATCGTAAAGATCTTGTCGAAAATCGCTAAAACTTTCGAAAATAAGACTTGTTGCCGTGTATGAATATCCTCCAATGCCTTCAATGGAGAAGAACGAAACAGATCAACAAATACTTCTTCACTTGCAAATCAACTTACTAAAGTTAAACTACTAACTAAGATACTTATCAGGATAACCCATTCGAAATAACGATGATCAACAAGACGAAGAGTCAAATGCCGAAGATATGTCCAATAGTTTTGAACCATCTCCGGAATATATGTTAAACAGCAGGAGAAATGTTTCGATACGTCACTCGGACAACAATCGGGCGGGAAATAAAGAATTTCATGTGCAGTCGGCGACGTTTCGATATCGGCGAGTGTCAATCGAGGAAGATCAGCAGTTAATTCAATTTCCATCACAGGAGCCTCGTCCTCTCGAGAAAACAGACGTTTAACCAATCGAATGAGGAAATGAACGAAACGTCGAATACGATTGATAGCTTCAGTGATTTTATCCTGTTCAGTTTCCTTTTCGTTGAATACATCGGAACCAAACGATGCAAGTAGAAGTGCGAGAAATGAATTCAATATCTAAAGCAAACTCTACACGTACTTTTTGGTTATTCGGAGTTTCAAATCATATACCACAAGATTGCCAATGATGAAAGTAAAGAGAAAGAACGGAATACATGGCCAGCCAGCACATTCGAGACATACCCACATAGATTCAATCCATTCACCACATAGGACACGGAAGACAATCCTTTCCGAGAAACAGAAAAAGCATTCAATTTTAATTGCTTGTGGGCACAAGCTTACATAAATGCGTGGAAAAAATCGAAGAAATGCCATCGCGGCATGTCCTTGCCGAATTTATCAGCATATTTTTGACCGAATAGCTAAAAATGAACCGTTTCAATTAGATTTCTATGTAAATCTCGCGCTATTTACCTGCATTCCCATCACGGCAAAGATAAATATAATAATGATAAGAACTAATGTTAAGTTTCCCAAATCTCCCAATGATTTTCCAATAATTGACACAAGTCGATTCAGCGTTTTCCAAGATTTCGCTAATTTAAACACTCGTAACTACATAACATAGGAAAACATTCGAAATACATCACCGAAACTTGACTTACTAATCGAAACGAACGTAACACACTCAAACCCTTGACATTGGCAAGACCTAACTCAATAAGACTCACAGTAACAATGATTAAATCAAAAACATTCCATTCATTCTTGAGAAACTTTGCCGGAGTCAATGCGATGATTTTCAATATCGATTCAGCCGTGAATATACATGTAAAGGCATAATTTCCTGTTGTTAGAATTCGTGTCATATATTCACTTTGACCGTGATGATCAAGTGCCATGAATATCGTGTTTATAATGATGCATATAGTGATAAATAAGTCAACAAATGCGTCCAGAACAAAAAACGCAAGAATCGCCTATAAACAATAATTGAATACCGATAGTTTTAATCAAAACAATTTACTTGAATTCGTTGAAATACGGTCGATTGACAACTCCATGTGCAGCAATAAGTCAGTAGAGATTTAAATAATGGCCGATCACACAGATTGTTCTTCTCACTTTGTGATGGAATAGTCATGGTATCTAGTTCTTGAACAGGTACGACTTCAGACAGTAGAGCACGTTGTATATCGGATTCGATTTGATCAAACTTTGATAAGAGAAAAACGTGTAAAAAAGTCTGGAAATGTACGTAGTTCTTACTGTATCATCATTTCGATGTCGTTCCGATGAATCATTGTCGAATTGGCGACTCTTTCTTGACAACTGCGATGGATTTATCTTTGTATTTTGTTCAGGATCGGCCGACGTTTTTGAAGATAATCTCTGTTTACGTTGATTTTCAATTTTTTGTCTTTCGAATTCTTCATTTTCTGCTGCCGCTTTCGTTTGCTGTTCAAGATACGATCGAGCGACGATAGCTAAGATTAAATTGACCAGATAGAACGAGCCAAAAAAGATAACCGCAACAAAATAGAAGAAATGATAACGACCAGCTGCTGATAAAACCTAAAAATCAAATATTTCGTTAAGGTTTCATTTGGAAAATCCGTACCAGTTGGTAAAGATTCTCCCAGTAATCTTGTGTCATCAGTCGAAAACATGAAAGCATTGCCCAACCGTAATTATCAAAACTATATCAACAAAAAAGTGAGCATTGAAACGAGGTATGAGTGAAATCTATGTACCTTGTGTATCCAAAATCCGGACTAAAAGGCATAAACAAAGAATTTTTGTAACGATCAACAGAGAAAACTCTTACTTTTCACCTCGATCTCTCAAACAGACATAACCTTCGGGACATTTGTTTGTTCCACTTGAATTACCACAAAGAAAGTAAAGGTCATCTTTCTGATACCAATAAGCTTAAAAAGATCAAATCATCTTCCATACATCACAATGGATTTCTTCGCATACTTGCATTATTCATCTGTGTTAGATACACTCCATACGACATGTTGGAAAGATTCGAAATATTCGAGAATGAGTCATATGTTGGTACGCATTTTTGTCGAAGAGTACCTGTATACAGTTGCATACCTATCTAAAATGGCAAAGTTCATTTTCAACATAATCAATCATCTTCATGTTCGATCTCAAACCAAAGCGAATATTGAAAGAACAAACGTTGATAGGACGACAACATCTCGCAGAGAGATAAATGATTGAATCAATGCATTCACAATCGTTTTTAAACCTACGAAAACGAATTCGGTCAATTTTCACTCGACAAATAGAAAATATTTTACCAGGTACAACCGCAACAGTTTTCAGTGCTCGTAACACTCGAAATGTTCGTAAAACTGCAACGTTACCCAAATCAACAAAAAATCCCACATATCTAAAATTCATTCAGTTTCATATTTCGCATCGAGAATTGCCTTTCCGAGACATACGCAAGTGAAATCACAACAAAATCCAACCAATTCCACGGATCTCGCAAAAATGTATGTTTCCCAACAATAAATCCTCGTGCCAAACACTTAATCAATGCTTCCATTGTATAAATGCCCGTAAAAACATACCTACGCATGTGAATGATTTATTCTGACAAAGAACTTCACTAAACATCACTTACTCGACAGCATCGGGCACGTCCTTCATCGTCATAAACACACAATTTGTCAGAATCGTCAAAATAACTACCGTACTAAAAAGTGAATGAGTTAATAGTCGTATAGCTACACGTCGAATCCAGTTGAAAGGAGAGAGAAGAAGCAAAGCCGGTGTTGAGCTGAACCGAAATATAGTTTTACTTGAATTAACAACTAGAAATACCTAGGATTCTGAAAATTAACATCGACCTTTGTCAAATCCTCAACATACATCATCCGCTTGACAGGAATCATCGATTTCTTCGATTGGCTTGCCGATCAGTTTCTTTGGAAATCTAGTTCGTAGAACGTCAGGTAATTTTTCTCCAGTCGCTAGTTTTTTATTTGGTAATCGTTTGTCACTGGTTTGCTGTTGTTGAGAATGTTTAATACGTTCAAATGATTCATGTGTAAACTCTCGAAATACAATCGAATCGTAATCCATTAGACGTTGTTCTTGATGCCCCGACGATAAAGAGAGAAGATAATCTCGGCAAAGATATTTCGACGAAGAAAACGTGTATTGATAACATCAAAATAACTTCGACAAACAATATGAATGTACGGAAGCGGAAAAGGTCGAATAGACTTTTTGTTTTTAATTATTTGTAATACATATCGACTAATATTTTATTACAACAGACCAGCGAAGAACGAAGGAGGATGCTCGTTTATTTTTGATGACAAATGTTATTCAATCAAGTAGCAAATGCATCAACAGGACAAAAGAAGAAAAGTAATTATTGTTAACATAGCCAAAAAGATTATTTATTTCTCTTTCACCGGAAGGTATCGAACTAATTACTTTATCGAATGGTAAATCCATTAACAAGAACGAACAGAAATCTAATTATCGCTTGTATAACAAAAACAGATCAACGATCAAGAGAAACTAATCGTTACAACGACAAACAATATGCACTGAATCACAACAAGCACGTGCGTCGAATCTTCCAATTCGGTAATCTGCATTCGAATGTAGTATAGTTTCAATTTCGCTTGTGATGCCTGATCGATCGCGTCATATATGGATTGTGAGACCTTGGTTGGCGTCGATTCGACTAAATCACGACTGAGATCGAATATCAATGGTGGTTTACGGTCGATGACTAAACCTTCTTTATACTACCACATGTTCCATCGATGGCAGAATATGTTGTATAATAAGCTTTATATTGATTATAAACAATAGTAGAAAGCGCACCAAATTCATCAGTATGAAAAAGAAAGTCATGACCTTGACTCGAACCATCGAAAAGTACTGGACTCAAGTCAATACCATCAAAACTACGATTAGATGGTAGAGAGAATCCGGTGAGATATGCAATAAGTGTAACACGGTGTCCCGCTTGCCAAACCACATTTCGACGGCCACGGGTCCATTATCGCTAGTGAATATCAATAAAGTTTGATTCAAAACATTCAAATCTTTCACTAGTTGGTATGTTTGATTGACACTGTGACATAAAGGAGTACCGACTGTAAAGATATCTCCGGTAATCTTTCGTAAATCAACAGGATGTTCATGCTTTTGTTCGAAACGGTACGGTGGATCTTTAGAACAAACTTTTACAGGCGGATGATTACCACCAGGAATATCAATGTATTCGTCGAATCTTCTGTAGGAAGGATGAAAAGGAGGTCGATGTCCAAGATCCCATTTGCCATGCATAGCAGTTCGATAGCCGATACTTTTTAAAAGTTCAGGAACGATTGTTTCGTTTGTCGGCAAATCACTCAGAGCAGTTAATAACAAACTTAGCCAAACACCTGTACGGGCCGGTAATCGTCCAGTCAATAGAGTTATTAGTTGATGAATGTAGTATGACAATGCAGTTTTGTTATATTCTTATCGTTCGTTTTGGCAACTTAGGTTAAAAAAAAGATAATAATCGATTCCATTCTTTTTATTTAGATTGCATACACCAACATATGTTTATTAATTCTCTTGATTGAAAATCAAATTAAAAGAATGATATCTATTTTTGTCTCTACCAACATATGAATTCATTCAGATTTTTCGTTCGATTCGATCTTATTGACAGGAATCTTTGGCTTTTGTCGTCGGAATTTTCCACACATTTTCTTCACAATCAACACAGCCCAATAGAGATTAAGCAATCGTGTGTGAACAAGTAGGATAATCTGCACTATAACCAACGCTATACTTGTTGTATCGTGTGAAGCTTCCGCCAGTCGAATAAATTTCGGTAATGCTCGAAATACGTAAAAACAAATGATACTTCCATAGATGAGACGAGTCCACAGAAAAGTAACAGCAAACAACAAAGCACAAAAGCTATGTATATCACTATGTTGATGGAAGATTGCTTTTACATTCAATGGAATAGTTGATAGTTCTTCGAACAACATCAGGAAATGGCTCGTGTGGCCGACACGTGTGTACAAACCTATTCACAAATGATGAGCATCATTTATGATGAACTTTTTCTGACTAACCTGAAAGTCCAATCATTAGAACAATGATATGATGAAACATTGCCGCTGCACTTCTCACTGATTTGAAATAGGCCATAAGAAGTAGGTCGTAAATAAAATAACCTCCTGAATAGCATACACTATACGCCATTTTGTTATCGTATGTTCCATCAATGCCCCCACCCAGTATGCGATCGACTTGTATTAACTTAATCGGTGAATATAAAAAGTATAAACACACAGCTAGAACGCTAGCACATGCATGAACTGTAGATACAACATAACTTTTGTTCAAGGGTGTTATTGACGATGGAAGAAGATAGAATATTAAACAGTTGACAGCGAACGAAACAAAAATGATCAATGATACGGGAAAATCTTCCGAAGGATTTGTTCCGAGATCTAATCATAGATGAAAAGCAAGAATAAGGTAAATGACTATGAATGTGAGTCCTTACAGTGGATACGAGCATTTATTTCAGTCATTGTCATTCAAATATTGAAAAAGTTTCCTTTACTGCTGTGCAACAGTGCTGGTAACGTGTTGCTAATCAACAAAAAGCAGGCGACGTAGAACAAAAAACAAGCGAAGAAACGAGAAAGAAATTCACATGGTATGAAACATGCAGAGCAATAATGCATTCTAACGTTTCTTTCTTTCTTTCTTTGTATATTAAAAACAATAGTTTCTTTTTAAACATTTAGTTTATGAAATACCTAATAACTAAATAATATATGAATGCTAGATCTCTGGTAATGACCAATTGCGCTTAAGCAAACGTACAAGAATGGAATGTAATATGTATTTGAAGGAGACACTTGATTTATGTACGTCACGAGAAAAACGTGTATTGGTTTGCGACATGTGACAATTTCTAAAATTGCTGTATGGTTTCAACCAGCATCACTTGTTTCATATATGCAAACAAAAAGATGGAGTTGTATTCCATGTGTTTTGAACAGGATATTGTTGGAAAAGCGTTTCCGTGCGAGCGATCTATTCATAGAATTTGAACCCTCACATGTGTTCCTATTCCGTAACGATGATCATTTCGCTAAAGCTTTATTATATATGAAAGTTAAGAATATTTGTTCGCCATCCGTGATCGAGGATGGCTGAAACATATTGCAAAATAGGAATTCAAAGCGTTTGAGTGTACGGGAAACTTGTTTATTGTCATTGCAAAAGCAAATAGCGTCTTAAGAAAACAGTTATGTTCGTAATGAAGCGGTATATTTTGTTTTGAAGTAATCATAGGACATTTCAGAACACAATTAATTGAAATATTTTCCCAATACAAAACAAAAGACTCACAAAGTACGGGAAACGCACAGACACTGACGCAATAAATGAAAAATGTTACACTTCATTATATCACGAGGTGTATTTTCGTATGTTTCCGTTCGTATTTAAACAGCACACTTATTTGTGCTGCAACTAACTTCCTTTCTGCTGAATATTTACAACCGCAATACCATGACGTGTACACAAACGTGTTGCCATTATTTTTTCGATGATTTTGATTTCTGTGATACGTGGGATTGTTTCGATCTATGTTCATCAACTTACTGCACGCACCCAAAAATGCGTCAGGGTATTTGTAAACCCCAGGCATCAAAAAACGCAAGAAATACTAAGAATTCTCCTCAATCCACACCTCAAGCCCAAAATTCCTTATCGTATTCGAATAATAATAGAAACAATGCTAAATCAGACAAGTTTTCTGTTCAATTGGATGTGACCGGATACAATCGAGATTTGATCAAACCCAAAGTGGAAGGCGGGAAAATAGTCGTTGAAGCTAAACAAGAAGATCAACTGCCAGACGGTGATTATAACATTCGACAATTAAGAAGATCCTATGAATTGCCACAGCAGGCCGGTTAGTAGCCGAACAGTCCGTTGACTAAAAAGTTCTTTTCCTTTTATTATGATAGATCCTTCACGCATGACTTCGAATATTTCACCCAATAATATGCTGACGATTGAGGTGCCTTACCGTAATTCAGGAAGCGGAGGTCAGCCTACAAAAGGAAACGGTGGCCAATCGACAAAAGGAAACTTAACACAATCGTATGGCCCAGCGTCTTCACCGGCTGAGTATTTAAATTTCCTTAAAAGTGGAGAATTCAGTCCAAATGTCATCGATAAGGACAATAATCAAAAGGTTTTAGAACTGACTTTTGATGTGAAGGACTGTCCAGCTGAAGAACTCAAGGTGTCAGTTAAAGATAATCTTTTGACAGTTGAGGGCGAACATATGGATACCGAAAATAATCATTCAAAACGGACACGTTTCGCCAGAACAACAACATTACCCATTGGTGCACAACTTGAGCAAATGAAATCGAATCTCAACAATGAAGGACAGTTGAAAGTTGAAATTCCATTTGTATTGAATTGAGGTAGAGGGGGAGAAAGACATTTTTCGAGAAAAAATTCAATAAATACGTTGAGCACGCGAGATTTTCAAAGGAATGTGTCCCTATATTCATCGAAATAGTTATTTTTGTTTGTTTGCTTAATCGTTACACATACTAAAATACGTTAAATGAGAGAGACTGCTAATATACTGTTCCCAAATATTAAAAACGTTTATTTCGTATCAACGCAGTCGAATGGCTTCGATCTCTCAGTTGTATAACTACAATTTTCAACATTTGAATCACAGAGTATTGTGTAGATGATCATTCTTTCTACATCAGATCAGCTGAATATAGTGTTGATACTGGTAGTAATATAGATTTTAAAGTACTTCATGTTCGTTGATTTGATAGGAGAAATATTCAATCAGTGTTTTATTTGGTAATAATTCAAATTTAGCTGATGTGTGCATAATGGAAGTAATTGAAAATCGTGTACTTCTATTTTCTTTAGTGTCTTTTGACTTAAACATAGTTGGTTACATGACAACAAAAGAGTGGTAAAAATGTCTATGCTGAAAACAAAACGTTTCACTTTGTTAATGCTTATGGATTTAAATATAACTGTAAAAATTCACTCACCGTTAATTCTCGTGAATACAGTTTAACTTCACCGATGTTCCCATGAAACTAAAGAGTATTCCATTAGTGTATAATTTCATTCTGCTGGTTGTTGAATATGTATATACGACATGATTTCATCTATCAGTAGGCACTACAGGATCGTACTGTTTACGCGATTAAACAGTTGAATATTAATGGAACCATTTATGGTTGCACCAAAGAACGGAAAGCATGATGTGTTGCTATAGAGTTCAGAAGAAGTATATGTCTATATATAACTGGTTTTTTTCCCTTTTTCCGTTCCGTACATACATTATCCGATCGTTAAGAGAAATTCTCTCTCTCGATTACAAGTACAGCAATAAAAGAATGCGCAAAAAGCAAATAATGACTGCTATAGCAGAATTTATTTTTTCTGCTATAAGTATATTCTCTTAGTTCTTTCTCTGTTTCATTCTGTTACACGTTTTAACTATTTACAGAAGTATGTAACACACAAAAAACGGATTGATAAATAAAAGTTATTATTCATATTCATCACATTAATCTACGAAGAAAACACGTATTCTTAAAAAATGAGTAGCTATGAAGGCAACGATTATTGCCATCGTGGAGCTGGACCAAGTGGTAAACCAAAGCTGCATTTTATTCAATACAATAGTAAGAAAGATGCTAGAGAGGGTGCATTTCTTGCAGGTGGAAAAAATGAACCGGTACATCACGCAAATCCGAAAGAGGGAAAAGCTCATTATCATGCAGCTGATCAAAGCGGGAATATTATTAAAGATGGAGTACATCATTGCTACGGTTAAACTGTTATAGACTTTCGCATACACAATCGGAGAAAATGTGCTCTAGTTTTTTTGCTCTATTAATTCCGAAATTACCTTTGGTTTCCATATACCTCTGTATGTATTTTATTAATAAAACTAAAATTATTATCCGATTTTGCATATCGACTAATTTGATAAAAGGTGATTCCTTTTGCAATGTGATTAAAAAAGGAGATGGTTCAACTCTCATACTTGAGATTTTTTTTTTGTTGCAAATGTCAAATCCTTTTTGGAAAATAATCTTTAATCAACAGCATGAACACTCCGACTAAAATGCTACTTGTTTATGACATATCCTTGACAGTTTCATGGTCTTAAAGGATCATACTTTAAGAAACATCAATATAATTTTGATTTGATGTCGCTGTTATTACATTGAATGGACGTACTCGATTGGTTTTTTGTCGAAAAAAATATTTCACTTGTCGACGAAATTGTGCTGACGTTGCAAAGAAGATATAAAAATTACTCTGAACAAAGATCATCATTTTCAATTCGAAATAAATCATCAAATAAACTTACAGCAAAATTAGCAGAAAATAAAAGACTAACAATTATTTGAAGTATTTGCCCAATTGTATATCGTAAAAGATTCGATCGTGTAAAGGGATGATTGATAATATATATACGAAAACAAGTATAAGGTAATCCAAGAATGAGACAAAATATGACTCGTATTAAAACCATCGCAGTCATTTGTTGATCTAATTGACGACGTTCAATAGATATTTGTTGACGAATAATATGTCGAACATTTCGATAAGCTAATAAACTAAAAACAAATGCTAAAAAGATTTGCAAAGGACCATAAAGTATCGGATAGAAACAATATGTTGAATACCAAATTAAAATGAAATTTGTTATCACACATCCTGATGATGATGATTGAATATTAAGAAATAACGCAAATACAATACTATGACTAAGCCAAATACAACTACTTATTAACATAATGTATCGTGCAAGTTTAAGTGGATATTGATATCTTACACCAAATCGGTAATGTGTTGACCAAAATTGATCACATGCAGCGCAACATATCGTAAAAAAAAGTATTAATGCCATTCCATGCATAGTGATAAATCTTATTCGACACCAAATTAAGACAGAATCGACAAGATCGGATCCATGAATTTGTCGTGCTATGGAATTAATGAGACCAAGAAATAAAAACACGATTCCACCAATGGCTTCCATTGTAAAATAGAAAGCACATCGATTACCATGAAATGGTTTTAATCGAGAAAATATCATCGTATTTAAAAAATTGCCAATTGTTCCATATAGAAATATAACATAGTAGAAATATTGTAGATTATCACGAATTGTGTTTAGAATATCAACAGTGTTTGATGACATGATGAATTTACTTAAAAGAATGTTTAGATTTTCATGTCGAACATCGTTTTTATTTGACATTAAGCTACTTTTACTTATTCTTAATCAGAATAAGAAAATGGAATTAAAAATCAAGGAAAATATGTTCAATTACAGATTCTTTCGTATGCATCTTGTCCGTGGAATTATATATCAACCAAAACAAAGCTGTTGATTGACTTTGTTTCAATCAAGAGAATTAAATTCATGTGAAATTATTTAAATTAACGAAGAATATATAAAGTTGAATAGTTTTAATGATAATACTGTTCGAGTTGAAATTTATTCTTCAGCTATTCTTCTTGAAAATGAGCGTTTTGGTAAAGGTTTTGCATTCATATAAACATGCTGACTTCCGTTTCGTTCTTAATTTTTCACTTCGCGAATTCGTTCACTTTGTCGTGTCGGATCAATATCAAAGAAACCATAAATCAACATGAACAATTATAATCTTGATTGTTATTCAAATTATTACAAGTACCATTGTTGAAACATGGATTTTGTATATCGCACAAGTAGTTCCACTTATATTACAATTAAATCCAATATTTGGGGAATTTCTACATTCAAGAGCAACAAAAACTACTGAAGTGACATTATCTAAGAAATTCAGAACAGTTTAGATTATTTTTTGGAAATATTTTTCATGCACGTAGATGTGTTTGTCAATCCGGCAACCTATTGAGAAGTTTCGAATAAATTGCTGGTTGCTGTTTCAATTAATTCTATCGTGAAATGAATATATTTATAAGGAAAAGTTTCTTAAGAAACTTACCACAATTATTCACTGCCAAGGAACGAATTTTTGAATATTTTCATCAGTAACATACAAATCTCCAGAACTATGAAAACGAGCAGAATATGGTAAAAAAAGTCGATTTGATATTTCCGTGCAACCAATAACGCAATCATATGTATCATTGACTATTCGAATAATACGAGAATTTTGATTATCTGTTATGTATAACACATCATCGTCATCTAATATCATATCATAAGTTGGATTCTTTAATATTAAACCATTTAGAGGTGTTGTTTCCTGCTACTGTTGTTCCATCCATTTCTCCTCGTCGAAAACGGTGAATTCTTTGATTTCCTTAATCAGCTACATATAAGTTGAAGTCAATATCGACAAATATTCCCGAAGGAGAATGCAATCGATCTATAATTATGGTCCTGGAAAACCCGTTCTAGCTATTATCACTATTGTTTGATTGCTACTATCTACTAACGTCTTCTCTACTTGATGTTTGTTAAAAACCGAACAATAAATAGAATTCTGAATGTCAACAAAAAGTCCCAAACAATTATCTGAAAATTTTGTTATTAATCGACTTTGTGTTGAATGTGATGTAAACTTATCGATTCGACCTGTTTCATTTCGACGTACAAAATAAATATCACGACTTAAACAAATCGCTCTGACAGTAACTTCCTGACCAGCCGTATTTGCATTGAAAAACGCCTGGCAAAAGCACAAACTCACGACTTGAAAGCTTTAATTCGAGCACTCATCGATACTGTAAGCTGATGCATAATTATAGAATATAGTGAACACGTTTTATTAAGCAAACAATTGCCACCTAAGACGTTGGCGGCTAAGAGAATTAGACAGATGCATTTGTTACACGACGCTTGACGAAGGTAGTACCATAGTATCAATTGATTCGCCTTCAACACTGCTGATCACATTTGGCAAAAGGAAAATGCACGTGGAAAAGTATTGTTAGTTTCTTTATCATTTGAATCTGATCGATGAACAAAGGAAAACACAAAATCGAATACAGCTGAGTTTCCTTTCATTATTTACTCTCGATAAAAGAGAATGTTATGTTTGTCTATGGAATTAGAAACGGAATCAAAGATTACATCCTACCACCTTTTTGTGTATCAATTAAACTTTAATAGAAAAGAAGAATATAATGACATCAATGATTAACCTATTTCAATCACTATAACATTTGCATTCTATTAATGAATTAATACGTGAAGATTACTTGCTCAGCAGTATATACGAAGTATAGAGATTTTATTATTCTTTCAGAGAGACTGTTGTCATGTTTCCATTATATGCGAAAATAGTAAATAGATAAGAAAATGTTGTCAAGTGACGGATATATGATAAGCGAGCCCGAAAGCTTTCTATCAACAAAACATCTCCTTATTTGAGACTATTATTTGTTTCTACAAAAGCTCATACATCTGCGCTCTTCTTTGCATTACTAAATTCGACAAAATTCCAACTACTATCATTTTTCGTCATGATGGACACATATTGGGATTACACCCTTCGGAATACTTGTCTAAACAAACGACTGATTGCCCTATTATGATTTAAGCGTCATTGATAGCTTTATGTAATGTGCCTATGAAAGTAGCGGTATTCAATGGATAAGTTGATTGGACCTATTCAATAGACTATAATGAGTTTTTTTTCATACAGAACGCATATAAGAGCATTGTATCGCAGAGCCCAGGATGCTTAACTTTCTTCAAATGACAGCGCTAACACCCTCACCCTCACCCTCACCCTCATCGAACAGTGAGAGACTCGATCACAAGTGGGAAGGTCGTTAACAAAAACTACCATGAAATCCGACAACATGACCATCGGTGATATCAGTTTCATACGTGGATATAACTATTCTGTGGTCTTGCTCGCCGATAACGGGTCGTTACAAACCAGAGTAAGAGATAACTCACTCGATGATGCTGCGCGGCGATCGCATCGTATCGTATCGTACTTCTAGTTCACATGAAACAAGAAGTACTCATATTGACCTTAAAATATATTAAAATACATATTTGCTCTTTAAGAGTATTACAGGATAGAGAAAATGTTTATTTCTAGTTGTTGTACTTTGTCCTTGAATTGCGCTATCTCGGTTCGTGTCATGCTGCACATTTTCTCATCTTTTTTTACTTATCAATTTCATCGGCTTTTGTTTTCCGTTGTCATCCTCTTCTTTTATTATTCTCTTTATAGTAATAGAAACAAACGAGTCTTACAAACTATGGCTCGTGGTACTCATGTAGCTCTATCGAGCATTTTCCTTATCCTTATTCTGTACTTTTTGCAAGGTGTAAACATTGGACTCGCAACTAGTATACCCATATTCTTGGCTGTACGAGGAGCGACTTGGGCACATCAAAGCGTATTTAGTTTCGTTTATTATCCATTTTCACTGAAGCTTTTTTGGGCACCTTTGATCGATACTATTCATATTCCTCGTTTTGGCCGACGTAAAACATGGTTAATACCGATTCAGTTGTGTATCGCGGCGATTCTCTTACTCCTATCGTTGTACGTCGATTCGTTTATCACGGCTAGTCACGTTGTATGGCTTGCCGGAATGTTCTTTGGCCTTATTCTTCTCACTGCATCCCAGGACATTTGTGTAGATGGTTTAGCTATTACATTGTTTTCTGCGACCAACCCTCAATGGACATCAACTTCGCAAAATGTCGGGCAAACACTAGGTCATTTCTCGGGCTTTTCATTCTTACTAACATTGGAATCAGCCAATTTTACAAATAAATACATCCGTCAACCGCTATCATTGCCCTTCCAAACATATGGTCTATTCTCGCTCGAATATTTCATACGTTTTGCAGCATTGGCTTTTCTAGCAGTTACCGTGGGTGTTGCGATATTTTTTCATGAGAAAAAGGAAGTACCACTAACCAACAAGGAAGACGCACATCCATTAACAATATCCGAAACATATACTGCAGTCATAAAACTGTTCAAAAAGAAATGTATGCGACAATTAGCCATCATATCAATTCTCGCACCGACTGGCTTAGTAGCTACTACGTATATGACACGTGTATCACTTACCAAGTAAATAGAAAAGTTGATTTCTTCATAGTTTTCGATCGACAATCTCGTTTTAGGCAAGGTGTGCCACAAGCTAATTTAGCACTTGTTGAAATTCCAGTCACATTGGTTTCAGTCTTTTCACCTCTTATCATTCGCCATACCAAACGGCCTCTGATTTGGTTCGTTCGATTCTACGCTTTGTATCTTCTTAGCGCAATTCCAACCGCTGCGTATGTGTATTTCACTCCTCAAATAATCTCATCGAGTTACTACTATCCTCTACTCATTGTCTTTCTTACATGTAATGAGTTTTTCCGAGTTCTTCGAGCTGCTGCTCAAATTGGTTTCTTTGCTTGGATCAGTGAAGAACGTACCGGTGGAACTTATATGACGCTGCTTGCCACTCTGAGCAATTTCGGATTCGCTATGAACTCTTCGGCCATACTTTATCTATCAAATTGGTTACCCAAGAAATACGATTATGTGATTGCAGTTAGTCTGTGTATCACCCTTGGTGTACTATGGATGGTGCTTTCATTTCGAACTATAAAACGACTGCAAAAATTACCTAGACACAAGTGGTATTTATTTCCCGAGGCGATCGTAGATAACACAATCACATTGGAGAAAAAAGATCATAGAAAGTTATTGGATGATGAAACAAACTAAGCAACTTTTTCAGAAGAATTGTAAATGAAAGACTACGATGTTTTTTTTCAAAATCATAAACATCTACATCGGATTTTCTCTGCTTTTGACATGTTTATCAGTATGATTCATAGGAAAGGTTTCGTCATGAATATCTAAATATATGAAGTCATCTGTATGCTTCATCATCATGCAACTCTAATTAAACCTGTCATGATCAAAACTAGAAACAAGAAGTGCTTGCAGCACAGTTTGACTATAAAGGCAACGTCCATCAGTAATCCTTCTCAACATAGAAAAAAAATGAATTCAACAGATGCATACTATGATGCCTTATTCGACAATCTATTCAAATATCTTTACCGATATGTAATTCCCGTGTGCTACATCGCGGGAAATGTTGGAAGTCTCATCAGTGGATACATTTTTTCCACAAAGGCATGGAGAAGAAACGTTTGCGTCTTTTACTTTAACACATGCCTAGTGATTAACTTGGCTGCTCTCAATTGTTATATGCTGCCAACTATTCTTATCAACGGTTACGACATTGAGCTTTACAATTCCAATATAATCTTTTGTAAGCTCTATTACTATACAACATTCCTATTCTGTGCACTTTCACCTACCATGCTCATTCTGGCATCCATCGATCGTTTGCTCATATCGTCCCAAAATGTTAACCTTCGACTGTATAGTTCAAAACGTTTAGCTTACTTTTCCGTTAGTTTGACTACAGTTTTCTGCATTATTTACTTTCTCCATATCTTAATCAAACCGGAAATTGTATCAGTCGCACCGTCGGTTACAGCATGTACACTTAGCACTGATTACGGTTACCTGCTGTTCTTTGCTTACTCCTCGTTGCTTGTTACGTCGTTTTTCTGCGTAAACATGATTGTGCTGTCGATTTTATCGATTAAAAACGTTCGGATTATTCGTGCTGCGCCTCGTCAACAAAAACGGCAACAACTGCGCACAATGAACAAGAAAGACTTTCAATTACTTCGTTGTCTATTCGCTCACGATATCATTTTTATTGCTTGCAATATTTTCCTCAACTTATATTATGTTTATCTTGTAGTCAGACTTTATGGTAGCATGTCAAGTCTGGAACGAATCTTCAGCAGTTTCCTAAACATTTTTCTCACCATGTTCCAACAGCTTTCGTTCTGCGCCAGCTTTTTCATCTTTGTCACCGTCTCGAAAGCATTTCGACATGAACTCCGGCGTACTGTGTACAAAATGATTCGGAAAAATTCGGTCATCATGCGGGAAGAAGAACAGATCGAACGAATCAATGTCGAAATCAATATTTTCAACGAGAATGGCCAACGTGCTCAATAAACAAAGTGCGACAATAGCGCACTTATGTACAAAATCATGAACGAACAGTTTTCCTTTCTTTCTGAACCTTTTTTTTCAAATCACACGAAAAATATGACCATACGTTTAAGAATATATTATAGTTGCTTATATATACGCCATTCACCAAGGTTCACATTCTTTCAGTTTGATTTCTACGGCAGGGACCTTGTTTCTATCTATTGTAACGTCAATGATTTTGAATGCTGAATATGGTAGTACTAGAACTTCTTCTTCGTCGGGATACAATGATATATTTGTGATATCTAATGCCGTTCTCGGATTTCGTATCTCATATATGCATAATGTACTCATTCGGGAACTTGTGTCACGTTTATTACCATGGAATCCCGTGGCGACATTCAAACGTTTGGACGTTGACGCAAAGGATTTAGTTAAAATTCGCGTGCCTCGCTTGTACTGCGTAACATCATTCTCGGTAAGCATCATGCCGCGATACGTCGTTCCAAGATACGAGAGACTATCGAAATGTGGATGTCGAGCGATAATTCCGATGAAATACGCTAAACTAAGGTTCTCTGGAGCAGCTAAATTCTCAAGCTCTAATTGTGCCAAATCGGTATTGAGTGCCGAAGAAAAGCCTGTATCAGTTGTATAGGCTTTTAATAAATAGTTCGGATCTTTTTCCTTGATTGTCACATCAAAAAATTGTCGGATTAAATCAATGCTCTGAACATTGCGCAGACTCTTTTCCAGATAATTTTGTTTGACGAAGAGAACTAGGCGATCGAATTGTGGATCGTTGCCGTAAGTTTCTAATGATTTCAGATACTCATGTGCTTGAAAATCTGCATCATACGAAGAACGAATCCATTCCATGACATCACTGACAAAACGCGTCTTCGTCAGACGTCGTCGATGAGGCATTTGCTTTATCTCGTCACTTTTAGCTTCCTCAAGTACGGCTAAACGAGATTTGTTTTTCGTTGAACCAGAAGCTGTAGGGAGAGCAGTCGAACCATTCGGTTCCATTCGATTCATACTTTTCAGTGACATTGATTGCAGATAGTTATGAACAACATCGATGTTGTTAGCACGTTGCATACGAGCGGAAGCATTCGTACCGACAGCTAAAACAGAATGATCGATTCGTTTGACTAAAACATTCGATACAATGAACTATCGAAATTTTGTCTTGCGCAAATAGAGAAAGAACTGAAAGTGTTTTCAATCATCTCATACCATGCGAAGCGCTTACCTTTATTTTCTACCGTGGAATGTCTTTGTAATATACTCGCTTCGAGCGGTTTCCTATTTCTTGTCGCTTCTTCTTCATCTTTTGTGATACGTGCAGACAACATAGGACCAACACCTGAAGTTCATGAGAAAAGAATCTGATTTTTTTTATTCATACATATACATGTATATGTACCGAAATCAACTTTTCGTCGAAAACCATCTGACGAACTGTCACTGCCGTCATCGGGTATGTCTTCCACGATTTCATCACCAATGAGGTCATGGACCGAATCTAAAATATTGAAATTAATTCAGAAATATTCGTTTTTTATCGGTATTACTTTTTCCTGATGATAATTTTTTCCTGAAAAAAAAAAGACAAGGAATATATATATACTAACGTCATACGCAAACCCCTACCGTTCCTGAATGACGCGCGCCTTATACATTTCATCACATGGATGATCCCAGGATGACGTACCCGTATCAAAATTAAAATAATATAGTTCTCCATTTTCCTCTTGACACGGTTTCCAACCTGATGGTAGCGGTTTAAGGATACCTTCTCTAGCCAGCCAAAGTAAATGGGACTCCTAAAAAGTTGGATGCAAAATACTGATCACTCGGTGTTCCGGCGTGTAAACTTACCTTGTCTGGATCAATACCAATATAAATGGCGTATTCACGGATTTCTTCTGAAGTTGGTTCGTAGTTTTCGTCTATATTTTCGCAGAGAACTGTTTGTTTATTTATTTTATATCCTTTAGATGGTAACATGATTGGCGATATGAGGCGTAGTTAAATTCCTTTTTGCGAAAAAAGTAAGAGTGAAAGTTGACTTTTTCTTTCAAGAATGATTCAACATTTTTCGTTGTATTTCATACATTTTATTTGCTGACTGTGGACAAGTTAAAGCAGCCCTTTGAAAGATGTTGCTGCGATAAAAATGAGTATAATTACATGTAACTTATGCTATATAACCAAATCAAGTATATATCTTTTTAGACAAGAATAAGTATAGTTTTGTCGGAAGACAGAAATCGACCTGTCTGATGGTGGCGCCACTGTATGGAATAAAAGAAAAGTAAAGTAAATATATACTAGCTATTCGATTTTCGTTAACAAAGGCGAAATCGAATCTTCCTTTGTTGATCATTTCGTTGAATCTACAAGTGAAAAATGGTGTGCTTGCTTGAAAATCTATCCAACGAAATTTTCTATGAAATATTCGATTATCTCGATGGTTGTGAATTATATCACGGATTTTCAAATCTCAATTCTCGTTTCCATCAGCTACTAAACTCTCCCTTACTTTTTTATGAACTCAAATTTCATTGTACATCGATTCAGTTCGATGAATGCATCAAATATATTAATCCAAATCAAATTCGTTCATTCAATGTCTCATCGGAATTGCGAATCGACAAGTTCTTCTCGTCGTTTAATATCGACTCATCACTTCATCATCTTCGATCGATTTTCGTTGAGAACATCAAGCCTGAAACGCTTTCCGATCTCTTGACGAATTGCACTCATTTACCATGTCTTACTTCGCTGAATATCATGTCTTATCATCAGCTATTAGATCTATGCCAGATCTATCCATTGATTTTCAACTTATCAACACTAAAATCTCTGACAGTAACGTCGCATGAATTCAAGAACTCCATGGCATTACCATACGCCACTGAAAGTCAACAAATAAGCAAAATCGAACATATGAACATCAACCACCGTGTTACCTTTCAGGAACTTGCGACGGTCATTTCCTACACGCCAAAACTCTTTCGTTTAGAGTTTTTACACGAAGATGAAGATGATTCAACAGTTGAATTGATCACACCAATGCAACTTTCAAACATCACGCACATCTCAATGACGATTATGTACTTGAATTACGATGATATGAACATCTTCTTGCACAAATTACCATCCACTCTCGAAAGTTTCAATTTTTTCGTATGTGAAATCGATACGAGTTATCTTGATTTCAGCATGTGGGAAGAATTAATCAAAGAAAACTTTCCCCAATTGAAAAATTTCTATTTCAATTACACTGCCACGATTCATGACGAAGAAGAATTCATATTTACTGGTTGTGTGCTCGATCAATTTGTCTCGCCATTTTGGATCACTCGACAATGGTTTAATCAAATAATCATTCGCCAAGAATCGATTGCAGTCACGATTAAACCTCACAAGTATTTCTCAAACTTCATTCTCATGCCCACAATTTGATCTTTCATTTTCAGAAAAAGGTGGTACGAATGTCTTACAACCCATAGCAAACTGAATATAAATGAATCAAGTTTACTTAGCATTCAATACACTCCCGAAGATCAATGGTTGGATGTACTCTATGATGAAATCGAATGGGTGACCGATGTGGCAACGATTTATCATTTAGAAATGACAGGAACGTTTTTTATCGGGGTTATGAGTCAAATTTTCAATCTTCTGCCTGATCTTCATACATTCCGTATCTCCTCGATCACATTACCAACGGTTACATTGTTAACCGATGATGAATTAGAACAGTTTATCGACGCAGCGACTTCTAATCGGATTACGAAAGTTTATCTGGAGAAAATGAACACATTTGATGATGTTCTTTTCCTTATTGATTTATTCCCGAGATTAGATTCGCTTCAGATCGGTTGTAAAAGCGATATTGATATTGAATTATTCTTGCACATGATTCTCATCAAGATAAATAGTAAAAAATCTAATCTTCGTTTACTGGCCATGCGCATTCCGACAGCTGACGACCAAATAGTGAAGAAAATACAGAATCTTACTGATCTTACGATTACACGTACAAATGAAACAATTTTCTTGCGACTATAATAACACATGTTTCTTTTTTTATTATGAATAAAGCATTTCAATTGAGAGTACACTTAATTAGGTGCGAACCTCATGAATCTGTTACAGTAATAGTTCCATTATTGAACAAATTGATTTTCATATTTGGTCGAAAACCGCAGGTCTCATGAACGTAACCACGATGATTGCTGAAAACTTTTGTTGAATTGATCATTAGATTAGTCGACCGATGTGTATGACCATACACCCACAAACGAACATGATCTTGACAATCTTCGTCATGATCGTTAACGAAAGCACCAGCAACACCTGATTCTGCGTCGTCATCCGTGCACGTCTCTCGACGCGAAGGTGCGTGATGAGTGATAATAATTACATTTTCTTGATTTTCACGTGCTTTTCGAATCTCTTCTAGCAACCAAGTATGTTGCTCGGCATGCTAAGCATTTGTATCATCAACAGTTAAACGATACGCCACAGTTCTGCACTTATTACGTGGTTCAGTTTCATCGCCAAGTTTAATTTAATAGTAATCATTCACAAACCGACTAACTTTCGAAGCTGTTAGTTCAGAAACATAAGACCAGAGTGTCGTGTGCCTAGGAGACGAACTTTATTCGGAAGAAGATAAGTTTGACTACGTAGAAAAGGCGTTCAAATTTGTCACATTGTGCCAATAAAAATGCGCTTAAACTGGGGATGTCAGGTCTTCCAATGTCTCCAGCAACGATCAAGTTCGGTGCGACAACGTTGAACTCAGGTACAATGGCATTTGAAAATTCTAAATGCAGATCGCTCATCAGCATTGTCTGAAAAATCAGTTTCAACTCTTCACTCATTTTTTCGATCCTTTTAGTGATGTCAGTTGTGTTGTTTTCTTATAAACATGTACGAACGAGTCACCAACGAGGAAGAAGAAAAATACACACTCATATTGCCACCTGACTTCTCTGGATTTTCGCCTATCTTATGACAATTTATATCGGTAAATAACCTGTCAAATGTTATGAAATAACGGACCACCATGTATTCGCACATTCGACTTTTTCAGCTCAAATTTCACTGCGAAGTATATTTGTATATTTTTACATATCGAAGGTCATTAATGCTTATTCAATAAAATAGAACACAAAGGCATTTCAAATAACTCTCATCATGCAAATAAATTACTGAACGGAAGAGAAGAAAAGGAAAAACAATGCGAGAAACAAGTTACATCTAGCAACATAACAATTCTGCAGAAATCGATATTGGAAATCACCGGTTTATATATTGAAACATATCTATTTACAAATTGGTTTGAAAATGAAGATAATGATTCAAATAGATAGGTTTGATTTGAAACTTGATGAAAAGTTATTTTTTAAAAAGTCGTTGGTAAGGAATGTAGTTTCCCTGAACCGCATTGTGTTTTTTTGTTTTGACGGTTGCGAAGTAAAAATTCATAGTAGGCAAGAGAATGAAGAAAAAAGTTGGGAAAAAAACAATTCTAATGAGTATACATAGTTACACATTAAACGTCTTATTGTATATTTCTATTCTATGGGTGCCTTCACTAGCTATTTTCACTGTGAGCGAATTTGAATAGTAGAACAAACGAGATGATTCAAACAGCAGGTCTTCTGCCTGGAAATCGAATTCAAATGGGAACTTCCAAATAGTTTGACACTTTTGTTAATAAAGAAGTAGGTATTTTTTCTTTTCGTTGGATTTCCAGATCATTGTGGTATATTACACGTACAACAATATCTTTTCCACATTGTGGAAATAGAGTACACACGCCCTTGAACTTTTTTTTATTAGCAGAAGAAGAGATCCCACTGACCATGCCGGTCCTATAGGAACAACTGAGAAGCGCGTGATGTACTGATGTAGTGAAGGATAACGACTGAAAAAAGGCAAGAAACGAAAGAGATTAAAGGATAACAAAAGAAAGGAAGAACAAGAAGAGAAATAATGATGAGAAAACGATGGTTAGTGAGCTTGTGGCACGTAGAGAGAGACGATTCGATCAACGAATCATTGGAGCAAAACGCTGTGAGTAAATAATAGCGACGAGAAGATATGCAATCTAAATAAATTACAACATGCCCTTGAACTGTTTCTATGACTTCTTGTTTGCTTCCGTCGATCGACTAGGGAAAAAGAATACCCGTTAGAAATCAATTGTGAAAAATATTGCATTTTATATGATTTTGTTTACACCGTAGAAACAGTGAACTGTCTGTTAACAGAACGACACGTACTTCACTTGTACAGAGTATTAATGATGAACAAGAGTATTTTAAACAAGAACAACAATATCTATTTTTGAGATATTTTCGATAGCTCATCTTGCGAGATGATGTATTCTAACAAATTATTCGTTGTCAGCGAACGGAGGAAAATAACATGTTGCCAACTTGTTTATCAGTCTACATCATTTTGTTAAAAATGTTCACGGAAACAAAAAAATGAAGTTCTCACTCTCCTCTGAGACACAGAACGTCTACGAAGTAACTGTTTTCTCCTCTTTTCCTATATATACTTACGTCGACAGATTTTTGGACGACTGCTTTTTAAAATAGAAATTCTCTTTCTTTTTTCATTTCTCCGTACTACAGTATACCCGGTGTTGTCAGATAGTTAACAAATATATATGTCGATCAATGTATTTACATTTTTATTCTAATGCAAAGTGAAATGGGAGAGGATACGGTAATTTTCAATTTCATCCATTTTCTAGATGAAGTGAACTACATTAATGTTGCTCTTGTTTTACATTTCGTTTTTTTCCATTGGCATTTCTCAAGTCATAGCAAAAGAGAATGGTTTGCTTTTTTTTTGCGCAAACTTGAACACTTTAGTTGTTTACTTGTAGAAGTAGCTCCGTATGGATTGTTAAGTTCAGATTATATTCATGCTCGAATAGCACGCCAAGTAATTGACGAGACAACCACCTGTACTGGTAACTGCGGCTGCACATGTACCTGTACATGCACCACGACGACAACTTCTTGTAGGCAAATCGTATTTCTAGAATCGACAGTAAAGCATTTCTATTTCTTTAAAATATAGCTACGAGTACCAGCAGTACAAGCAGTACTAGCTCTACAACAAGCACAACAGCGACCACCAGTACCAGCTCCACTTCAAGCACCTCAAGTACTAGTTCGACATCAAGTAGTAGCACTAGTACTACTAGTACAACCTCGACTACGACGTCCACAACATCAACAAGTTCAACATCATCCACCAGCACTTCTTCGACGAGTACTACTAGTAGTACTTCTACGTCGACCACGTCCGCAACCACAAGTACTTCATCAACAAGCACTACTTCCACTACAAGCGAGACAACATCAACTAGTAGCACGACAAGTAGTACAAGTACTTCGTCCACTAGCAGTACTTCGAGCACATCCAGCACGTCAACTAGCAGCACTTCAAGTACAAGCAGTACTACGTCAACTACATCAACAACAACTACTACCGCAACTACGACGTCAACAACAAGCGCGACAACAAGCACGTCGACAACGTCAACAACCACATCGGCAACAACTACTACGACGACCACAGCAACCACCACTACCTCTACCACAAGTACCACCACTACCTCTACCACAAGTACCACCACTACCTCTACCACAAGTACCACCACTACCTCTACCACAAGTACCACAACTACAACCACGGTCGCAGTTGTAGCGGATAAAACCGGTATAATCGTTGGAGCTGTCCTTGGTGGAGTAGCTTTTATCGCATTGGTAGCTGTTTTTATATATATTCTCATTGGATGGTTCAATCGACCGCACGTTGCACATTTACGCTCCGTTTATCAGACAAGAGTTCCCGCGCAGCGTCTCCCACCACTCCATCATTCAACTGGACAAGAGCGTATCAAATTTTTTTGATCGAAAGCGTACCTTTCATATTCAGCTACTGTTTTTCCCACAACGCGGATATGGTGCATAGTCTCGATGCTCCTCTGCCCGTTCGAGATGAAGGACCACGTAAGCTAGAATTATTTACCTGTTGTAAAGTCCTATGATATGGCAATTCTCTGCGAAATAACGCTTTCTTCACCCTTTTCTTGTTGCTTTATTGTTTTTTCATATAAACCAAAGTGAAAATATGATTATTGAAATCTTGTTTCCATTCTTATTTTTGTAAATAAATATTTTATTTTCGAACTTTTCAATTGACACTTATTAGAATCTTTTTCAGATAGGAATTTTTCGCTACCTTTCGAGTAGAAACTCGAAGATGGGTTGCGGAACAATTGTCGCCAGACGACCGAATACTCCTCAAAATGCTCCAAATGCTGGCGGTCGACCGAAACCAGGTAAGACTTCTACCATTTCAGCACCAAAACGCAATTAATCCAATCGATCCTTCTTATTCTTTAACAGATACTATAATGACGTCATTTCACACTGAGAATAATAAAACAAGCAAAAACAATCGTGTTCTGCATGTTACTACTCGTCGGTTTATTGAACTAGAACCCGTACGATGCGGTGATATTCTCGAATTGACATCACTTTCTGTACGAAAATACGATATCTTTCAAGTGTACAAGGATGGTGACGATTACTATCAAGTTGATCATGGTTATGAATTGTTTAACATCAACATGTGTACACCGTTGAATGAACGACTCATGCGTCTTTCATTAGATCTTACTGTTCCTGAAATCGACTTCTATTTCTGTGTTATTTTGTCATCGCGACGTGAAAGAATTGTTAGAGAACGCAAATGTCCTGCAGAATATTGTCGATTGAATCGTCTAACAATAAGAAAATGCGAAGAAAAAATCGCTCTAACCGATCTGGACTTGAATCAAAAGGTTTATCTGAATAAAGGCGATACTATCGAACTCGATTGGTCGTCGAGTCAACATCACACTTATCGTATCGAAGAACGAAAATATTGTCCACAAACAGGACAACTATACACTGTTGGACAACCATCTCAACGACCATCCGCAGGAGGAAAATATCGAAAAACATTCAATGAACTGGGTAGTTCATTCCTATTTCGTTATACAAACACAAATCAACTTCGTGATATCATTGCAGTTATTGTTGACAATACATATAAGATAAAACATGTACAAATCACTGATGACGAGATTCAACCACAGCTTATTAACATCGAAGAAAATGATTGGATTATGTTTGATTGGAGTACCACTGCTAGTCAAAGTATCGTACAGATCGAACCATTTCGTATCGACGAATGCACTCAGCAATCAATCGAAGTTTGTACTTTATAAGAAAAAATCATTACCAATGAACTTGCTTTGTTCTAATTGACTAGTTGAGAAACGCTGGCGAACATTTCTTTTGGCCACATGGACCGACACGTCGTGGTCTGATGTATCATCAGTTCAAAGGAACCGGCGTGTATTGTTATAAAACTGGAGATCGAATCGGTACGATTGTTGTCAAACCACGAGTGAAGATTCATCAAATAACGCTCTTCGATGAGAAATCAGGTTTGAAAACATTGAATTCGGATTTTGAGATTGTTTTCAATGTTCGAATATGTTTAGTCTATGCCAACATCAATACAAATGATTTCATTCAATTCAATTGGAAAAAGGCAAAACCAAAACAAGACCCGATATTTCTAACAATTGATCGAGACACATCAGTACCAGCCGATATTCAGAATGATCGCACGCGACCATTTCAATGTCGTAAGTCATGCTAGGTTATGTGAGCTCTGAAAAAAGAAAATTAACTACGTTTAGATATCCATAAATGTCGAAATATTGTGCCGGCCTTTAGTTGGTATTTTGACACATGCGAAACATTTCTCTACAACATACCTCAGTACGGCTTGTACAACTTTACCTGTTTGAAAGATATGAATACTGTTCTCATAAGTCTCATCATCGAAAATGCCATCGAAGTAAGTCGAAACTTCGATTTTTTCTCGAAAATTTTTCTTTTTATTTCATAGACTCATTATATAACTTACGATGAATACAACACATTTGAACCAAATATAATCAAAATCAACCGTTGTGATCAAGTACAAATCCTCCCATCGCTTACCACTATCGCTAGTACAATATTCCAAACGAACGAGCATGGAAGACCAACAGAACATGGAAGTATATTATTCCAACCTCAAAGAAACAGTATTAATTATTTTGTGAAACATTTCAATGATCTCGGCGTTTTTTATTTCTCAACCAACGTGAAAAATCATCTGAGAAAGACAATAAAGCAAACAATCACACACCCATTAGCGGTCATCGTCGTACCAGAAATTCGCTTTCATGAAAAACGAATAGAAACCAAGAAAGCTTTCGATAGCAAACTGATCATAACGACCAATAGCAAGGATTTTGTTATCTGGCGTTTCGATCAACCTATTTCTCACAATGTTGTGCAGTTACATCAAGATGAAAAGTTCAATGATTTACTGGCTTGTCACACGAGAGCGGCGGTTGGAAGAAAACGACAATGTGTGGGTTTTTATTGCGAAAAATTGTCTATTGGAGCGTTCTTCTTTGCTAATCCAGGTAAAGATATGAAATTGATTGAGAACACAAGTAGAGAGATTTGATTGCTATTTAGATTTTGAAAAAGTCACTGGCTTTAATGAAGTAAGGTTTATAGAAAAACAGAATTTTTCATCTGAATTATATGTTTGTTAAGACTCGACTGATATCGACGGTTATCATCGACCCACCGTTCAGTCAAAATTCGATTCTCGTCACTGACGAAAGCTTCCGTCCAAATGTTTTATATATTGAACAGGTATATGACGATATCTTCACTTATTGTTAACTCTTCATGTAAACATAGAATGACACGGTGTCGTGGGTATCCAAAAATACCGAAGTAGAACACCACATCGTCGTGCAATCAAATGAGGACGAGGGTGAAGAAGGTCTGATTAGTCCTACTAATCGAAAAGTAAATGGTGAAATCAAAGGCATATGCCATCTGCATACATTTCTGCAACCGGGAACATACACTGTTCAGTCAAATCGTTTTGGGAATACGACAAATGTTGTTGTTTATTCAACTAGCGTTGATCGCGAGAATAGTAAGGATTTCTTTTCAAAATATTCGCTTATTATCTCTGTTGTTTGTATAAAAGAACGAATTTCACAGCCAGCTGTCAATGAAACAATTACTGATATAAGTCCATTTGACATGCAAGTACATTTAAAGTGCGAAAATGATCGCAATGCAGACATTTACTATACAATGGATGGATCGATTCCAACACGGCCGGATAATCACATTCGGGTAAATGAAGAATTATGGCAAAATTATTTTTATTCATGTTTTTCGTAATTTAGCTGTATGATCCTGATGATGGTATACGTTTTCGACGGCCAGGCTTTCTGGTATTGCGTTCCTATTCAACGGAAGATCGGAAAATATCAAGCTTTGTTGATAATTGCAGGTTTGTGAATTGTATAACACCATGAAACTACAGGTTTCTTTTATTTTCCAGGCCAACATACGTTATGGGAGATGAAGACGTGGAATCTGTATGGAGCAGTTGCAGTATTAAAATCTCCGCCGTCTTCAAAGATCCAGATAAGATCATCGGCCGAGTTGGAGTTTCACCAATACATTCACTTACATTTATTGATTATTTTGAATTGTACATTAATAATATACTGAAAGAGACCATTCGTCCATCAGATGACGGTCACTATTCGGTAGACAATATCGCTACTACTGAAAACTATGAAATCAAAACTATTGCTCATCCAAAAGCTTCAACTGAACGTGCACCGATTACAGCAACGTTACAGGTAAGATTAGAGACACCGGGAGGAAATGCGAAACGTATACCCTGGATGCCCTTTCAGCAAAAAGATAGAGTTCTAACTTCTATTGTTCAGTATGAATATCAGTTTATGCTTTTCTAAAAATTAGTTTTAAAAGACAGTTCAGTGGCGAGTAAGAAGTGAAGAAGAGCTTTACTCGTAACACGATTTCAAAACAGGGATTGAGCATGTGCAAATTCGAATAGATTCCGTTTCAAAATGAGATATACTGCATGTATCAATGTATTTAAGTGTTTCTCTCAATGGCAGTTTAATCATAGCCTTTGCGCATCGCCAACACGTATGTTTTCAGAACGTCTAAGAGAATTTTTTTATTTTGCTTTCTACAGATTAATGGAAGTAAATCATCGCGAAGTAGTCCGCAAGCATCAGCAAAAGAAACGAGACATAGCTCCGGTGGAGAGGGAGGAAAGAAAAAAGTGGATGGTGTTGCCGGGGGATCGCCAAAAGAAACAGGTGAGGGTGGTGGTGGCGGTGGCAAACCAGAAAAAGATGACCTGCCAAAATCCACTCAAACAATGAGTCATATAAATCGAGCAGTTGAACTTTATAAGGCGTTACAAGTGGCAATGGAAAGACGTTCAAAAATGCATCCACATAAGTCATACCCCGGTACTTATCATTATTATCGAAAGGAATCTTTATCACTGGAAACACTCATCTCTTCTGCAGAATCAGATGCAAAATAATAACTCTTATTATTACGTAGAATCAACAACTGTCATCAAAATCTCTTTGTGATCTTTGTCTCTTAATTTTTTTATATAAACGATATCATTGCTTGATATCAATACGTATTCGATAACGACTCAGAGAAGAGACAATAGGAAGATAAACTAGCAGAGCTATGCTACCTAATCGTGTCTTTTCTATTTCATTGTTATCCATCGGATGGTTTGAATAGTCTGCTCGATCATGGCTAAATCGAGAGCATAGATCACTAAAACCTAGAATTAATGCGTCTATAGTTATACAATCCAATTTGTACAATCATACTTGATCAGAAATATTGTGAAAGAAGTCGATATGTTCTTTTCCATTGACAATAACGTCTGTAACTGATTGATTAACACCAAAAATTCGGACAAGTTCTAAACGCATTGGTGAATCTCTGTAATTGGTTACGGTTGCATTGATTGTCAACGTATTCTATTCGATCGATTATTGAAGAATAATCATAATTCGTTCGATCATTTCACTTACTTCAACGGACGAAAATTCAAAGTAGTTATAGATTTTCGTTTCAATCGAATCTCCATCATCCCAAAATAAATTTCCAGTCGCATTTTTGAATGACGACAATGCCACGATTAAAATAAATGGATTTCCACGACTTAACATCAAATTATCACCAGGTATTTGCATCGGAATAATGAAGCCACCTCGAATATGAACATTTATCTTGTCCAAAGGAGCATCAAGATTTGCAAATACACCGACGAACTCGACTTTTTCACCCGATGGGTACTGATACCAGATATCACGAGGAAAATAAGCATTAACTGTCGTCGTGTTCTATCAGGCCAAAGCTGTGAATGTATATGAGCATATCCATCACTACTTACCGAGATAAGATTTGGTGAAACAAGAATAGCACGTCCGAGAAGGAATTGTTGATCGATACCCAATGTATTTTCATCATCAGAAAATCTACGAAGAAGTACGAATGAACAGCATAAGCATTGGATAATCGTACTCGAAATGAAGAGGTTGTATTAGCGTTTTCGATGATACTGTCGCTTGATAATGGAGTGTGTACCAGAATGGTGTCAACGAGTATCGCATGAGCACTGCTTGCTTCATGATCTGTTGAGCTGTCCAGGAGAACACAGCTGGATCTTGATCCTATAGATTGTAATTCGATCTTCGAATAATATTTCCAGAAAATAGAATCCTACCTTTCCAGCATTATGATTTCTCATAAATGGATAGAATGCACCTAACTGCATCCATCGTGTACACAATTCTTCCGTTGTGTCTAATCCAAAACCACATATATCAGCACCGACATTGGTCAGACCAAACATATTAAAACTGAGAATGGCTATACAAGTATCGAGAATCATTCGATATTATTATACTATGGATGTTTGTACCTGAAATGGAGAAATACATATCTTTGAATGTTGATTTATTGTCCCCAGTCCAGTGTGCAGTATATTGACCAGAACCAGCAAATGACGAACGTGACAGAATGAATGGTCGTTTACCTCGAATTGCTTTCAATGCACTAGAACACATGATCCCTTATTCGCTCAAACGGGAAAAAAACTTCTTTATATGTACATATTCGTTGCTTTTGCTTCGAAATAGCCGTACATATTGTGTAGATTATAATGAGAAGAAAGAGCATGTTGCGCCGATGGGCATACTGTACTTGCGCTCAGCTTGCCTCCGAGAACGTCTATTAAAGCATTCGACACTTTCGAATTGTTTGTTTCATAATAAAGACTTACGCGGAACAAATGGAGGATTGTCCAATGTTGTATTAGTACAACCTTGCTGAGATCCGTCAACAAAATTGGACGGTTCGTTCATATCCTATTAAGATGATAGTTAAGTTTGTATTCGTTTCTAGCAGAAAATATCAGCATACAAGCCAAATTCCATCGAAAGGGATAGTTTCATGAAACGTGCCAGCGATATTTGTCCACCATTCCACTGAATTTTCATTTGTAAAATCGGGAAATGCCGTCCAACCTATAGATTTGAAAATAGCATTCAGAAGTGTAAATATCTCATAACTTGTACCTGGCCAAACCTAAAATATTGTTGAATGTAGTATATCTTACGATCAGTATAAACATTCGATCCTACTTTTCCAATAATTGGGTCACTTGAGTTGAATTTCTTTACGAAGATTTCTCTTCTCAAACCATCATCATACGGTGGATAAGTACCAGCAGGTTGAGTTGAACTAATCCCAGGATCGATGATATTAACGTAATGTTTACCTTCCGATCTCAACGAACGAACAAGATCAGGTAAGCCATTGAATAGGACTTCATCGTAAGTAAAATCCAAATGTGATGACATCGCATCAATATCTGTCCATTGAACGTCGTATGGAAATTGGGCATCACTCATTCTCTAATCAGAGGAAAAACGAACTCCTTTCAAATGTGAATCACGCAATACTTTGATGACGTTTCGTAAATTATCAATAGTGTGGTAATCGTAGCGACATAAGTGAAAGCCTAGTGACCAATAAGGTGGCAGTGTTGGTTTCTAAATTTTAGAACAGTCACGCAATTTAAATACAAAATCTTCATTCCTCACGCCAATGACATCCCAATACTGTTGAATAACATCTGTAGCAGTTGGTCCCGTAAACAAGTATAAATCAATAATGCCACCCGTGGTTAAATATGTAATGGCTGGTAGCGGTTGAAGGTCTATATCCATTGCATTTGAGTTAAGCAAGAACTGTCCGTGAAAATTCACTGGTGTCTCATTTGTTCTTTCCACATTGATATGAAATGGATGAACACCTATCATTAAAAAGAATCAATCGATCGAAAGACAGCATTCGTCACTTGATCCATACCATAGAGATTATTATTTTCTACTGGTGGCGTATCACGAGTCCAGAATGGCAGTGTTTTCCATTGATTTGTAACGTTAATCAGAAGTGCTTGGCGATGTTCTCCAAGACCATAGAGATATGGACTGGATAAGACGCTCGAAAATCTGATGAATTGATCAGCGTATATCAACGGTGATACACTTGAATCGAATCTGAAAGTAAACATTTGATGAACGAAAACGAACGAACGGACGGACGAATAAAAAACTTGATTTACATGATCACACCAGTCGATCTTCGTTTGACAAGAATAGCGAAAGGCATTTGAGTAATTGAAACATCGTAATCAGTCGCATTCGCTTTTGTTTGAACTACTGGTACTTGCAATGGTACTTCGTAGCGTTTGTTGGTTGAATCATAAATCCGTAAACGAAACCGCTGGGTTGTTTCATAGAAAAGATCAACAGTTAAATTCAGAATTTCATTTGGCATATAAGTCGATTGTGGTTTCATAATGATTAAACGTTGACCAAACGATGTTGGTTCACTACTTATGACGCGATATGTCGGAAAATCTCGTGGATAATAACATGATGGTACGTTTTCATCGGACAAGGTCGAGTTCATTGGTTGCCAACAACAACGGCGTGCTAAGCATTTTTCGGATGACGGCGAAGATTCGGGATGACAGTTGAATCGCGCATTCTTCTCAGGTTGATCACATTGTTGTGCAGATGTAAAACAAATCGACAAAAAGACGATCATCCATTTATAAACAACGCAAAACTTCATCATATAACTAATCTATTGATGGTTAAAATGTGAATTACAACAATCGAGTAAGGACTAAGACGAAATAATAAGACGTATAGACCAGGTGTCATTACATTCCCATCCATAAGAGTGGTTGCATGTTAAAATTTCAAGATAATAGTACATGTTATTGTCGAGGAAAAGGCATTCTCAAGTTTGATTCACTACACTGTTCGTTGATGACCTAAAGGTGTCTTGACCAAGGTCTAAAATACCTATGTTCATTAGTCAAATCATCATACCTTTCGTGATTTCGGCTCATCGGGATAAGTAACTCAAAATCAAAATTAAAGCTGCAACAACTCATATTCTGTAGGCTCTACTGAATATCTTGCTTAATTTTTCTTTTGAAAATGATTTTTTATTGCTAGACGAATGGGTGATTGGGATTGTCCACGTTGTTGGAAACTAAATTTTGCTTCCCGATCCGTATGTCTCAAATGTGAACAAACGAAATACAGTAGCTACACTCAGGCTGCTATGTCAATAACAATATTACATTCTTCGCGTACACTTCGTGATTCACAGATGAGCCAAAACCTTTTCATGGTGGAAAATACAAAATATAGATGAATTTAATATGTAAGAATGAAGTAATGCTTTTGCCTTTCAATGTGCTTATCCTTCGCGTTTCTTTATTTATTATCGAGAAATTTCTGATGGTGCTGCAATAACTTCTCTAGGGGTTAGATATCGACATCGATTGATCACGAGCTCGAAAGTGAAGTTTTTCGGCACTGGGATCTTCTATAGGTGAATTTCATATTGTCCAGTACGAATTTGAAAGTAGTAAAAGCTCTTCTTCAGAAGCGAAATTGCACAATGATGGTAGTTTTTCTTTGATTCAAGTTGAATAGATCGCTGTGATACATTTCCGAGCAAAGTGAAATGTAATGAGAACCGATAGTCGCGGGAAGAATAAAGTTCAACGAAACTTTGAGCAATATTTCTTTTCTTCGATGTTGACTATAAAGTATGCGTTTCAAGAACGAAATCTTCGGTGAGATGAAGGAAAAGAAGTGCTGTATAAGCATTGGTATTGCTTTATAGTGTATAGTGTTAATAATGCATCGATCCGATTTTTGTCGAAAAATTTCTCCTTGTGATGAAAAGATCGATGATCTGTTTGAGTCGCAATTGATATTCTTCGCAACACTCACGTTCAGTTCGCGATTTAATCGATGCTTTAAGAAAATGCGATCCATTTGCGTCCGAGGAAGATAAACAACCTCTTTACCAATTATCCAGAATTCCAGATGAACCTTTACGAGTAAATTATCTCTATAGTTCATCATTAATTATCAACGTTCCCAACGCTACTTTTCCGTTTCGATTCAAAATCGTTCGGAGAGAATAAGATAAACGAAGTTGAATAATCTCAATATGCTTTCCTTAACACAATACCTGTAAAGCTGTATTTTACCATGGCCAGATTCAGTTAAGCAACATCGTTTGTACGACCTCAGGATTACTCGCGGCACAGGCTTCTTAGAATGAACTCGATTGTTGATTACTACATCGATCTTGAAAGAAATTTAATGCAAAAATAACCTTGACAACCTTCTCTCTCATCTCGGTTTCAACATGATCGACCATCTCCGACAATATCATCTCATTTACATTCATTTCGTCAAGCAGCACTGTCATCGTTTAGTCTCTTTTCATCAGTTCGTCTGCTTCAGCAGTATTGATTGTTGATTCAATAACTATCAAGAAGTGTAAAACGGCATATGTATTTTCACATCTACTAGTTCCGATTCTATATGGTTATTACGGTATGTTGATGATCATATTAGTCGTTTTTAGAAGTATCTTGACATGTTTTTTTTTAACATAGTAGATAAATAATTACGCGACAACAACCATGTGTGTGTTTTACATCCAGAATACGTTCCATTCAGATATGTTTTACCAATAATTCAACCACAATTCGCTATAATTAACTCAACTGTTTCGACAGCAGCATACAAACACATGAATCGCCTATGAATAGAGAAAACGTTGTTTAGTTCTTTTTTTTTAAAGCCGCACAAAGCACTGAAGAATGTAACTTTAGCTTTCATATTTCAACGTCATTGAAAGTATAATAATTGATAAAGAAAATGTACGATGCATGTACAAACAAAAGAATGTAAGACATCAAATTACTCGTCTTCTTTTTTTCTTCATTAACGACCTTCATCATTGAAAAGTGGAGATAAGAATACCACTGAAATATACACTTCGGTTTCGTTGCGTTTTCTTTTCATTGTTCTATCGAATCGCAACATGTTGAAATTGATCCTTGTATTCGTTTTATGTATGTCCGTGTTGGGCAAAAAGGAAGAGCAGAAAAAAGGCGATGATTTCTGTCCGAAACTTCGTAATGTTCTCTGTGTTCAAAATATTCTTCGCGAGATTTTNATGAGAAGAAAGAGCGTGTTGCGCCGATGGGCATACTGTACTTGCGCTAAGCTTGCCTCCGAGAACATCTATTAAAGCATTCGACATTTTCGAACTGATTGTTTGATAATAAAGACTTACGTGGAACAAATGGAGGGTTGTCCAATGTTGTATTAGTACAGCCGTGCTGAGATCCGTCAACAAAATTGGACGGTTCATTCATATCCTAAGATAATAGTTAAGTTTGAATTCGTTTTTAGCAGAAAATATCAGCATACAAGCCAAATTCCATCGAATGGGATAGTTTCATGAAACGTACCAGCGATATTTGTCCACCATTCAACTGAATTTTCATTTGTAAAATCGGGAAATGCCGTCCAACCTATAGATTTGAAAATAGCATTCAGAAGTGTAAATATCGCATAATTTATACCTGGCCAAACCTAAAATATTGCTGAATGTAGTGTATCTTACGATCAGTATAAAAATTCGATCCTACTTTTCCAATAATTGGGTCACTTGAGTTGAATTTCTTTACGAAGATTCCTCTTCTCAAACCATCATCATACGGTGGATAAGTACCAGCAGGTTGAGTTGAACTAATCCCAGGGTCGATGATATTAACGTAATGTTTCCCTTCCGATCTCAGCGAACGAACAAGATCAGGTAAGCCATTGAATAGGACTTTATCGTAAGTAAAATCCAAATGTGATGACATTGCATCAATATCTGTCCATTGAACGTCGTATGGAAATTGGGCATCACTCATTCTCTAATCGGAGGAAAAGCAAACTCCTTTCAAATGTGAATCACGCAATACTTTGATGACGTTTCGTAAATTATCAATAGTGTGATAATCGTAGCGACATAAGTGAAAGCCCAGTGACCAATAAGGAGGCAGTGTTGGTTTCTAAACTCTAAAACAGTCAAGCAATTCGAATACAAAATCTTCATTTCTCACGCCAATGACATCCCAATACTGTTGAATAACGTCTGTAGCAGTCGGTCCCGTAAACAAGTATAAATCAATGATACCACCCGTGGTTAAATATGTAATAGAAGGTAACGGTTGAAGGTCTATATCCATTGCATTTGAGTTAAGCAAGAACTGTCCGTGAAAATTCACTGGTGTCTCATTTGTTCTTTCCACATTGATATGAAATGGATGAACACCTATCAATAAAAAAATCAATCGATCGAAAGGCAGCATTTGTCACCCGATCCATACCATAGAGATTATTGTTTTCCACTGGTGGCGTATCACGAGTCCAGAATGGCAGTGTTTTCCATTGATTTGTAACGTTAATCAGAAGTGCTTGGCGATGTTCTCCAAGGCCATAGAGATATGAACTGGATAAGACGCTCGAGAATCTGATAAATTGATCAGCGTAGATCAACGGTGATACACTTGAATCGAATCTGAAAGTAAACATTTGATGAACGAAAATGGACGGACGAATAGAAAACTTGATTTACATGATCACACCAGTCGATCTTCGTTTGACAAGAATAGCGAAAGGCATTTGAGTAATTGAAACATCGTAATCAGTCACATTCACTTTTGTTTGAACTACTGGTACTTGCAATGGTACTTCGTAGCGTTTGCTGGTTGAATCATAAATCCGTAAACGAAACCGCTGGGTTGTTTCATAGAAAAGATCAACAGTTAAATTCAGAATTTCATTTGGCATGTAAGTCGATTGTTGTTTCATAATGATTAAACGTTGACCAAACGAGGTTGGTTCACTACTTATGACACGATATGTCGGAAAATCTCGTGGATAATAGCATGATGGCACGTTTTCATCGGACAAGGTCGAGTTCATTGGTTGCCAACAACAACGGCGTGCTAAGCATTTTTCTGATGACGGCGAAGATTCGGGATGACAATTGAATCGCGCATTCTTCTCAGGTTGATCACATTGTTGTGCAGATGTAAAACAAATCAACAAAAAGACGATCGTCCATTTATAAACACTGTAAAATTTCATCATAACTAATCTATTGATGGTTAAAGTGTGAATTATAACAATCGAGTAAGGACTAAGACGAATGAATAAAACCTATAGACCAGGTGTCATTACATTCCCATTCATAAGAGAGGCTGCATGATAAAATTTCAAGATAATAGTACATGTTATTGTCGAGGAAAAGGCATTCTCAAGTTTGATTCACTATACTGTTCATTGATGACTTGAAGGTGTCTTAACCAAGATCTAAAATATCTATGTTCATTAGTCAAATCATCATACCTTTCGTGATGTCGTCATTTAACTATGTATTTGGCTTCGGCTCATTGGGATAAGTGACTCAAAATCAGAATTAAAGCTGCAGCAGCTCATAGTCTGTAGGCTCTACTGAATATCTTGCTTAATTTTTCCTTTGAAAATAATTTTGTATTGCTAGACGAATGGGTGATTGGGATTGTCCACGTTGTTCGAAACTAAATTTTGCTTCCCGATCCGTATGTCTCAAATGTGGACAAACAAAATACAGTAGCTACACTCAGGCTGCTATACTCTAATTCTTTGATCTTCCATTTTCTCAAATCAACAGACATGAAATTGGATCGTTTTCTTTTTCGTTTGAAATGTAGCTGTCGTCGATGTGTTGCTGCATTGTTTCTGTGCGTAAAAACTCAACCATTCCATTAAACAGTTATCCTATGTGAAAAAAATGCATTTAATATGGACGATGTTGTGAATAATAGTATTAAATTTCTCACATACACTTCGTGATTCACAGATGAGCCAAAACGTTTTCACGGTGGAAAATACAACATAGATAAATTTAATATGTAAGAACGAAATCACGCTTTTGCTTTTCAACGTGCTTATTCTTCGTGTTTCTTGATTTATTATCGCGAGATTTCTGATGGTGCTGCAATAACTTCACTGGGAGTTAGATATCGACATCGATTGATCACGAGCTCAGAAGTGAGGTTTTTCAGCACTGGGATATTCTATAGGTGAATTTCATATTGCCCAGTACGAATTTACAAGTAGTAAAAGCTCTTCTTCACGAGCGAAATTGTACAATGATGGTAGTTTTTCTTTGATTCGAGTTGAATAGATCGCTGTGGTACATTTCCGGGCAAAATGAAATGTAATGAAAATCGATCGTCGGGAAGAATAAAATTCAACGAAACTTTGAGTAATATTTCTTTTCTTCGATGTTGACTGTAAAGTACGTGTTTCAAGAACGAAATCTTGCCGCTACCAGGCCCATCGGTAGCCAGCAATATCCGTTAAAGTCATCCTGATAAACACGATAAGAAAATTCGGTAAGATGAAAGAAAAGAAGTGCTGTATAAGCATTGGCATTGCTTTGTATTGTTATAGTGTTAATAATGCATCGATCCGATTTTTGTCGAAAAATTTCTCCTTGAGATTAAAACCTTGTTGATTTTCGTGATCGATGATCTGTTTGAGTCACAATTGATATTCTTCGCAACACTCACGTTCAGTTCGCGATTTAATCAATGCTTTAAGAAAATGCGATACTCGAGCAATAGTTGCTTTGATTTGCGATTCATTTGCATCTGAGGAAGACAAACAACCTCTTTGCCAATTATTCAGAATTCCAGATGAGCCTTTACCAGCAAATAATCTCTATAGTTCATTATTAATTGTCAACGTTTTCAACGCGGCTTTTCCGTTTCGATTCAAAACCTTTTGGAGAGAATGAGATAAACGAAGTTGAATAGTCTCAATATGCTTTCCTTAACGCAATACATGTAAAGCTGCATGCTACCATGGACAGACTCGGTTTGATTAATCTATTTCACGATTAAGTTAAGCAACATCCTTTGTACGATTTTGAGATTACTCGCGGCACAGGCATCATAGAATGAACTCGATTGTTGATTACTACATGCTACATCAATCCTGAAAGAAATTTACTGGAATTTACAATTATATGTAAAAATAACCTTGACAACCTTTTCTCTCAATATCTATCTTGTTTCGTATATAAAAATATCAAATCAAATAATTATCGTTCGCATTGAGAATTGTCAAGAAAATATGTGTGAACTACAGTCTAGTAGTAAGCATCTATTTTTCTGTTTATTTTCTTCATCTCGGTTTCGACATGATCAACCATCTCCAACAATATCATCTCATTTACATTCACGTCGTCAAGCAGCACTGTCATCGTTGATTCTTCTTTTCATCAGTTCGTCTGCTTCAGCAGTATTGATTGTTGATTCAATAACTATCAAGAAGTGTAAAACGGCATATGTATTTTCACATCTACCAGTTCCGATTCTGTATGATTATTACGGTATGTTGATGATCATATTAGTCGTTTTTAGAAGTATCTTGACATGTTTCTTTTAACATAGTAGATAAATAATTACGCCACAACAGCCATGTGTGTGTTTTACATCCGCAACACGTTCCATTCAGATATGTTTTACCAATAATTCAACCACAATTCGCTATAATTAACTCAGCTGTTTCGACAGCAGCATACAAGCACATGAATCGCCTATGAATAGAGAAAACGTTGTTTAGTTCCTTTTTTTTCAAAAGCCGCACAAAGCACTGAAGAATGTAACTTTAGCTTTCGTATTTCAACGTCATTGAAAGTAATAATTGATAAAGAAAATGTACGATGCATGTACAAACAAAAGAATGTAAGACATCAAATTACTCGTCTTCTTTTTTTCTTCATTAACGACCTTCATCATTGAAAAGTGGAGATAAGAATACCACTGAAATATATACTTCGGTTTCGTTGCGTTTTCTTTTCATTGTTCTATCGAATCGCAACATGTTGAAATTGATCCTTGTATTCGTTTTATGTATGTCCGTGTTGGGCAAAAAAGAAGAGCAGAAAAAAGGCGATGATTTCTGTCCGAAACTTCGTAATGTTCTCTGTGTTCAAAATATTCTTCGCGAGATTTTGTATTCCAATGGAATATTAAGAAATACTGTCAACGAAATCGAACAACTCATCGTAAGTAGACGTTGAACTCTTACGATTGGATCTTTGTTTTTACAGATTAGATACGACCCCAATGAAGAACTTCTCAACAACAACATCAAATCTCGCAAGAGCGCTATTGAATCGAAACTTCCGAAAGCGAAATACCATCTTCAATTCGCTAATCGAAGTAACATTGACCAAGTATTGGAAGTTCTATGAGACGACTTTTTTCTAAGATATATCTTTTTTTTTCTATACACTAGGCTGACCTGGTCAATTTGGTACAAGAAGAAGCCAATGCTTATGCTTACTTATACAATTCGATCAAGAATGTTCTTAAAGTTGGTAACGAGTTTGAAAAATCGACAGAGAGATTATTCAAACAAGCTTTGACAGACATCCAAGAGAATATCATCTGTCGATACCGATCGATTTTGAATGTTTATTCAGCAAGTTCGACACCAATCAGCGAAGTCGGCGGAATTGAATTCGCTGGAAGCGATAAGAAAGGTTTATGGAAATCATTCTTATACAACGTACACTCAGTCATCATCGCTCGATTATCACGCGAATGGGCGGATCATGCGGAGAATTTTCTAAACAACGTCGAATCGAAATTGTCATAAAATACTCATGAACTTAGCATAAACTCACTTTTTCTTTTGTAGTACTAGTTGCTTTTATTATATTCAAGAAATTAATAAATTCGAAATTAATAACACTGAAAAACTTCAAAAAATATCGTCTCTATAGTTTTGGAAATAGATGGGCAAGATCAACACGATCAGTTTCATTCAGATGAAGACTTAACGCTTCTTTCACAGGTTCTAAATGTTCGGGTTTACGTGGTCCGATGATAACTCCTGTGATTCGATCATCACTTAATAACCACGCTAAACTTATACCAGCGAGACTTGCATCACCGAATCGTTGTTTACTGAGTCTTTTCATTGAATCTAAACCATCGAATATGCTATCTTGATTTTGAACGAAGATTTCGTATGGATCAGGTCGTAATGACATACGAGAGCCGGATTCATAATGCAAACCACGTTGATATTTTCCTGTTAACCATCCACCAGCCAACGGACTATAAGGAGTAAAACCAAGGCCGTGTTTCGAACAGATTTGTAAGATTTTTTCTGTCTCTTGATAACCCAATAACGACATGGAGTTTTGCACCCATTCATATCGATTTAAATTTCGACTTTCACAAATCGATAAACTCCTCTCTAATTCTGCACAACTGATATTTGATGCTCCAAATGCCCGTATTCTTCCATTTCGTTGTAATTCATCGAAGCAAGTCAGAGTTTCTTCAAGCGGAGTTTTGTCATCCATTTCATGCGACAAATACATATCTAATCGTTCGACTCCAAAACGTTTTAATGTACCATCTACTCTTTCTAATATTCGTTCTCTTGATAACCCACTACTGTCACCAGCAAACATTGGATTGTACGTTTTTGAACTAAGCACTACTTTAGTTCGCAGTTTTTCATCGGACTTTTTCAACCAAGTACCGATATATGATTCACTTCGACCACCACCATACGCATCGGCAGTATCAAATGTGTTTATGCCGAGACGAACAGCAGCATCGAGAATTTCGTGAGCTTGCTCTTCATTTTCAGCCTGATCGAATAACGAAGGTTCAGAACCAATACCACCAAAACAACCACAGCCGAGAATTACACGGGATATCTCAATGTCTGTTTGCCCGACTCTTCGGTACTGCATTTTCAGCTAGAAAGAATTCGTTGTACGACATAAAAAAAGACCACGTCAGCATGTGATGTTATCGTTTTCATTCTTATCTTAAAACAAGAAGAAATTTGCACCTATAGAGAACATTAATATTGACTCATTGATGGACTTTTTCATCTTTTGCAATTCAGGATCTACAAATTTTGATATCAATGTTTATAGTTTAACTGTTCGTTATTGATGATCGATTATGTCTCATTCAATTTCAATTTGATTGAATCATGTTTACAACATCATTTTAACTTTGAAGCGCAAATCTTCGTACCTTAACGAGTTTTTTTTATATTATCATACACGAGTTTAATATTCAAACTTTTTATAATCACACGCGCTGATGGTCATATCCGGAATTACAAAAAAGTTTTGGTTCTTGCTTGACTCTGCCAAGGTCGTTGATCAATTTATTCATATTCGAATTGATATTAACTTGTTTTAGATTGATAATACGAAAGATGCTGACTTTTCATTCGACAAACTTTACAGTAGAGAGACATTCTCATTATTTGTCTGAACATCTACTAAGACTATATTTTGATCCATATTTACATAATGCGATAGGGTTTAACGAGTTTATACCCAATTGTCAACAAAGCTTTACATGCTGAAAATGGAGAAGGGAATGAATCTGTAGAGAAATTCAGTCAAGTCTCCTGCTCCTCACGAAAATTTCATTGTGAATTGTCCGAATCGAAAACTGTTCAATGGAAATTTGATAAGAATGACAAAAAAATGTGACGAGTGGCAATGGTATAGGGAATGACATCTATCAATGCAACTTTGACGAAAAAAACTTTCGTTATGTATGACGAATGGAAAACAAAGCTATCTATTGTATTGATTATTTGCATCATTGCGTAATGGGATGGAGGAAAGATATGAACGAAGGAATTATTGTTGCTACGAGAAATGAATAAAGAAAATAAGCGAAATCGATTGCACCGTCCGACAAAAATACTTGTTTAACGATTTTGATCAAATCATCGAGTAATGCGTTAATGTGAAAAATAAATCGAAGACAGATGCAAAGATAACTTTTTCTATTATGTGAATAAAATCTGAAAATGATTTTTTATTGGTTCATTCGTCCTTCAAATATCGCTCACCATAACGAAAGGAAGCGTCAAAAGCACGATCCGTCACTTTCTTTTCTATTTTGTCGAACAAAAAGGAAAGAGAAGAAAAAATTTCACTCTTGACATTTAACTAAACATCACTTAGCATTATAAACGACAAATCATATTCGAACGACATCTGTACGGCAATAAATGTATCGACATTTTTTTTTTCTCGATCATTAGTGCATCTTCAATAGATGTGAAACTAATTGATATGTCACGCGTATGATTCAACATTGTCATCGAGTCGATCGATGTACATATACGCGTTGTTTTTTAATAACTTTTAGTAGCACAATTGGTGTATACATTTGATAGATAAGTTGAATAATCCATGTATCATATACCTTTTCTACACAAGAAAACAGTTGAAGGTTTGTCTGATTCAATGGAATATAGGAGAACTATACGTGGTTTAACTTTAGCGACGAGTCGGAAGTTCCGAGCAAATGGACGTCGTCATGATAGTACACAGGAGTTCGCAGTAAGTACTGCTGATTTGTTAATAAGAGACAAAAACGAAAAGAATTCTGTATGTTTAGGACAATCGAATATCTACGTCAAAATACAATTTAATAACGTTTTTACCAAAGAATCTCTTTGAACAATTTCGACGCTTAGCCAATAGCTATTTTTTAATACTCGTGTGTTTACAAGTAACGAGAAAGCAACTGATCTGTTTTTGATATACTGTATTCTTCTTTAGTTCATACCACAAGTCACTTCATTAACACCCGGTACAAGTATTGCCCCGCTGTCTGTTGTATTGTTGATCACTGCGATCAAAGACGCTGTCGATGATATTGTTCGATGATTTGACTATCTTCTTCGCATCATTTATTTGATTTTTTAGCGAAGACATCGAAGCGATAAACAGATTAATAATCGGGAGGTGAATATTTTAGCTGGACATGACTTGATCCGTAAGAAATGGCAAGAAGTTCAAGTTGGTGATATCATTCAAGTGGAAAACAACGAGTTTATTCCTGTAAGACATTAGGAGAAGCAAACGAACGAGAAAATATGCGTTTTTCAGGCTGATATGGTTCTACTATCGACCAGTAAACCGAATGGTCTTTGCTTTATTGAAACAGCGGAGTTGGATGGAGAAATCAATCTTAAATTACGTCGAGCGCTGCATGAAACTTGTTCTCTCAAGGATCACATTGATGGCTTAGCCAGTTTTAATGGTAAAATTTCCAAGATTATTCCTTCTAGCGATGTGTTTGACTTTGTTTTGAGGTGAAATTGAATGTGAAGCACCGAATAATAGACTTGAGCGTTTTCAAGGAAATCTAATTTGGAATGAGAAGGTCTTAGCATTGAAGAATGAGAATATTCTCTTACGCGGAGCAAAATTGAAAAATACCCAATGGGTTTTCGGCAGTATGAACTTGACTTCGTTGTTATTTTTGTAAGTGTTATATTTTAAGTCGTCTGTTATGCTGGTTCAGATACAAAGATCATGAAAAACAGTGGAATAGCCATATTTAAACGAACTAAAATCGATCATCTACTCAATCGATTTATCATCAGTGTATAACTACCGATTAATTTCCTTTCTTTCAAACATGAATTCTTCCATTCAGATCTTTCTGTTGTTACTCATCATGTGTACAATAATGACTATCTCAAATGGTCTTTGGGAATCTTCTATCGGTTATCATTTTCGTATTTATGTGCCATGGGAAACGTATATCTCTACAGAGCGCCGGATCGGTGCACTCGAAAGAAGTTTATTAACGTTCTTTTCATATGCTATTATACTGCACACGGTGATTCCGATCTCGCTTTATGTTAGCATAGAAATTATCCGTTTGATCCTATCAAAATGGATCGATTGGGATAATAGAATGTATTACGAACCAAATAATGTTCAAGCACAAGCTCGTACAACAACGTTAAATGAAGAATTAGGCCAAATCCAGTATATATTCTCGGATAAAACAGGAACATTAACACAAGTGAGTGTGCAATTCAGCTGAATTTATACTATATACATATTCTGTTTAGAATATGATGACTTTCAAGAAATGTTCAATTCGAGGGCAACTTTATGGGTATGCGGACGATGAAATCGAAAGTAGTGACATGCGATCTGTAGATTTTCAAGAGAAATATGGGACTTTCCAATGGTACGACGAGAAATTATTGGATGCTATTGAGCGGAATGATCGAAATGTACATCGATTTTTTACTTTACTATCTGTTTGCCATACAGTAATGTCAGAAGAAAAAGATGGAGAGATTGTTTATCAAGCGCAATCACCGGATGATGATGCACTTGTCTCTGCCTCACGTGCATTTGGATTTATGTTTCTCGTAAGAGATTTTGTGTGTTGACAGGAAGAATCGCCTGATTTTCTTTGCAGGATCGTACACAAAATAGCATTACAGTTCGTTTTGGAGATAGAGAAGAAACGTATGACTTGCTGCATATACTTGATTTCGATAATGATCGAAAACGGATATCGGTGATTGTTAAACAACATGGAAGAATCTTTTTATATTGTAAAGGCGCTGATTCAAAAATTGAGGAACGATTAGATCCATCGGAAAGAGACTTAATGGCAATAACCAATGATCATTTACACGTAAATGATGTTTTATCTATCTTCACTCTACCCTGATTTTCTTCTAGCAATTTGCAACGAATGGTTTGCGAACTCTTTGTTTAGCATATAAAGAATTGCGTGAAAGTGATTATCAAATATGGGCGAAAAAATTACATGCAGCAACGTAAGAGAGTTACGTACAACGAAGAATTCAGTTCTGATTTACTTTCTAGAACAAGTATGGATAGACGAGATGAAAAAGTAAGCAAAGCTTATGAGGAAATTGAAAAGAATTTCAAGTTGCTTGGTGCGACGGCCATCGAAGATAAACTACAAGACGGCGTACCTGAATGCATCGAGCGTTTAACATCTGCCGGTATTAAAATTTGGGTGTTAACTGGTGATAAATTAGGTAAATAAGAGTTCTATCACCCTATTATGTCTTTGATTAGAACAATATTTAAGAAACGGCTCGTAATATTGGTTTATCGTGTCGATTATTAACGGATGCAATGGTTCTGTATAATATTGAAGAAGAAACTGAAGACGCAGTTGGAGAAAAGTTACAACGAGTTCGTAATGATATGATTCATAAAATCGAGCAGTTATTCAACGTTCAGATCGAAGATAAAACTAAAAGACTCAATTGGAAGGACTGGAGTATCGATGTGATGAATTTCGATCAACACCGAAAATCGACACAGCAAACTGAACGGGATGAGGAAGCATTTCAAGGTTTCGGTTTGCTTATCACCGGTTCAGCGCTATTATTCGCTTTGAATGAAAACCTACAGATGAAATTTCTCGAAATCAGTACCATGTGTCAAGCGGTTATCTGCTGCCGCGTCACTCCGTTGCAAAAAGCTCAGGTTGTTGATTTAGTTATGAAGAATGAGGACAAAATTACCTTAGCAATCGGCGATGGAGCGAACGATGTGTCCATGATACAAAGTAATTTTATAGTTCTTCGCTCTCGTAAGCAAAACTTCCGTTTTTTTTCCCCGTAGAAGCACATATTGGTGTCGGTATCAGCGGACAAGAAGGTCGTCAGGCTGTTCTAGCAAGTGATTATAGTTTAGGACAATTTCGTTTCCTTGAAAGATTACTACTTGTTCACGGGCGTTGGTCGTACATGCGAATTTCGAAATTTTTACGGTATTTTTTCTATAAGAATGTTGCCTTTACACTGTGCCATTTTTGGTTTGGAATCTTCTCGGGCTTTACAGCACAAGTTAGTATAAAAAACACCACACAGGCACTGAATTCTTGGTTTTTTAGACATTGTTCGATCCATTTTTTATAGCAACCTATAATATCTTCTTCACTTCACTACCTGTCTTAGTTCTCGGCATTTTCGATCAGGTATACACATTCATCTTGCGCGAAAATGTACTCTTTCTTCTGCTTAGGACATTAGCGCCGAGCATTCACTGAGTAAACCCTATCTGTAAGTGAGAACTTATCGTCTGGAAATACCTTCACATTCATTGTCAATTTCAGATATAAATTTGGCCAAAATGATGAACTTTTCAATAAGAGAATCTTTGCTGAAAGCATTTTCCATGGAATAATAACTTCATGCGTCATATTCTTTGTCCCGTACTTATCCGTGATAGATACGGCACGATCAAACGGCATAACTTTCAATGATGTACAATCATTTGGTTTTACCGTTGCAACGATCTTAATTATCGTTGTTAACGTCGAAAATGCGTTGGAAGTTTTCTCTTGGACGAGTTTTTATCACTTTGTTTTCTGGGGTACAATCGTCGCACATTTTCTCTTTCACTTCGTGTTATATTCAACGATAATCCAGAGAATCTATCAGAAAGCGAGGTATCCATACGTTGGCGTTGCTCAAGTGGTTCTATCGACAGGTCATTTTTGGTTTGCACTGATTCTTACCTGTGTTATTTTGCTGTTGCCGATATTCTTCCGAGAGTAGGAATCGCGTTTTTCTTTCATACGGGAGAAGAGTCGTTTTATTTTCATGTTACAGATTCTTTCGCATACGTTTTATGCCCACGGAAATCGATCGTGCGAGATTAAATCAAAAGTTTCGCGTGGATGAAAAGATCGCGTTTTTTACAGATATCAAAAAGCATCTTCGGCAAGTTAGACGAGCACCGCGATCAACGTATGCTTTCTCACAAGAAGCCGGTTGGGGTGAACTCATTACTTCGGGAATAATGCAATCGGAACTGAGATCAAGCGTAGTTGTTGTTCGACAAATCATATAACGAAGAAACTCTATTCATCAAAACTTTTGCAATAAAGATTTTACAGGTGTGTAACATAAAACTTATATGATTACTCTTGAATTAAGTTGGGCAGAAATCTAAGTGAATCGAAATAACTTAGGTATAATTTCTTGATTTTATCCGTTGAAGATCATACTGATCAACTAGAAACTGTTTTGGAACGATTTGAAATATTTGGCCGAACATTTCAAAAATATCCCAACTCAATCTCGACCGTGATCTCTGTCTCCATAAATACTCGACAGAAGAAAATTGTGTTTTTCCGAAAAGTCGTAACGAACATCTGATCAGTTATTTTTCGATTTTGTAATTCATCGATGAGCACTCCGGTATCAATATAATGCGAATGAAATGTACTGGATCAATAGTACATCAACGCTGTGCTAAACGTCACAAACCACGGCAAAGATAGATTATCAAACGTCTGGTGAGCTTTGACCAAACACGAAGTAAACTTATCCTCGACTGATTCCGGGTAAACCTTCTTATCGGATAATGTTTGTTGGTGAATAGTATTTGTAAAATATAGCAGGAACATTCCGAGGATAAACAATAATAAACAACCAAGAACTACCGTTTTGTGCATTATAATAGTTTCTTTCGGATTCGAATACACATCTTGTAATACAAATATGAAATCACAAAATTGTTCTTAATTAACCTGCTTTACCGCCCCACAGAACAGTGAATTGTATTTGTAATGGAATCATACAAAAAAGGCTTTTATTTCTCTCCAGTAACTATACAAAATTCTCTTTTCGACGCGTTCTCTATATTCTTGTCAACTACTTCATATAAATTTACTTTTAAATGTAGGATTAGAAAATGAATCGAATGTATGACATGCAAATGTCGGTCTGGATACAAAGCAGCAAGACAAGTTTGTTTTCATCCTCAACATAAAAGAACAAAAGTTTCAGAATTTATTCGACATAATAAGTAAAACAAAACGCACGACGATGTACAATAGTGAATGACAAAGCTCTGATGATTTACATCTACCGTTGTCCCGATGTTGACCACGCTACGATCAATTGCGTTCGTGTTCGATTGAACATGTATAAAACTTGTTGTCTCAAAATTGATCGAAATAATTGACTACTCATGGTGTTCAGATAGAATGTTTTACAGTAATTCAAGTAATAGAACCATGTTGCAATGTAAGAGAGAACTGCATTGAACGGTGTTGCTGGTGTAGACTTGAAGAGATTGTTTAAATAGATGACAACATAAGGTAGGTTGAGGAGAATAGTAAGAGATACTTGAAATAACAGCATGATAATGAGACTATGATTGGCTCGGCTTATGACTCGAACTGGATTTCCATTGGTTGTTCCTGTGGCAGACAGACTGCCCAGATCGACAGTTTGTCGAGCTACGGCAGGAGCAACAATAGCTCTTTTTTGTGATTGACGAACATGAAGAATGATAAGTATTCCGAACAGAGCCAAAAAGAATGGAACAATCGCCCCGTTGAAAAGTGCGAAAAAGAATCCATCGACGATCACAAAAAATGTATATACACTTCTATCTGGTGTGCATGAGATCGTTGTTGAATTTGGATTAAATTGTCTTAAATCATACGCAATTACTGTATGTAATGAGAAGATAGCCCAACCGACGAAGATCGCTGGTATAACAATTCGGCAAACTTTAATTGAACTCAATTTTCGCCATGTTGCTCGTCGTGATGATGAACAAAACCGATCGATTGATGCACATGTAATATACAGCGACGAGAGGCAAGGAAACGTAAATATCGAAAAGTTTCCAAATTTACACCAAAATAATGTGCGCGCAAACTGCCCGTAACTTTGAGGATTGTAAAGTGAGAGAATTTTCGTAAGAATGAAAATGTTGCAGATCAGTAGATCACATAGTGAACCAACCAGAAAATACCATGAACATGAATTAGTTCGCAATTGTTTTTGTAAGAAAGTGAAGATGTTCAAAAATGCACCACAGACGCCACTGACGTAAAGAATAACTTCGATGTAACGATCCGCAACGTTTAGGATTTGTTTGGTCAGTACGAGATCAGTTACAGCAGCAACGGTGGTGGTGGATGAGTTCGAAGGATTCGACATACGTGGAACAGAAGAGAAAGTCAACTGAGCTATAGCCATTGAAGGTGGCATGTAATTAAAGGAATGCGATGCGCGATATTCATGTTTCTTTCAAAAATAGACTTTGTTTATCCAATTAGAAATAGTAGTAGATTGCATAATTAATTTCCAAGAACTTCTTGCACTTTATTCTTATTAAAAATATGAAGAATAGATTTTTATTAAGCAGACAAGACTGAGCGTACAATTATAGTCAATGTAAAGAGGAAAATAGTTTCTGTTTCGAAGAGGTTAATGATGAGGATGTTGATGATGATTATTGTTATGAAATGTCATTTCATGACTCGGATCGATTTTATTTTCAGGGTGACCAATAAATCGAGCAAGGAGCCGATGCCAAATTGGTTCGATAAGTAGTTTGCAGATAAGGAATATCATTGCACAGATTTCCAAACATAGGAATGTAAATAAAAGGGTACGAAACATAATTTCTGCTTGTTTCGCAATGGGTGATTGAGTGTTTTTCATATAATATGATGTTTCACTGATATCAATTGTTAATGTTGTCGACGAACGATTAGCTGATGTGACATAATATTCGTTGGTGACAAACATTTCGTCGAGACTGTAGGTGAATGTTGGATACCACAAACCTTCGAACTTGGAATCACCATCAGCTAATGGTTCAGTTTGATTGACAACCTTTGTCAGGGCGATTTTCAGAGTTGCAACTTGAGCAAATGTTTCCTTTGATTGACTGTAAAATGATCGGAGAAAGCCCAGTTGTTTTAATGTACTTGTGTCGTTCTGTTTCGAAGGACCTGAAATTCCCGCGCGAAAGCCGCCAATCAATTGGATGTCACTCAGTACTACTCGAAGCGTTATTTCATGCTGAGGCAATGACAATGTTGCATAGAGTGTACCATTTTGATTCGAACATGACGATATTGGTAATATTGTTGTTGATAATTCGGTCACTTCGTAAATTAATAACACTTGACAACTAGTTGCTGTGTTGACAAAATCTAGTTGAAGTGTGAAGTTTTGTTCGTTCAGTAAGTCGAAGATCACTTGTTCCTCGTCAGAAACAGGAACGGCTAGGGCTTGTAATTTCGAGTCGAATTGAGCATTTCGGAGAGTTTTGTCGCATGAAAATCGTGAACCATTGGTTTTCTCTGCTGGATATTCATTCAAATATGAAATTGAAAATGCATAGGCCATAACTGAGATTAGAACTACCGCAAGGGACGCTAATCCACCAAGCCACAGTTCACCTTCGCCCTAGACGAAAAAATTTCTGAGTAGAGCAAACTATTCTGTTGTAGTACTTACAACAAGATCTGTTCTTTGAAAAACATTTTTAATCGTCATTCGATATCGCTCACGCTTTGGCTGCGAAACACATAAATTCAAGGATGCCATGAGTATAAGTAAAACACTAATGATACCCAGAAGAACCAAACACCAAAATACGGATGAAATATGTAAACACTCCCATGTTGAGCCGAGAGTAAACATCTGTTGTAAAAGAATATCTTCATACGAAGTCATGTCTGGTGAACGCGGATAAGCATATGCTTGTGAAATTGAAGTAAGCAATGTTGCATTAATTTCATAAGCAGCACCCAATGGACAAAAGCTACTCGACAGACAAGTCGTACATGATGTACCACTATTAGGACCTCCTGAATTGTGCGTTCCACTCAGACATAATTGGCAAGGATGAACACCACTGTCTACTTTGAATGTACCAGCAATGCATGAAGTCGAATGACTAATCACAGGCATGGCTGCTGCAACAGGAGAATTAGTAGTGTCCGTTGATGCATAGAAGCCGGCTTGTTCGTTTAAAATGAGAATAACTCCGCCGGCAGTATCGAGTACAGCTAGAGTTGATGGGGTGGAAACCAGTCGGATTAATTTCGAGTTGATCGTTGACGGTATTGGTTGTTGAGCATTCGGGAAACTTGCTGATGGTGTTGTTGGGATAGTTGTATCATTAAATGCTGTATAGATGAATATGTTGGTTGAATACCACGTAAGATAACTCAACGAGTAGTATGTCACGAGAATTGCTGCTTGTGTTTTCGATAGCCAAGTAACACTTTTGCCAAAACCAACTGATTGACCATTGTCAAGTGAACTAGCCAATGTTAGTTGGGTATTGTTAGTAACAACAAATAGGAAAACTGTATTCAGGAAAGGCATACCAACTAACACTCGAGTTGAATCTTGAGGATTAATTTTCACTGACATAATGTATTGATTGTTCCAAGATTCAACATTAGAATAAGTTAAACGCGATTGCCACGAATTGTTTGCTGCACTATAAGACCATGTTGATAGAACAGTCAGATTGGAATTCCACAATAGGTAAACCGCTGGTGTTGCACGTACTCGAGATCGAGCTGTGCCGGCAACAAAACCGGCAACGATAGTGAAGGTAGTAGTAGCATCGGCTGCATATGGACTGAAGGTCGAACTATTGGGCCAAACTGCTGTGCTCGCCTTTGTCAATATAGAACTCATAGGATACGGTTGATACTTAAAAACAAAATCAGTTGCTAAACCGATGGCATATTGTCCATAGGGTTCAACCGCAATAGTGAAGAATTCTTGATGTCCATATGAATTTAGATATACTAATCGTTCAGTTTGAAAATTATCGCAAGATAATGGCTGATGCGTTGTTGAATACATTTGAATATTCTGAGAATCTCGATCGATCCATACGCCAATATACGTACCGTTATGACCGGAATGATCCGTAGCTATTGGACCTGATGTGACAACTTCTCCAGCATAGTAAAAATATGGATTTGTCGTTGAATTTTGACTTTGTCCTACACCGACTGAGTAGACATAGTGTGTGGAATCATCGAAATCGAATGAGCATTGAAGAGAATCGAATGTATAATTGTACGGAGCAAATTGAACAAGAAACGTTTCACCGGCATTATCAACCTGCACGAAGAGAACATCATTCGCAGCTATTTTGATGCCATACGCATCGTAATCACTTGTATCAGGAGAAAATGAACTGCTGGAAACGAATGGTCCTTGATAGGCAATTAGATAAAATAGAACGAACCACATAATAACTCGTTAATTGTAATTTGAAAGAAATGATGATATATTCTCTTGAAGTATTCTGATTTTATATGCCTTACTCCATTTCAGTGGATGTCAGGTAATTGCAATGTACTATTCTTTTTCGGAAGTGTCTTTCTTGACAGGTTAGTTGATCGAAAATGAACAGGAAATGTGAAACTAACTTTCCGATCTCTGTTTGATTAGTGAGAGCACTTTTCTTATTGAAATTATTTTAAAATGATGCCATTAGATCGGTGAAACGATGTTTGTTCATCAGTATTGATTTTGACAAATTCTTATTGCGCAGAAAAAAATTAAAAAGCACTTTTGTCAACTCATCGGTTACTAGATGAAAAAAAAGTCAACCGTCCACTTATTTCTTGTTGTCAAGAGAAGAATGTGTATGTATTTGACTAAGGTTCTCGTATATAGAACTAAAAGACGTCAAATACAAAATAAATGACTCAGGACGATCAAAACATAATGTGTCATGTTCTTATCTAACAAGAGATTAAGGCATTCGTACGAAGAGAAGCTGAAAAAGAAAATAAATATTTGGGTTCGAAATATATTATATCTTTAACAACATACGCATTTTAATGTGAAAAGTATAGCAGCACGAATGTATCGCCATCATCCATCGACGTTTATTTTATACTCATGCTGGTTTGCATTATGTTCTACAATATTGGCCACGGAGTTTTCCTGTCAGACATCTAGCATATCCAAAGTACTTCTGTCGAATGGCCCACCTATTTCATTCAATTCTCCCTATGCTCAAACGCTCTCTGTGAATTTTCTCTTTCAATCGCCATTTCAACTTGCTTCTGCTATACAAGTCAGCGCAATTAATATTTTTCCCCGTCAAAACAGTATTTCCCTTACCATGCGAGCTGCTCTGTACGATGCTGCATCGATGCTTATTGCACAGACGCCTACCATCACTACGCCCACAGCTGAATTTTCGAACACACAATCTAAACCATGGTCTCTGCCACTGGAACGATCCGTCAATCTTGCAGTTGGAATTAATTACCATGTTGCTTATTGGTTTGCTAATTCCAGTAATAATGGAACTGGCGTCGTTGCATTGTATGCAACGAGCCCAGCCAATGCCACCTGGTTGAAACCAACGGCTGACTTCATATCAGTGAATGGATCATTTCCTGCTCTATTATCGGCACCTTACACGTTCGGTTCTGGTCGAGCTGCTCCATTCATTGAATTGATTGGAAAACCATGCCTGAACGAAATTTCTGCTGCTACCATAAATCTCGACAATACAATTCTTTCTATACTGCAAACCATTCGAATAAAATATGGCGGAATACCAGCTCTAGGCGCTTCAATTATACAGATGCCCACATCTGATTCTTTCGAAGGTGTTCAACCGATAAAAGATACTGTTTGTCCTTTCATTCCGGTTTCAACAGTAGTATCAGGCGTACGACGTGCTGATGCCAAAATCCCAGAACCGGTTACAGTGAATGATAAATGGCATCTGGGATCGAATACGAAAGCAATGACAGCAACTCTTGTTCAAATGTTAATACAAAAAGGTAGATTAAGTCTTAACACTACCGTTGGAGATATTTTTCCGTACCTACCCTATTCTTCAATGACCACAACGCCATCATCATCATCATCATCCGAATCTTGCATCTGCGATAATCTTCAACATACAAATGGCTATTTTAGTAAATCTCTCTATTCATGCAATTTGAGAATTCACACATCATGGAAATACATTACTATCGCGCATTTATTAACTCATACTTCGGGTTTAGAATCTTTGGATGCATTATTTTCCGAACAATACTTCATCGATTCTGTAGCACTCGATACAAATGGCTCTAACGAACTGTGTACTAACTATCCTATACCTTCACGTCGCTACCATTTGAGTGTCATGCTACCAGTGATGATTCCTAACTCACCGCCATCTATCGATGTTCCAGTGAATTCTGTATATTCAAACAACAATTTTATTCTACTGGGATTAATTTTAGAAGAATTATTGTCTTTGCCATGGGAGACAATCATTCAACAACAATTATTCGATCCATTGGGAATGAGCACAGCTGGATTTCTATCACCTATTACTAATGTATCATTGGATGCTTATGCTATCCAACCGTTAGGTCATTACAAGGATCATAATAATATAATTCGAAGCGTCGACAGCGATCTTCCAAAATCGTGGGCGCCGACAGGTTTAGTTCACGCTAGCCTTGGTGACTGGAGCAAATTCATTGCTTGTCAATTGCAAGAAGGACGTGATCTAGCAGCACTAGGCTTTCCTCCTACAAATACCAATTTTCTAAACATAACAAATTCACTGTACATCTTCTCGCCATCTGTGTGGCAAAGTATCCATGACAGATACACTTTCCCATCGGCAAATTCATCTATTTCTTCGCATTCATTATCAGAATTGATAAATGAAAATGATCAGATTGGATTCTCTCTTATGCACACGGGTAGCAACACCGTTTGGTATGCTTACGTTGTCGCTTATCCTCGACTATCTCAGCCGATGGCGATTTTAGTGACAGCTAATATCGGCATTGACGATGTGGTTTGGGAAGCCAAAGCTGCTATCATTAATCTGTACCTTGCTTGGCAAGAACAAGGCCAACCAGCTTCAACCATCACATCCACAGCTCCATTGTCAGTCACATTGAATAACTATTTCGTTTTTATCTTCACTTGTTTAACTTTTTTTCACTAATTTTACTCTCGATTATACATAGCATATTTTACGTATCACGATTTTATTCAAAACTATTCGAAAAAAAAATATATAGAACGATCGAAAGTATTTTGACCTTCTAGCTTGACACAAACATATCAGTATCTGACGTATTCTCACCCAAGTACTATTTAACGAAAAAATAGTCATGCTTGAATAATTTGTCGTATAATAACCGAGAAAATTGCGTTGTGTCGCATTTATTTTCTATTTCTTCGCTTTCATCCGACACATCATGGCTAACTCTTCCAATACAAACACAGAGTTGCAAACGGCTGAAATTGTTTCCAAAGAACCAACGTCGAACAATGATAAAGTATTGCCCAATACTGAAAACGAAAAGGAAGACTCGAAAAAGTCGTCATCGGATAACACCAATACTTGTTTATGCTGTTGCGATTTTTGTCTTTCGATTATGGACTTAGTCCTGATTTGTATTCGTTGACATGTTGAAAAATAAATCACAGACTTCAATTAAATATTTCTATTTTCACCTGCTCCTACACCCGAACTCGACTTCTATTTGTGCATCGAGTCTCCAAATGTCTGAACATCTGCATATTTCTTCCTTTTGACACTGAGCTCGATGCGTGTCTACAAAAATCTGAAATATCTTTCTTGCATTGTCACGACACATCAAATCATAGATAGGATTATTAATAAGAAACACTCACGATTCATTTGCGCATTCTCGAGTGCATCGATGTCTTCTTCAACGAATGAAACCATTGCTCTATTTACTTATCTGACTTTACATGTAAATGCCGTTCTTGCTCCGCCGATTTTCGTTCTTGGTATGATTGGTAATGCGATTAATATTTGGATCTTTACAAGGAAATCTCTGCAGAAAAATCCCTGCTCAATATACTTTTGTTCAGCATCTATCGTCAGTTTGCTCGCGCTCTGTTCGGGATTGATGAGTCGTCTTCTCGGCGGTTATTCAATTGATCTAACAACCTGGAATAGTGTTTTATGCAAATTACGTTTCTACTTCTATTATTTAAGTATTGTTCTTCTCTCATGGTTTTTAGTTTTTGCATCACTCGATCGTTTTCTGTCAACGTCACAATTCGTAAATTATCGAAAATTGAGTTGTACTCGAGTCGCCTACCGACTCGTCTTCTGTTCGACAGTTTTTAATATCTTACTCTATCTTCAAGTCTTTTACTGTTTCATCGCAGATCCAAATCAATATCCAATTCAATGTTATGCATACGGAGACATCTGTCGGACTTTTAATGATCTAGAATTTCTCATCATTTACTCACTGCTACCGGCGATTCTCATGGGTATCTTTGGATGTCTAACAGTTCGAAATATTCAACAAATGGAGAGACGAATTGATTCGACAACAAATATTCCCAATTGCCGACAAAAGAGAATTCAACTTGTTCCGATGCTACTCGTCCAAATCGCTTTCTTTCTTATCTTTACAATCCCGCTGGCTGTAACCAAATTCTACAATACGCTAATCGTTCTTTTACATCTGTCACTAACACCAGAACATCGGGCTTTCGAAACATTTGTTTTCAACATTACAGTGCTGGTATCATATCTGAATTGTTCGATCAGTTTCTACGTTTATACTTTGGCTGGCAATGTATTTCGGCAAGAACTAAAAAAAACCGCACAACAAATCGTGGCGAAGATCAGATGTTAAGCAAAAAACTACTACAAAAAACTGATGACAACGTAAATGAATTCTTCTTCTATCGAACGAATCGACTATCTCTTTTATTATATGTACGAAAGGATCATAACGGAGATATAATGTCATGACAGTCTGATTATATATTCATCGCGGGAGTGAAACAGCACTGGCATTAGGTAATTCCAACTGTTCGTTATTTATGTGTCGAGTCTCTACAGCTTTCAGACCCACTATTTTCCAAAGTGAACGCTTCAATTCTTGACGAAAAGACCTGGAAGCGATAAGATAGATATAAAAATCGGTACAATTTGATATCAAATGCAAGAATATACCAAGGTTGAATATAAAATTATCGCGATTCTGTTCCCAAGCTATCAATACTTCAAAACTAGTTGACGCTTTATAGATGGTATACGTCCCGATGAGACTGTCACCGATGACATGAACAACGTTCATTGCAAATAAACAGCGAAGCATTTGGAAATCCTTCTTGTGCATCTTTCGAACAATATGCCGTTGTTCAGATGGAACTGTTTTCATTTCACAGACATTTTGCCACGAGTATATCGACAGCAGGATCATAAGTAACGATAAAACAACATTGATTATTAACTGAGAACAACGTAAAAAATCTGAGTAGTATCCTGTGAGTTCAAATATACATAGAAAGATCACGGAATTCATTTGATAGATATTGAATTTGACAGGAACATGAATATAGTAAATACACCAGATGACAAGGCTTATACTAAGAGAAAAATATGCCAGACGACTTGAACTGTACAAACGAATATCAACATTAGCCGACGAAATCAATAAGCGATCGATGGAAGCAAGGACAAGGATACTCGGCGACATTATATCAAAAACAAAAAACACATATTTCGATAGTTTACATAAGAAGACACTATCATTCAAGATTTGATTGTCAAATCCATAGACAAGGATGTTACATAACAAGATGTTGTCGATATTGATGAATTCGGTTACAAGAAGAATAAGAAAATAAAAGACACAGACGTTCTTACGCCACGCTCTTTGAAGAAATATCCAGAGACTTAGTAGAATCCCAATATTCCCACTAATGTACAATGGAATACCAATGAATTGATAGAGGTAACAGATGAGATGTGCGAAAGCATCCATGGGAAAGTGATTTGTAGTATTAAAATGATATTCCAGTATCGGGAAAGCTACTTCTATTTATTCTGTGCACAGCTTCGTTTCTTTGAAAATGCGCCTAGACGGTTCAACTAATTATATTTCATCAAAAGTCAGCAGATTTCTCAGACAAGCATAATTATAAACGATATTAATCAGTATAATCCCACTAACGCAAAGAGGCCTTTCATAAGGCTAAATTAGTTTCTGCTCGAACAACATCAAATAATTGGCTTAGAAATGCTCGAAGGCTTTAGCGTGCGGCATCTTTTTAATATTCGACAGAGGGCGTAGAAAATAATTTTCAAACTAAAAAACCTTTCAGCAAGTATTTAAACAAACGTAGAACATGTCTTTTCTTATTTTGCATCTTTTATTGATAATATATTAAATACTGTCCGTATGCTTGCGCATCATGATACGTGACATAGATGTGATCGCCGTCGGTAGTTGTATGATAATTTCCCGGGCAAACTTTCATGTTAGTATTCCCTAATGTTGAGTTACCAATTAGAACCCGTGCATAAAACATACATCGTTCTCCATGATTGTTCGGTACGCTATACACATGACTGTAACTTGCATTGGATGAAAAATAAACTCCGCAACCATATTGTGTTCCTTTTGTAGAAAAAAAAACGAAGCAGAAATGCAAAACCAATAAGATACGGAATCATCAGTATTCCATACCGTTTTCTCCACTTAGACTTCGATTGAAATAGTCTTTGATGATACTATCTGCAGCCATAGCCGAACAACCATGGTAGAGAAATTTCTCCGTATTCATCTTCACACGGTTTTGAAAATCCTCTCGATGTATTACGTATTGCTTATGCCATCGATCGTTTTGAATATGTTCGATGCGATTGATTCTTCGATAAAGTCCAGACATGGTCGTATTGAATTCTTCAACAATGATACGCCATTCGTGAGTATTTCGAGCGACTAGATAACGCAACTTATTTAAATCATTGACATACAACCAAGTATCGGGGAGCGATTGAATAACCGGAATTTTCGCTAATAGAATAAGGAAATCAAAGAGTAGTCCTCATCAGCTAATCCTTACCATTAGCATTTTGAAAAGCTTGGAATATGTGATGGAATTTCGGGCAAATAGTAATCGTGATGCTCAATGGATACGATTCGGATTTGATATGATTTATCATTGCACGAGCGATAAAATCCGCATCGAAGCCGTATTGCCCACAGCCAATTGCAGGAAATGCCACGCTTGTGTAGTTTTCATCGAGTACATATTTCACCGCTTTGGATAGAAAAGTTTTTATCGTTTGTTCGGTGAAAATGAGCTTTTCATCGGGTGTCCATGGTAAAAATAAAATCCGTTGACATGGTAAATTAGAACATTCCAAAGCAATCATTTCATCGCGGGATTTTGTTCGTTTAGCTTGTGCATATGCTCTTTGAATATGCGGACCAGCTGCTCGAAGGACAGATTCTCTTAATCCATCCGATGATGAACATACTACAATTACATCGACCTAACAAATACGAAAAAAGCATTGGAAACATCGTTCAAATCGTCTGGCTTATTCGTTGATTAGTCAAATATCCCTTGTTTACCTTCAAATTTAAAGTGAGTAGAGAGCATATGTCATAAATACCTAACACACATAGACCTAGTGGCATAAATTCGTGATCTGGAGATAGTTGACAAATGTATCTAGGACAGTGACATTCACAACTACAAGAAAATAGATAAAACAACGTGGATAAAAGAAGCGTTTTACCAAATTTCATCTTCATCATGTTCAAAATCATGATCAGTATCCGTATCAGTATCATTTGCGGTGCAAAAACGAGCAATATGACCCGGTTTTTCACACTTGAAACAGATTTTTCCACTCATAATCTAAAAAAAGCACATCAATCAGTAAAACAATGGAAGAAATGATTTTCTGCGTAATTATCCTCTCAATCGATAAAAATCGTTTTTCTTTTCCAAGAAATTTTGACCTATGATTGTACCAAACAATGAAGTGACCTGCACATAACGGCGATAAAAGACACACTGGCCAAATTTTCGTTACAAGCGATTATATATACACAGAGAGGAGAGAGAAACGAAAAGGAAAAAGAAAACGAGACATACCACTCACATGGCTATAAAATAACTTCTTCACGTCATAGTTTGGTATTTTCGAAGATATAAGTATGTACTTGGAATAATCCATTTGATCTTCTTTGTTTTATGCTGTTGCTATCATTGTATGACAACTATCGAAACACATAATTACGGGATTTTTTCACTCTTTAACAGTCAATATCGTCGTTAATGTTTTTCCACTAATTCAAAAACACGTTCAGTCCACATGGACGGATTCCTGAAGTCACAGGCGATATGTACAAATACGATGACGTATGATGGAAAATTTCATAGATTACAAAACTGCCCATTATGATAAATTCATTCGTAACAAAGGAAGTTTGAAGTGGCTTCACATGAAAATGAGATATTTTTGCAGTTATTAGTAATGAAGAGGGCAGAAAGAGAAGAAAAATACGATTCGAGACTAATCAAACAGAAATGAACGATTACGAGTATGGATGCAAACAGCGCGAGAAACAACGAGAGAACGACAGCACAGTATTTTTAATATATATTAAAGCATCGTTTTCTTTCAAATTAGTAATAATATGAAAGAAACATTTCGAAATCGCATGTGCCTGCCACATACTTTGCGTTGCTTCACGTTCTAGAAATATTTACACTGATATCAATTGAAAACTAGATAAATCTGTATGTGCATATACATCTTGCCACGCATCATTGACCGTTGCATTTCTGTCTTTGACCGATCATTATGAACAGTAAAAGGTCAATGCTGTTGAGAAATTTCGATAACTAGGAAATATTCAATTTTACCGAGTACATTGTTCTATAGCTTGTACTTTGCTTAGAACTGTTATAATTTTAAATTCTATCGGCAATGTGTCAACAATTCAATGTTTAGATAGTTACGGAGAACTCGTCAAATATAGTTTTTTTTTTCTCCGCATCGAGGAAAATCTAGATCAATAGTGAAAAATGAGTTTTATTAATCATTCTGTTCGGACGTGAAAGTTTCATTACCATTTTTTTTTTCTTCATGACGAACTTGTCATTCAAAGTCAAAGTGAAGAATACAGTTTACTGAACATTTTCAAACTATGATGTTGAAAAATGTGTTTGCCGTTGTATTTTTGACATGCCTTTTAATTATTGTCAATGTATCAGGTATCAAAATAGAGATGCATTTGATTGAAGAAATTCTTTACGAATGTTGTTTTAAGACGAACTACAGTTATCATCGGACAAAACTTGGGACCAAAATGGAATCACAGTTGTTGGAAATGCAAATGGAAGCAGTGGTTCATCACTCTACTATCTTGATCAACCAGCAGGCATCGTCATTCCTGATGATGACGGTGATGTGCTCTATGTCAGTGATGATTTCAATAATCGTATTGTCGCTGTTCAACTTGAAGTCACAAATGATGTGTTTACCATTGGGTCTGGAAATGGTAGCGCTCTTACTGAATTCACTCGTCCATGTGATGTGTTCATAATCGATGCAGCTCTATACATTAATGACGCTCACAATTCACGAGTGAAAAGAACTTCATTGAATGGTTCGAATCCAACCATTGTTCTCAACTATACTGGTGCACTGAATTCACCTACTTTTTTATACGTTGATAAAAACAATGGCATTTATCTCAGCAATACAAACGGTCATACAATAGTCTATTTTCCTGTAAATTCATCGTACAGTTCCGTTGTCGCTGGTACAGGAATGCCAGGAGCGAATACCTACCAGCTTTGTTCACCCTATGGATTTTTTGTTACCGATAATGGAACACTGTATATTGCAGATAGTTCCAATCATCGAATACTAAAATGGTTATCGGGAGCATCATCAGGCACTGTAGTGGCCGGCAACGGCACAGCCGGGGCAACTTTATCGCAACTTTTTGTTCCGACAGACGTCATTGTTGATGACAATGAACAAATCTACATTTGTGAATATGGAAATTCGAGGATTACGCGATGGAAACCGAATTCACCATTTGGTGAATGTATTGCTGCATGTACAGGAACATCCGGAATTGCAGCAACACAACTATACTATCCAATTTCTTTAGCATTCGATAGATGCGGTTCGATTTATGTCAGCGATTCTGGAAACAATCGAACTCAAAAATTTCAAATCACTCCCCACAGTAAAATCATTTCGATTCTAGTTTCATTCGTTCTTTGCTTTTGCTTTTCACTTAGATATTTCGTTCAACCAACCTAAATTCTCCACTTGTACAACATGGAAGTCTCATGCAACTACTAGTCTAAATCAAAGTCACGTTGGAACAACAGCGTACAGTTTATTTATCGATACGAACAATATGATATACGTCAGTGAATATGCTCGTAGTCGTGTTCAAGTTTGGCTCGAAGATATCACGACACCGACGAAAAATATATCTGGTGGTTTGAGTTATCCGTATTCTGTATTCGTTGCAGATAATGGTGATGTTTATGTTGACAATGGTGTATTTAACAATCGGGTAGACAAATGGACGATAAATACAACAAATGGCGTTCCTGCAATGTATGTTCAGGGTCGCTGTCGTGGTCTATTTGTTGACGTTTATGAGAACATTTACTGCTCTATGGATTTACAGCATTGTGTTGTAAAACGATCGTGTAACGATGGACCAAATGTCACAAAAATGATTGCTGGAAATGGAAATGTTGGAGCATTGGCACATATGCTGCATGGGCCAACTGGTATTTTTGTCGATATAAATACGAATTTGTATGTCGCAGATTGTTATAACAACCGCATTCAACTTTTTTTGTCTGGAAAACTAAATGCTACCACAATCGCGGGCAGTGGCGCACCAGGAACAATATCGCTGATGTGTCCGACCGATATTAAACTTGACGCGGATGGATATTTGTTTATTGTTGATAGTCAAAACAATCGTATAGTTCGATCGAGATCTCTTGGATTTGAATGCATTGTTGGATGTTCGAGCGGTGCTGGTTCCACATCGAACAAATTGAATCAACCGATGACTATCAGTTTCGACAGCTTTGGTAATTTATTCGTCGCTGATCTGCTAAATAATCGTATACAAAAATTTCTATTGACCAACGAGAACTGTTGTAAGTAATTTTTGTGTCCATTGGCTTTCTGTAGACTCTCCTATTCTTTCTTTAGTCGTCTCCTACAATCAACCGAAGTTCTGTCTCAATGCCACTTGGGATTCGAATGCCACCACGTTTCTGGATTCGAAAATAATTGGCTCTGAACCTCAAGATATTTTCATTGATACGAACGATACCGCCTACTTAGTCTCTCGTGTTTCAGGCGATGTTTTCATCACATCCAAAGACGGTAATAATACACTACTGTTGAATATATCAGTTAGTTCAAAAATACGATACAGTCTTTTCGTCGCAAATAACAAAGATGTCTACGTGGACAACGGCGCTGTTGATGGCAGTGTTGATAGATGGATATTCAGTACGGCGAAAGTTGTCACATCTATGAATGTCACAAGTTTGTGTTATGATTTATTCATTGACATAGATGATGTTCTTTACTGTTCCGACGACAATCAACATCAGGTTGTAAAAACACTACTCGAGAGTAATTCGTCGACAGTGACCATTGCTGCTGGAAATGGTACACAAGGATCCGAATCAAATATGTTATACTTTCCTAGAGGAATCTTTGTTGATATGAATAGGAATCTGTATGTCGCAGATTGTGGTAATAATCGAGTTCAAAAATATAGTTCGAATCAGTTGAATGGCATAACAATTGTTGGCACTGGTTCAAATCATTCGATTATACTTTCGTGTCCAGCTGGTATTGTACTCGATGGGAATGATTATCTTTTTATCGTTGATTCAAACAACAATCGCATCATTGGCTCATCATCAAATGGATTTCGATGTATAGTTGGTTGTTCAGCTGTGGCAGGTTCAGCAGCAGATGAACTAAAGTCTCCACAGCAAATTAGTTTTGATAGTTATGGAAATCTTTTCGTCACTGATTCGGACAACGATCGTGTACAAAAATTTCTTCTCGACCCGAATTCTTGTGGTAAGATTAGCATATTCAATAACCGTTTTAGTCTTTCAATTTAGATAACATCACGCTCTCGACTACCAAGCAGACGAGTTTGTATTCAACTGGACTTTCCACAACGGCACCTATCTCAACCAGTAATATATGCGACATGCTTCGACCGTGTCAGTATAATGGTTCGTGTTATGCTGGGAATAATACACAGTATGGTTACATTTGTACATGTCTATCAGACTTCAATGGTACCGAATGTCAATATGATTATCGCCTGTGTAAACCAAACACTTGTTGGAATAATGGTTTGGAACTTTTTTTTTCTTTTAACCATAAACTTCAAAGATTTTTCTTAGGTGTTTGTTATGGAACACCGAACAGTACGTTTCTGTGCTCCTGTCAAATGGGTTGGATGGGCATTTATTGCGAAGAAAAACTTAATTATTGTCAGAATGTCACATGTGAAAATAATGGAGTCTGTCGAGGATTATTGCTTGGTTATCGTTGTGAATGTCTTGGCCATAGTTACTCCGGTCGCCATTGCGAATTTACCGATGGAAGTATAATTTTGTATAAGAAAGTTGCCAAATCATTTGCTTACATCGCAATAATTGCAATGAGTCTTGTCGCATTGTTTGTTGTGTTTATGGACATATTGAAATATTGTTTTGGCATTGATCTAGTTGATAGAGATTTACCACGAAGAAACAAAGTCAAGAAACGCAGAGCACCTGTTATTCTCCGATTTATTTATGTTGATTCAGTAAGATCATGAACAATGGAGAAATTTGCCGAGAGCGCTTCGGAATAATCGAATTCTTTATTTGTTTGTACTCAGAATATAAAGTGACGTTGAATTGACTTTATTTTTTTGTAAACGAAGAGAAGTCAGTTGAGCACATAATCACACGACTGTTTGTTTTTCACAAATAAACGCATCCGACTATAGTCCTACTAAAAGAAATTCACTACTTTCTCTCGTATTGAAGAAGATTTGTTTCAATGGGGAAAACTTGTCATTTATTACTACAGAAGAAAATCAGAAAACTGTATGAAAATCAAAAGTGCGAAGAAATTGTCATTGTCGAGCAATTCAATTTATTTCGTCATAATTCACCAAATATTCCAATCTTTTCCAAATCACGACTCCACCTTTACTGTTCACTTCTTTCAAATCTTTGTTCGGAAGTCGAACCAACGCTGAATATCCTTTACCGGTCCATCCAGCTGGAAGAACTATGATATCTTTCGTGAACATTGGATGTGGCGCTATTCCCACATCGGATCGTTCGATATTATATCCACCGACGACGAGTGTCACTGAATCACATCCATAAATACCATCCATTGTAAATGATTATCTAAAATAAACCGACAGAATATTCAAAGTTCATCGAAATACGTCAAGAACAACGATACGACCAAATTCGTCCAGTTTTTATAGTAACGAACACCGTTCGTTTTCTTCCGATGATAATGAAGATAAAACTGATGTTTACAAGAAAATAATACGCAATTTCTTCATGAAAACACACACAAACACCATTGATTTCAAGATCGTATACGTAATACAACATCGAATATTTCATATGTAATTGACGCAATTGCCTTCAGATCGTAACAGATTATTTATCTGGACAATCTTCATTAGAACGATATCAACGTGAAAGATGGACTTGAAAGAGTCGATGATGAAATCAGAGAAACAAGCAACAGTTGGGGGGTTTTTTTACAACATAGCGCGCGTTTATTGATCTACCTTGATGAGAAAAGAAGATGCTGATGTCCTTCATCTAATGAAAAGTTTAACGAAGAAAAGCAATTGTGAATACATTAGACATGAAAACATCGTAGTAGTTTTTTTCGATATTCAAAAATGACTTTCTTGAATTGCTTTTTGTAGAATGTCGATGGTAGCACAAAGATGGAGAATGTCAACATCGGCGGAATCAGTGCGATTAAATGTCCAATTAAAAATACCCACGAGTCGCTGACTGATTCCATACATTTTGTTACGAAAGAGATGATCACACGAGGTATTGCGAGAATCACTAATAACAGCGGAGCAGTCAGCAGATGTTTGTGTTCACGAATTTGTTTGATCAGAAGTTTGCGAAAACTTCGGTGAGCGTGTACTTTCGCTTGTTGGTAGGTTTTTTGTGTTATTAAGATAATCGTTGAGATCAGATTGATGATAAATGGACCGAAGAAATGGAAAATATACATTGCGGAGTTGAACGTTTGCAATGCACGAGAATATTTTGCAATACACCACACTCGTGTGTGATCGTTATCTTCGTTTTCTTCTTCAATGAGTTCGCGAAAAAAAGCATCGTGTACCACTGTGCCTATATTGATAATCAAAACAATGACGATCATATGTTTAGCAATTTGTCGACTTTTGATCTTGTTAAACGATGGACCTTTTATAGATGTAACAGCTCGTTCGATGGCGACGCATGCGTTGAACCATTGCTCAGAGTTGATGAGAACACGTAAAAGAAAGTCAACCGAATGACATTGAATCAATAGAAATAATTTATTGGATAGAATATCCATTTGCGAAAGGGTTAATGTCAAGAATTTCAGCGTAAAGACAATCATGATAAATAACGTTATTATAGATGACGCGAAAAGATAAATTCCACAGCCAACTTCTTGGATAATATTGCATCTAAACGTGAGGATTGAAAGTAAGCTATTGATGAGAATAATTGTTGCGCATATTAGCGATAATACGAGACTGAATTTGAAAATGATTGATTGATGTGTCAAAGGAGTATCTGGTCGAATGTGATAACCGAGAATAGCATCAAGTGATAGACCGAATCCACTCGTGCGAAATTGGCATAATCCTCCATAATAGCATAATTGACAAACACATCGCGAACGCATGGGACAATCGGGGTGATCTTGAAAGCAACGAGCACCGTTTTGACATTCACTACTTCCCGAACAGTCGTATGTCATATTATGTTGAAATTCGAAACAATTGGCCAAACGTTTTTGATTGTATGTATAGCATAAACACATGTGAATATCATCGTAAAAACATGAAAGATTCAATGAATGATCTTGACAATGTAAATGAGAATACTTGATTTGATGAATGTAAGGTAATTGACGTAATGTTTTATTGAACAGTTCGTTGATATGAAAACAGCGATTGGATGGTTTGATGTGTTCTGTTGTAGGTATATACAATTGGAAACTTTTGTCCATGGAAACAAGATAATATTGGTTTATATGAAGTTCAATAAACGCGATATGATATACTCTTGACCAGTATATCGTCAATGATGCCTCGTTTACTGGAGTTATGGCATAAGTACTTGCTCTCGAATGAGTAGTGTAAAGGTCAACATAGACAAAATGAATAATTAAGTCTCGAGATAAAGAAATTCCCTTGTCAAACGAAAGAATTATCTTTTTATCTTGGTTTTGACATCGATTGCCAGAGTAACCTTTCGAACATATGCATTTGAATGTAGACGGCAGTTCGCTGTACTCATCACTGGGAATACATGTCCCATTGTTTTCACATGGCGAAGATTGGCAAATAGTACTTGTAAGAAGACATCGCGAACCGAATTTCGGTAAAGGACAAACACATAGTGACCGATTAGCAGCGCTTATGCCAATGCATATTGAATCTTCCGCACATGAACAGTTATATTTAATCGTACAATCCGATCCTGTCCATCCTTTCTCACATTTACAAAAGCCGAAGTTTTCTTCGCTATTCATGTACTTGACACATTGGCCATGACGACATGCGTGTTTCGAGCAGTAATCAATATTGGCTTCACTTCGAGGAATATCAATAACGACTGGTACGTAATGAACGGGTAAAAACGGAAATTTTATCGGGAATAAGAAACTTCCTCGATAAGCAAAAGAGAGTCTTTCAAAGATATCCACATGTATTGAATAGCCTCTTGTTTGATTCTTTGGTCGAGTAGAATACAGTAAATAGAGACGATATTTTCTTTGACAATCTCGCACCGGTAGATAATTGATTTGTTCGTACGAATGAACAATCCGCTGATAAGTATTGTCAATAAGAGAAACCACTATGACAAAGGGTATCTGCCGAGAGTTTGATGACTCGCGAAATCGAGCAATGAAAATCAAACGTTGATTTTGATATTGGCATGCGTTTCCATAGAAATTCGGCGGGCAGAGACACGCCGGTATCGAGGCATTGCCATTCAACCAAACACGTATTTCCAGACCATGATGACAACGACCTTGGTATTCACTCGAATAGGATATTAACTGACTCTGCCGTCTCGATCTGACAAGCGGTTTTTTCTTTTCGATTAGAGAGAAATATGTCAAGCTAAGTAGTCTTCGACTTTGTAAGTACGGGCATAAGACTTTATCTATCTCATTTCGTTGTGATGAAGACAGAACTATATCAGCACAATGATCAGAGGATTCGCCCTCTTCCGAAACGACCACACAAAATTTTTCGTCATCTCCATGCAAACAATCGATTTTCCCATTACACCATTTTTCACTACTGACACAACTCGCGTTCGTTCCCATACAATAGAAATTATCCGGAAATTCAACTTCATAATCTTTTCGGCATAAATGTTGCTCATCAGTTCCACCAAAGCAATGGACAACACCATCATTCGCTTTTTCGATGGGTAGACACATTGGCTTGTAATCATCCATTGAAATGCATAGATGGTGATTTCGTGGGCAATTCATTAATCTTGAACGATTACAATGCAGTTCGTCTGCACCATTTGGACAATTCCAATAGTCATTACAGTGTGTATATATACTGTTACATTCCCAATATTCACAATCAGTTTCATCGGTATGATTCTTCCCAAAAATAGTTATTGGTAATAATTCGGTGAAACCATTACAAGTTGTTAGAAATGAAATATTTTTTCTTAGATAATTTAGCAATTGTATATTTTCCTCGTATTGATTGAATGTAATACTACCAAATGGATCAATAACATCGGGTGAAACTAACACGCCGTTATCTAAGCGAGGACAATAAAGCATACTCTTGCTAACATTGCAAATGTGAAGATACATACCTTTGACTGGTGGAACACATAGCTGGTTATTTGATTGATTGCAAAATGTCGAATTATAGAGAAATATTTGATGATACTCTCGAAGATTTATATATATACTGGATAAATCCATGTAAACGATAAAATGTTTTCTTGGAAGGAAAAACCAAAGTTTAAGGAGATGTGTCGAACATGTTAAATTACCAATCATTATCTTCTGCTCATTAAAGTGATACACGTCATGGTAAAAAGCATTGTAACACATAAAAAACGCTAAATCATTCTTTCCGCCGAAGATCTCCGAAAGATTTTTATGATAGACAATATAAATATGGGTAAACAACAATGGAATTGACGGGAGAAACAGCGTTTCAGGACATTCATTTTTAATAATATTCATACACGTTCTGTGATCACAAACCTTATTGCAAGCCAGATCGGTATTTTCATAAATATGAACAAAACATTTGATTGCAGAAAAACATTCATTCGAGACCGAACTGTCTTGATTAACAAACAGGGCTTGTATTAACAAATATTTTCGTTTCTCATAACAAGAACTAGTGTACTCATTTTTTTTGCATACCAAATCTTCACATTTGAATGACATAGAAATGAAGCCGCATAGATCATTTCCAGCGTTCGATTTTCTTGCATCACTACCGTCACTACATTCGAAATCATGTGTAACTTTATCGGCACGGAATATTTTCGGTATACAGTGTCCATTCTGGCATTGAAATTCATCTTCATTACATTTATTTAAATCAAGTTGCCAACAATTTTCTTCATCAAAGTCACCATTGAGACAATTCAGTACGCCATCACATATTTCAGTCCAATCTAAGCAAACAGGATGCGGTCCACGGTCACAATTCAGATGAACATAACAAGTTAGTGTAGTCGGAGTATATTTATGTGCTTCATAAAATGCTTGAACCAAATGAGTAAACGATGGATATCCTGAACTTTCAACTTCCAACTGGTACTGACATTTCGGACCGAACCGTGGCCATGTACAATTATAAAAAACTTCATTCGCTAAAGCTTGATCATTGTTTGCCAAGGATAGCTCATCCACATATGACTGATATCGTTCGATAATGTCGATCGGAGTTGACCAGATATACAATTGCAAACTTGTGACGTTGTGTTGATAAAGTTTGGCAAATGTGAAAGTTGAAGAAAGATTAGCGTTATCAATCGTCAAATTTGGTGGTAATTCACTCAAACAAAATGTTGAGAGGCCACGAAAAGGGGGATCAGCACTGTTTTCGATCAAACGTAAACAATTGCTCGAGATTGAATTTTCTTCACTGTCGTAATCCGTATAGTAAAGATTCAGTTGTGGTATACCATCGAACGAATTTAGGAAAAGAAGAAAGAATAATAATGTTGTAAAACTCATTATTTGCAAAAGAAAATGCCATGAAAACAGAAATAATGCTGCTCCTTTTGTTTTCTCGTTGGAAAACACGACATATGCGAAAAGTTTGCTGAGGGAAGCTACCATATGCCGATCATGATTTGCTGCTAGTTGGCAATCTTAAGCAAACTTTTTTATCTCGTTTTCAAACATTCGTGACTATTCGACGGATGCAACAGAAGATTAATATAATTAAGAGAATTAAATCGTACTTAATTCATAAATATAAGGCTTTGAACAGAATAATAAAGAGTGCGAAGAATAACCTCGACGACAAATAGAAATAAAATATTTTAACATAAAATCAAAGATTACAAGCGCAATAGAACGAAAAGCAAAGGAAAACAAACTGTTGACAGTATAATTAGTAACACATTTATTTCTCATCATTCAAGTTTTTGATTACAAACGTAAACGTCATTTAGAATAGTTCGATTTTCTTCACAACATATTTTGACGATATGTTTTCGTTGTTAACATTGGGATATTTTCTATTTATATTACTAAAACTTTCATTACTAACTGCTGCAAATAAATCTCATAGCTTTTGTGCAACAGAATCTTGCGTCATTCAGCAATATGAGCAAAGCATTATCAACGCCATAATGGTTCTTATCATCTGCTCCATTCTCTGGTGTATAATTATGTTTTATATTTATGTATTTACAAGTCAACAAAAATCTCGAACGAACGCAACATCTGCTAGTGTTCATAACAGCATCGATTCAGCAACACAAAATGAACCACATGTGAATATAATGTTCGAATCAGGACAATGGATCAGTCGATATTTTCAGCGTGGTCAATGGCATAGATCGTATCTACATAAGATCGCTTTTGACATGAACCAGAATACTTTCGTCGGGTATGGTAATGATGATCTTGGACAATTTCGAACAATCGGACAGGTATCACTGACGTCTTCGACTATAAATATGACGCAGACCTACGTTCGCGCTCTTCACGATAAAAAGATGGACTTAAAACATGAACTGACGATTAGACTGGAATGGAATGAAGAACAACGCGCATTTGTAGGTAAATGGACGAGTGAGTCCAATGGATATGAAGGAAAAGGTTCATACGAACTGAGAAAATTGCAGTATCAAATAGCAAAATAAAAATACGTTGTTGTTTACTTTAGCGGTTTGTTTTTTTTGTTCACGCGTTGAAAGCGATACCAAGAGTAATTAATGATATGATATTAATTACCAATTTGCTTCTGTTTCTTTTTCCAAATGTCATAGACTGCTGATGCTTTCTTTTTTGTATACAATGATTCGTTATCTAATGCTGTTGGCTATCTTGATCTTCTTTGCTGAAGTGACTGCGGAAGATCAGAAGGGGAGATCATATGCGGCTAAATGTACAACAAAACAGTGCGCTACACTAAAACGGATCGCTTACTCTCTGTGGATTGCTGTATGGGCTGTCTGTATCACCGGTACTTTTAGCGTATGTATTCTCTTATGTTATCGGTGTGCTTGTCGACGAACAAATCAATCATCGAATAAATCGGAACAGGAGTTGGCTGTTTCGCCAGCCGAGGAAAATATTTTCCAATCAGGACGATGGGTCAGCCGATATCATCAAGATGGGTTATGGTATAGTCCACATTTTCAACAGATAAACTTCGATGTAATACAAGATAGTTTGGAAGGCGATGGTGAAGACGACGTCGGACGATTCAATGTAATTGGTCACACTTCTAACACTGCGCTCACAATGAGCATGATCAAAAGATATCCATCCGAAGCTGATGGTTACGAAGTTAAGGTTGATTTAGAATGGAACAGTCGGCAAAATGCATTTGTAGGAAAATGGTTTGTTCACACAGACATGTATCAAGACTCGGATCGATTTGAACTAAAAAAGGTACAGGCTATGAAAAATGACATTCAATGAGGCGAAGACAATCATTCTCTCAAGTGTCAATTTTCAATTTTATTTTCTAATTTTTGTATACAATTTTCCAGTGTCAATCGAATTCGTTCTCGATTTTTAATCATACTGAACTTTCTCCAAGCAGTCAGTTTGCCTTCTTGGAGATAACGAGCAATAACATTCACATCTTTAATATCACTAATCAATCGAAAGTAATCGATCAATCGTGCATTGGGCACCATAGTTATTTGACCTTGAAATTCCTGTAAGAATAAAAACGACCAATCTTGTTCTTGAACGGCAGGTAACACATCTAACATTCCTAAAACACGTAGATACTTCTTCATATCTTCTTTTAAAAGTAGTTCAAATGTAGCTAGAAGAAATCCTCCACGATATGCGCCCCCGCGTAAACGCCAGCCGGATGGGAGTCCACCTTGCCCACGCGCATTGAAAAAGAATGGAATTATGTGTGGATTGGTTTGACTAACTAGAAAATAACTACAACCAAATACTTCCGATAGTGTATTCAATGGAATATCATTCTCGAAACTTCCGTCACGGAACTGTAATCGTTCATCATGCAATGGTCGGTAACTTATTTCACCATGTCGATTGACTAGTTTTTCAATTAAATGAACGGGATGAATCAGACCAGGCACAGCTGCTGATGCTAAGACAGCCGATGCTATTGTGACATTCGGCGTTGAGAGATAATTGAGACAGAGAGGCGGCGAATGTTTCCGTGCGCTTGTTGCGGTGATGTTCAATATCCGACCGGTTTTTTCATATGCTTCCTTGAAAGTCAATCCAACCGTTCCTGGTCCATCGGCACCTGCAAACCACTGCAATTTCTCTAGCCAACGATCTCGATCGAACATCGCGCGATGCTTCACATAATTTTTCAGTCGATCGATCCAAGAAACATCGAAACAATTGAATTGTGATAATAAAATATTCGCTTCTAATGTTGATCGTAGTTCTTCATCAGATCGGGTGCAAACAACAGCTGCCACAACTGCTCCACTACTTGTACCACTGATAATTTTCGGTAGATATCCAGAGGACAGAAGTGCCTTGACGACTCCCCAATGATAATGACCAATACCAGCGCCACCTGATAAGCATAATGCTGTTGCACCGTAATGAAATTTCATTGCTTTCAACGCTTGTAAGACAAGTTCAGTCGATGGAAGTTCCTCTGATGTACTGTTCACATTTATCATATCGATTGTTCGCAATTCACTGTAATCGATCGATGATAAATTATCTGTTGAATGTGAACTTTTGATTTGAATCGATTGAGCTTGTTCGGTAAGATACTCTAAACTTGTAACAATCTCTTCAATATATTCCTCAATGACGTATTTCGTGCCAACTAAACTTTTCGAATACAAATGCTCGTTGAGTATACCATTCATGTTTTTATTGATACACATTTGCAATAGTTTCATATTCTTTTCTAAATCACCAGATTCACGAGAAGTTTTTAATTCATTAGTCAACTTTCGAATTAGTGTATTGTTGTAATATTTCGATTCCGAACTGGCTTTCCACACTTCTCGTCCGTGTAGTTTATCGGTTTCGTTAGCATATTCATACCATTCTTCATATGTTTCAGCATTGTTCAACATCGGTGGACGAATAAAGATTGATTCGAGTAGTCGAATGAAGTACCGTAGAGATATATAAATAATCAATTCAATGATGATAAACGACATAAAACAAACAAATATCGGCCATTTCAAAACGCGTTTTGTGCCAAGTAGATAACAGAAGAATACGACGATGCCGATCGTTACATAGAACGCATGTGTCGATGTTATGTCGTATCCTAGCCATTGAAATAGTGTTTGTGGTATTATGACAAGTACTCTCTTTTGAGAAATAAAGTAACATATGGTACCAACAATGAATAATCCCATAAACATGCTGGTAGAAACAAATGAGTCGAATTTAGCCTGTTATTGTTAAGATAATCTTGTTCACAGTGGTCTTCAAACTTTTTAAGTGCAAAACGAAATATATTTTCTTTTCTCTGTGCGAGTGATAAACACTCTACTCACCTGTTATCAGCATAAATGAAATCACGTCGGTTTTTTTACTCCGTTTCTCATCTATTTATTGAATTTACAAAAAAAAAGTAAAAGATAAAAAAGATATGACCCAGAGAATCTTTTCTATCTCGCCACTCACATCCTCAAGAAACTGAATCAAAGTGTTCCGTTATTCGATACGAGATCGAGTGCGATTCTGTATTTGTTCTTGCCAGTAACAAATTATTGGAAAGAAAACTAATTCAACAATAGTAGCCAGAATCGCACCTGTTTCTAAACCCACCACAAACAAACCCCATAAACGTCCTAAACCACCGATAAATACAATGATACAAGCACGATGCAATTCCGTTGCGTTCCGATGAATATTTGGAATACTTCGTAGCAAAAATATTCCCATTACGAAAAGATATCCAGATATGTAACGAAAATGACTGTCAACTTCGATCGAATAGTTCTCGGACTTGAATACTAAATTCGGTTTGAGAGTTATACCGCTTGGACCCAAATACATTCCTTTTAGTCCAACGAATATTGGAACAAATGCGCTCAACGTAACTACGATTTTTAATGCTAAAATTTCATTTATCTTCACCATTATCTTCTTCTTGTCGACTAAGAGTGAAAATTATTCGTATCCTATCTCGATTCTGTATATAAATATTCTTCTTATCACAAACAACAAACATGAATAATGAAAAAGACTATAAACACACACACACGCACACATAGTTGTTCAGCAGCCAAACTAGACAAAATATATGAGAAGAAGTCGATCATTTTATTCATCACTTGAGAAAAGAATATCAATGTACATCTTATATAATATTATCATTTGGTCCCAAATCCATCGTAATACAGTTTCTACAGCACTTAACGCACCTTGTGCAACACAGATCATATTCGGCACAACAAAGTACTGGTCGTCGATAACAGATCAACGGTCGAGCATCAACACAAACAGTGGGCGTTGGATTTTCGCATATGATATACTTGTCTGGTTCTTGAGTAAATGTTATATGAATTTCACTACCTGGATCGCAACGAAATGAGTACTCATATTCACAACATAATGCCATTTTCGTCAGTGAAAGTATGTGAGGAAGAATTTGATGCATCAAATGTTTATATATGCGTACGACAAGAATAAGGAAATAGTTTGATCGAATCAACAAAAACAACTAATTATTGATCGAAGTATGTCCAAGAAAACTATCACTTTCAACAAACGGAACTTAATAGAAGCATGACATTGATGTCTATTTACAAGTTTTGCTTCTCTAATTTATTTATTTGATATCAACCTTGACAAAAGTAGGTAAGTGTTCAGTAAACAAAATGATGTTCCATCAATTTATACATGATGTGTTGGTTTATTTTAATCTCACAAAATATGCGAATAAAAACAAACGGAAATTCTATTGTTGTGGACAGCGAACACCATGTGCTCGATGATGTAGGTCAGCGTCATCGTCCTCTTGATGATTATGATAAAAATCTTCTCTATTCATATAATATTCATTCATTTCGGGTTTTTCATAGCGCCGAGTACTGTTCAATTGAATTCGTTTTTTCGCTGGAAGAATCGATTCTAATTGCTAGAAGAAGAACGGACGAAATTCGCGTCAATCGATGCTAAGAAAAAGAGAAGCGCGACTTACCAGACGCTGATTGTCAGTTAGATGAAAGTTCGTTTCATCGGGAAATTTCACATCAAATTGAATGATCAAATCGCCGCATGAATGTGTATTTCTATTCGGCATTCCATAGCCTTTGAGACAACGATAACTATTCGGTAGGATAGGCTTTCCTGCCGGATGATCAATTAGAATTTCGTGATTGTCTAATAATTTAATTACACGTTGAAAACCGCACAGACATTCCGTGAGGTTGATCTCCATGCGCATAAATAAGTTGTCGTTCTTTCGTTCGAAAAGGTTGTGAGGTTCTTGCTTGAGAATAACAAACACCGTTCCCGGTGTGCCATTCGGCTAAAGCGATCCCAAAGGGAAAAGTGAGTAAAGGAAAATCGTCGTAAAAACTTACAATCTGATGACCTTCACCGTGAAATTTTACTGTTTCACAATCTGCACTACCTGGTACAATATGTACATCGAGAATTTTTTCCTCTCGATTGACTTTCTTTCCGTAACATGTTCGGCATCGATTCTTTGGATCGACCATATCTCCACTTCCATGGCACATCGAACACTCACGACGTGTTTGTTGAATAAATGGACCAGCACGATGAATGGATGTTTCCATTCCTGTTCCATCACAATTTGTACAGCGACGGGTGATACCATCACGAGAACCAGTACTATTCGAAAATTCATCAACATTTTTTGCTTTGTTTGATAGAAAAATGTTTTCAACTTACCCTTGGCAAGTCTCACAAACAACACTACGATCGATGACAGCAACTCTTGTACTACCGGAGTATAATTCTTCCAGAGTAACTCTACGAGAAAAACAAGAAAAAGTGAAATCGAGATATTATTTTCGTTATTTTACTGAAGGACATGTTTGATATCTTCGCCTTTCGTTGGTCGTGTCGTATGTCGATGAGTTGATCCATGATCGAATAGATTGAAGATGTCGAATACTTTAAATAACAGGAAATGTGTGAAACTTAGAGGCAAAGTTGTTTTATATTTACTTACTGTCATTGGGGAAACCGGAAAAATGAAAATCTTGATTTTCCATTCTCGATTGCATTCCTTTTAGTCCGTACTGATCATAGGCTCGACGTTTTTCAGGATCACTTAGAATATCTCTTGCTGCATTGACTTGCTGCATCTAAATTATCGCAAAGAATTATCTATCAAATTTCTAGCTTAATCAATTTACCATTTCATGACTTCCACCACGATCTGGATGATGTTCCAATGCTTTTTTTCGAGCAGCTCTGGTAATTTCATCTTGTGTTGCAGAAGGTTCAACTCCAAGTACGTTGTATAAAGTCTTGTCAACAACCATCTTTCTTCTTTAGAGGAAAATAAAAACATAAAGTAGGTAGTAGATTACATTTTTTATATATGCATGTTGGCTTTTTCCATGATGACTCATTGGTATTGTCACAGCAACTTCTATCGTCATTTGTTTCTCGAAGAATCGAAGAAAAAGAACAGAAAGAAAGAACACGTGGGTAACGTATCGCACTGCGCTAAAGGATTTCTTCCGTAGAATTTCGTGATGTGAATAGTGTTATTGTCAATAATGTAAGGATAAATCCTTTTGCTTCATTTATCTTTATCCATAGATACTTTGTAGAAAATACAAAAAAAATTCTCAATAAAATAAATGTTTCTTCCTTCAGAGAAAAAGAATAATGATAAAGTTTAATCCATATCAACAATAGGCAACAGTGCAAGAAATTGTTGCGTTTTTTTATGTTTATCACCAAAAGTTTTCTTCATGATTCTTTGAGCTTTTGAATAATATTCTTTCGCTTCATCGAGTTTACTCTGTTTTTCAGCAAATTCTTGATTTTGTTGTTGATCCCCTTGTTTCTCACCTATTTCAGCGGCTATTTTCAAGCAAATATCACCCATAGTCGTATAAACATCACACATCTCAATGTGATCCATACCTAAACTATCTACTAAAATCTGTAAAGCTTGTTTAACATGTCCATAAGCTGTATGGTAATTATTCATCGCTGCATAGACAAGACCAAGAGAATTAAGAAAAATGCCATATTTATAATGTTGATCGTTGAATTCTTTTCTGATAATGACAAGTGCTCGATCAATATGAACAAGAGCTTGTTTATAGTTGCCTAAATATGAAGAACGAAACGAATTTTACAATATGTCTTTGTTTCATTTTGTTTTCTTAACTAACCGGATTGAAGTTGAACTTGTCCAATATTATGAAGAATTTCAGCTGCTTCGGAATGTTCCGGGCCAAGTGTTTTTTCAATTATTGCGAGAGCCCGTCGATAGATACGTAGTGCATCATCATAATCACATCGTTTTCGTTCAAGATTTGCTAGATTATTGTAATAGATGCCCAGTTTGTAATGTTCTTGATTTGGACCGAATGTGTTTTTGATAATTTTTATTGCTCTTTCATAGAATACTTGTGCTTCATTATAATCATCCTTTTTCTCTAATACGAGACCCATTGAATTGAGTATTTCAGCTACTTCTATATGCTTTGGTCCTAAGGATTCTTCTAATACTGCCAATGCTTCTTTGTATATCACTTCAGCTGTTTTGTAATCACCTTGCTAAAAACAAAACAACAAATTATTGCAAGGATGAAGTTTTTCTTTACACTGATGAGTCTTAGTACAACAAAATAAGTGAAATCGATAGATTACCTTTCGATAAATATCACCAATATTTCCTAAATACATTCCGATTGACTCGTGCTTATTACCATAATAATGTTTGGATATTTTTAATGCTTGTTTTAAATAATCCAATGCTTCGATATATTTTCCTTCTTTCTTCAAAAGAATTCCTAGATTATTCATCACATCAGCAACTAATGGATGATTATGACCATGCACGGATTCAAGTTGTTTCAACGCTTTTAAATAGAGTTCATAAGATTCATTATAATTGCCTTTTTTTCGGAAAATATCTAAAATTTCGATTAAAGATCTATTTTGAATTTACGAAAATATAGATTCTGATATTACCAGCTAGATTAGCAACAATTTCTGACCAAAGATTCGAACTTGTATCGACTATTTCAAGCGCTTGATTATAACTCGAAATAGCTTGATCATACTACAGAGAAAAATCGTTATTAAGAGATCGAATAGTGAATCTGAACATACATGAGAACATTTCTTAGCAAGAAGTCCAATACTATTGAGAATTTCGGCTTTTTTCTGTGATTGATCATTATGTGGAAGAAGTTTAAATGCTCGCGTAAACTTTTCCTGTGCTTCAGTATATTTTGCCTGTTTAAGATAAATATGTCCAGAAGCCAAAAGTAATTCGATACGTTGAGGATTTGTTTTCGCTTTCAAATAAACATCTGTATAAAGTTCCAATGCTTTATCATATTGACCATCATCTTGTTCAATCTGTGCACTTAAAATCGTGATATTGAACACGTTTTGCATACCTTTAATCATTTTTAAGCATTGTCGTGCTTCATCATAGCCGTGTTCTTCATGAAATACTTTGGCTAAATCGTACAATTCATTGTCCTTGTCTCTTGTACGTGCTTTTGCATTACTATACTGTTGTAATTGAAGTCGTAATTCAAATAATTTCTGTTCTCGTAGATACTTTAATTTTTCCGGTGCATAGGGACATGCTTGTTTGTGCTGAATCAAATCAGTTCGAGGTATTTTAGCTGAACAACCTTGTAATTTATTAGGACAATTGAATTGAATATTTTCAATAAAATTTTGAATGGCAATGTTGGTTATGAGTGTTTGTTCGGTCAATGTCGTTGAACGACATCGCGGACAATTTGGAGCAAATTTTCTCAACCATGATTGAATGCAAGTAAGACAAAAGAGTTGATGGCAACAAGGAGTTTCTCGAACATCAGTTAGATAGTCACAACATATGCCACATTCAATCAAAACTTGAAATTCACTTTGTGTTGCAATCATTTTTGTTTTCAAAATGGATTAAATGAGGTTTTACTCGACGAAAACATTCGAATTTTATACGCTCTAAAAGCAAAACAACAATATATGTCGATGTATGTGAATAAGATGGTGAACAAGTATTGCATAATTCGTTTTATATCTTGCAAACTAAGTACACATTTGAAAGAGAAGAAATCAACGCACCACGTGCGTGTTTTGCAATTTTTATTTGCAATGACGACATATATGTGACTGTATTCCGATAGGAGCGATACTATCAAGGTATTACGAAACTGGGTATAATTTGTTGTAGAAAAATATGGATATTAATTCTTGTCTTATCCGTTTATTCTGCGTATAATCGAATGTATGAATATTTACTACTAGAAAGGTTATAGGTAGTTAGAATTTTGTGAAATACTTTCTTTGAGGAAAAACAAGGTAGAAAGTGTTCTCCATATTTATCGTGATGTATGTTATTGAGTCCAATGTGACCTTTTTTTTATTAAATGTACGTAGTAGTTATAATACCAACAAGTGAAAGGTGTGAAATCTTCGAGCAACGATCATCTGCGCTAGATGTACGTAAAAACGAAGTGGTACGAAACGTAATTTTCCCTGATGGAACACGTGAAAAAGTAATCTAATATAAAACCAAGATGAATCTTTTGAGATCGATCGATATCGTGTTATTGGTTTAAACTGGATACTTAGAGGGATATTAATGTTCATGAAACGACAAATCACTTGGAGTACCGATAATTTCGTAGATCAGAATGATATATTATGAGTATTAACCGGCTACTGAATGAAAACATCCGTCGAAATTTTGAGAAATCAAAGTTTTATTCTGTTATGAAGTGCAAAATCCACAATACCGTCCCGTGTCTGAAAAAAATAGGAATACATAAATTTCGACGACAGCAATCAAACTTATCTTCTTTATCGGGTTGTCAGATATTTGTTCTTCATCATTGTAGCATGAAAGATTTATTACATATGAAAATTCGTCGAAAGTCACTGCATTTCGTTATAGTTTTTCATCAATACTTCCATGACAGCTTCATCACGGGTCGTTAGACAAACGCATCGACTATAAGATAATGACTCGCATAGCATTGATTTATGGATACCCAATTCAATCGAAGACGTGTAACAAACAAATATATAATTTACGACGCGCTGATTTCGTCTAGGTATCAACAATATATAAGTACGTTTGATCACAAACTATTTTATACTAAGTTTAATATGATACGATTTCTCTGTTTCTTTGTGCTGTTTACTGTCGTATCAGCAAGAGGGATCCTCGGTGCGTTAATGCAGGGTGATATTGAACATTTCAATGGTACCATTTCTCTGCCGAATGCCATGGAAGAAAACGAAGAATCATCATCGTCTGATTATTCTCGTCAGCGTAGTTTTGCCGGTGTTACAATCAATACGAATATTTTCACGTTGTTTTATTACAAGAACAGTCAAATATATGTGTATAACACATTGGCCAATGAAAATAAATATCCCAACGATCCGTCTCGATGGATATTCTACTATATTCCAATAATGGCTCCATTTCGAACTGTATCGGACACAACCTGGGCATGGTCAATAGAGAACGAAGTTCGTGTCAACCTTATGTTGGGTGATAGAGAAGTAGAAGAGACGGCACGTGAAGCCATTGCCAAAAAGTTCGACATGAAAACAGGCGAATATGCTAAATATTGGGATATAGCACCGTTGATGATTGAATCTTTGACTGCTTTCGTTGTAAAAGGCAGTAGTTCGCCGATAGCAGGTGTACAACCTTATCATGCCGTTCATCCGAATTCGCTGAATATGATTTTTCGATTTCCCTGTTCAACAAGTACGAATGCACGCGATGTTGCGAGATTGATTGCCAATGGGGAATATGATATTGAAATCGCGTTCCATTTTGATGGCTTCAAACAAACGTCAACGTCACTGGTATCAATCACCGCTGAACAATTGAAAAGTATCACCAGTAAGACGACAGCTGATGGCGGTAATTCAGATGCAAAATATATCCATCGTAGTCAAACTTCCAAGTTTGTCGGAACGTATATCACAAACGTGAAAAAGTTGATATACTCGGAAAGTTCAAGTGTCGACACACAATCATTATCGAAAGGATTGGAAGATCAATTTATCTCATTATTACAACAAGGTAAAGCAATTAAGAAACACCAAGCATATTACAATTGTGAAGGTTTAAGAACTCATACAGAAGATTTGGATATATTACTACATGAATATACTCTACAGATTGTGGTACTTACTGGAGTAGGATCAATGGTCAAATCATTGCCAAATATTCCCGAATATTACTGGCATGGACAGAAAGGTACAAACAGCTTTGGTGGAGTAGCTATTCTAATACATAACTCGATAAATTCTAAAGTAGTAGCTAAAAGAGACAATTTTCTGGTGGTTGAACTCGAATTAGGAACAAACGAGATACTACTGGGAGCAGTATATGTTCCACCCGAAAATAAACTACCACTAGATTCATTTGAAATATTCAAAGATAGAAAATTCTTTTTATTTGGTGATTTTAATGCTAAACATACTTCCTGGGATTGTAAAAAAAATAATGGTTGCGGAATAATATTAAAAGAATGGATAGAGAAAAATGGATATGAAGGTATCTTTCCATCTGTACCTACATCAAAAAGGTCTGATGCAATAATAGATTTCGGTATAGGTTACTCGTCAATAGGATGGAGTCATGAAGTAAGTGATATAGGAACATCCGATCACTATCCTGTCTTATTCTCTTCCCCCTTTTCCAATGAAAAACAAATTATTATTAGAAAAACAAAATGGAAAGTATTTAATTTCTTTCTATCATGTATTTTTCCATATTGGAACTCATGTGTATACAATATCGAACCACAAGAGTTTTTTGTAATATTCTCGAAATTTTTGAAAGCATTATGGGATCGTACTAGCTCATATGAGATAGTCAAAAAATATCGACCGCCGTGGCCTGATCATTTAGTTTCATTAGCAAGAGAAGTCAACAACATGCGGCGTAAATATCGAAGATCATTATGTTTAGATTATTTGTACAGCTATAGAAATATTAGATCACTATTTCGTCTAGCTAAAAGAGAGTTTGAGAAAGAAAGACGTGAAACATATATAAAGAATATAAAAGATAAACAAAATATATGGAAAATCGTAAAACCGACATTCAGAGCATATGCCCCACCTTTTCGTGGATTAAAAGTAAACAACAATGAAATTATAAAACAAGACGAAAAAATAGTTGATCAGCTAGCAAATCATTTTGAAAAGCACTTTTCAAAACCTACACATAATAAAGAAAATAAAGATCATAAAGAGTATATCGAAAACTACGAAAAAATATTAAATCAACCAAAAATGGAAATAGAACCTATAGGAATAGAAGAGGTTTATAAACAGTGGACTAAAATGTCTTCTAAAAAATCTACAGATATTTTCGGAATTTCGGCCTTTTTACTAAAAAATCTTCCATCAGATTATATTAGTGTACTCACTGTTCTCTTTAACAATTGTATAAAAAAAGGCGAATTTTTCGAAATGGGAAAAGTAGCAAAAGTTATTTGCCTATCCAAAGACGGTTGTTATCCAACCGAAGAACGTTTAAGACCTATTTCTCTACTTCCTAATCTAAGCAAATTATTAGAGAGATGTATTCATACAAAGATTTTAAAATGGTGTTCGGATCAGGGAATCTACGTCGATGAACAGTCTGGTTTCACTCCTAATAGGAGATTACAAACGCGAATACTCACGATTTGTGAAGATATACGTCTAACGATAGCAGCACCAAATAGACCTATGTTAGGGATATTTGTTGATTTTAAAAGCGCATTCGTTAAGATGTGGCACCCTGTACTTCTAACCAATTTGATAAAATTAGATATGCCATTAAACTTGGTTAGATATATCTTTGAATGGTTAAGTGAAAGATCCATGCGGGNAAATGTACGATGCATGTACAAACAAAAGAATGTAAGACATCAAATTACTCGTCTTCTTTTTTTCTTCATTAACGACCTTCATCATTGAAAAGTGGAGATAAGAATACCACTGAAATATATACTTCGGTTTCGTTGCGTTTTCTTTTCATTGTTCTATCGAATCGCAACATGTTGAAATTGATCCTTGTATTCGTTTTATGTATGTCCGTGTTGGGCAAAAAGGAAGAGCAGAAAAAAGGCGATGATTTCTGTCCGAAACTTCGTAATGTTCTCTGTGTTCAAAATATTCTTCGCGAGATTTTGTATTCCAATGGAATATTAAGAAATACTGCCAACGAAATCGAACAACTCATCGTAAGTAGGTGTTGAACTCTTACGATCGGATCTTTGTTTTTATAGATTAGATACGAGCCCAATGAAGAACTTCTCAACAACAACATCAAATCTCGTAAGAGCGCTATCGAATCGAAACTTCCGAAAGCGAAATACCATCTTCAATTCGCTAATCAAACTAACATTAACCAAGTATTGGAAGTTCTACGAGACGACTTTTTTTCTAAGATATATCTTTTTTTTTCTATACACTAGGCTGACCTGATCAATTTGGTACAAGAAGAAGCCAATGCTTATGCTTACTTATACAATTCGATCAAGAATGTTCTTAAAGTCGGTAACGAGTTCGAAAAATCGACAGAGAGATTATTCAAACAAGCTTTGACAGACATCCAAGAGAATATCATCTGTCGATATCGATCGATTTTGAATGTTTATTCAGCAAGTTCGACACCAATCAGCGAAGTCGGCGGAATTGAATTCGCCGGAAGCGATAAGAAAGGTTTATGGAAATCATTCTTATACAACGTACACTCAGTCATCATCGCTCGGTTATCACGCGAATGGGCGGATCATGCGGAGAATTTCCTCAACAACGTCGAATCGAAATTGTCATGAAATACTCACGAACTTAGCATAAACTCACTTTTTCTTTTGTAGTAGTAGTTGCTTTTATTATATTCAAGAAATTAATAAATTCGAAAGTAATAACAGTGAAAAATTTCAAAAGATATCGTCTCTATAGTTTTGGAAATAGATGGGCAAGATCAACACGATCAGTTTCATTCAGATGAAGACTTAACGCTTCTGTCACAGGTTCCAAATGTTCGGGTTTACGTGGTCCGACGATAACTCCTGTGATTCGATCGTCACTTAATAACCACGCTAAACTTATACCAGCAAGACTTACATCACCGAATCGTTGTTTACTGAATTTTTTCATTGAATCTAAACCATCGAATATGCTATCTTGATTTTGAACGAAGATTTCGTATGGATCAGGTCGTAATGACATACGAGAACCGGATTCATAATGCAAACCACGTTGATATTTTCCTGTTAACCATCCACCAGCCAACGGACTATAAGGAGTAAAGCCAAGGCCGTGTTTCGAACATATTTGTAAGATTTTTTCTGCCTCTTGATAACCCAATAACGACATGGAGTTTTGCACCCATTCATATCGATTTAAATTTCGACTCTCACAAATCAATAAACTTCTCTCTAACTCTTCACAACTGATATTTGACGCTCCAAATGCCCGTATTCTTCCATTTCTTTGTAATTCATCGAAACAAGTCAGAGTTTCTTCGAGCGGAGTTTTGTCGTCCATTTCATGCGACAAATACATATCTAATCGTTCAACTCCAAAACGTTGTAATGTACCATCCACTCTTTCTAATATTCGTCCTCTTGATAATCCACTACTATCACCAGTAAACATTGGATTGTACGTTTTCGAACTAAGCACAACTTTAGATCGCAGTTTTTCATCGGCTTTCTTCAACCAAGTACCGATATATGATTCACTTCGACCGCCACCATACGCATCAGCGGTATCAAATGTGTTTATGCCGAGACGAACAGCAGCATCGAGAATTTCGTGAGCTTGTTCTTCATTTTCAGCGCGATCGAATAACGAAGGTTCAGAACCAATACCACCAAAACAACCACAGCCGAGAATTACACGGGATATCTCGATGTTTGTTTGTCCTACTCTTCGATACTGCATTTTCATCTAGAAAGAATTCGTTGTACGTCATTAAAAAAAGACCACGTCAGCATGTGATGTTATCGTTTTTCATCCTTATCTTAAAACAAGAATAAATTTGCACCTATAGAGAACATTAATATCGACTCATTGATGGACTTTTTCATCTTCTACATCTTGGATCCTACAAATGTTGATATCGATGTTCATAGTTTAACTATTCTTTGTTAATGATTGATTGTGTTTCACTTAATTTCAACTTGATTCAATCATGTTTACAAGATCATTTTAATATTGAAGCGCCAATTTTCGTCCCTTCACGAATTTTTTGTATTATCATACACAAGTTTAATATTTAAACTTTTTATAATCGCGCGCCTGTTCTGAAATATAATCTCTCGCGTTTATGGTCATATCCGGAATTACAAAAAAATGTTCGTTCTTGCTTGACTCTGCCAAGCTCGTTGATCAATTTATTCCTATTCGAATTGATATTAACTTGTTTTAGATTGATAATCCGAAAGATGTTGACTTTTCATTCGAAAAACTTTACAGTAGAGAGACATTCTCATTATTTGCATCATTGCGTGATGGAATTGAGAAAAGATATGAACGAAGGAATTATTGTTGTTACGAGAAAGGAAAAAAGGGAATAGTCGAAATCGATTGCACCGTTCGACAGAAATACTTGTTAACGATTTTGATCAAATCATCGAATAATATGTTAGTGCAAAGGATAAATCGAAGACAAATACAAAGATAACTTCTTTCATTCTGTGAATAAAATCTGAAAATGTTTTTTTTTTATTGGTTCATTCAACCTTCAAGTATCAAATGTCACTCATCATAACTAAAGGAAGTGTCACAAGCACGACCCATCGCTTTCTTTCCTATTCTGTCGAACAAAAAAAAAGAGAATAAAAAATTTCAATCTTTACATCTAACTAAACATCACTTAACATTATAAACGACAAATCATATTCGAACGACATCTGTACAGCAATAAACGTATTGACTTTTTTTTCTCGATCATTAGCGCATTTGCAATAGATGTGAAACTAATTGATATGTCATGCGTATGATTCAACATTGTCATCGAATCGATCGTTGTACATATACGCGTTGGTTTTTAATAACTTTTAGTAGCACAATTGGTGTATACACTTGATAAATAAGTTGAATAATCCATGTATCATATACCTTTTCTACACAAGAAAACAGTTGAAGGTTTTGTCTGGTTCAATAGAATATAGGAGAATTATACGTAGTTTAATTTTAGTTACGAGTCGGAAGTTCCGAGCAAATGAACGTCGTGATGATAGTACACAAGAGTTCGTGGTAAGTACTGCTGATTTGTTAATAAGAGGCAAAAACGAAGAGAATTATGTATGTTTAGAACAATCGAATATCTACATCAAAGTACAATTTAATAACGTTTTTACCAAAGAATCTCTTTGAACAATTTCGACGCTTAGCCAATAGCTATTTTTTAATACTCGTGTGTTTACAAGTAACGAGAAAGCAATTGATCCGTCTTTGATGTACTGTATTCTTCTTTAGTTCATACCACAAGTCACTTCCTTAACACCTGGTACAAGTATTGCGCCGCTGTCTGTTGTATTGTTGATTACTGCGATCAAAGACGCTGTCGATGATATTGTTCGATGATTTGAATATCTTCTTCGCATCATTTGTTTGAGTTTTTTTTCTTCATAGCGAAGACATCGAAGTGATAAACAGATCAATAATCGGCAGGTGAATATTTTAGCTGGACGTGAATTGATCCGTAAGAAATGGCAAGAAGTTCAAGTTGGTGATATTATACAAGTGGAAAACAACGAGTTTATTCCTGTAAGACATTAGGAGAAGCAAACGAACGAGAAAATATGCGTTTTTCAGGCTGATATGGTTCTACTATCGACTAGTAAACCGAATGGTCTTTGCTTTATTGAAACAGCGGAGTTGGATGGAGAGATCAATCTTAAACAGCGTCGAGCGTTGCATGAAACTTGTTCTCTTGAAGATTACATTGATCGCTTAGTCAGT